CGATCCTGTTGATGTCCTCGCGACAGAGCCTGCCCACGAGTTCCTTGATCTCGGGCGACCCATCAATGGTTGCGAGATGCGCATCGTTGATCCCAAAGATGGCGCCACGCTGCGCCCCGACGGAGAGAGCGGCGAGCTTCAGGTCCGCGGACCGATGGTCTTCGTACGCTACTACAACAACGCCGAGGCTACGTCCTCCAGCTTCGTTGAGGGAGGCTGGTACCGCACCGGCGACGTTGGCATCATCGAGAATGGTGTCATGCGCCTCAGCGGTCGTATCAAGGACACCGTCATTGTCCATGGTGTCTCGTATGGTATCCCTGAGCTCGAGACCCATCTCCAGACCGTGGAAGGGGTGACGCACTCGTTCCTCGCCGCAGCTCCGTACCGTGCTCCTGGGCAGGAGACCGAAGGGTTCATCATTTTCTACTCGCCGACATTCGACCTCGATGGAGCAGACGCTTCCACAAAGCTCTTTGCCACGCACAGGGCCCTTCGGGATATCTGTGTGAAAATGATCACCCTGCCACCTCAGTTCATCGTTCCCATCCCTGTGAACCAGATGGAGAAGACGACACTGGGTAAACTGTCTCGTGCGCGTCTGATCAGTCTGTTCAAGCAAGGTCAGCTTGGCCAGCACATCGCACGCTCTGAGGAGCTTCTCAGCGAGGCACGCGGCGCCACGTTTGTCGCCCCGTCCACCGAGACGGAGAAGGCACTTGCTAAGATATATGCTGGCATATTCAACCTTGCGGAAAGCGAGATGTCTGCGAGCGACAACTTCTTCGAACTCGGCGGTACTTCCATTGATGTCATCAGGTCAGTAGTATATCCGTCCCGGCCTAAAATCACTGTCACTAATATATATCATCTCTAGGCTCAAGCGCGAGGGAGAAGCACATTTCGGCCTGCCTGAAATCCCCACTATCCAAATCCTCAAGCACCCCGTCATCTCGAGCCTCGCCAACTATGTCAACGCCCTGCTCTCCAAGGACAGCCAGACTGAGGAGTACGACCCCATCGTCCCTCTTCAGCTGACCGGAAACAAGACGCCCATCTTCTTCGTGCACCCTGGTGTCGGAGAGGTTCTCATTTTCGTCAACCTCGCCAAATACTTCCAGAACGAGCGTCCCTTCTACGCTCTCCGCGCTCGTGGCTTCGAGCCCGGCCACCCCTTCTTCACTTCCATGGACGAGATGGTGTCGTGCTATGCTGCAGCAGTCAAGAGGACCCAGGCAAAGGGACCATATGCCATCGCGGGGTACAGTTACGGCGGCGTTGTCGCATTTGAAGTTGCCAAGCGGATCGAGGCCATGGGCGATGAAGTCAAGTTCGTCGGTCTCATCAACATCCCTCCCCATATCGCCGACCGCATGCACGAGATCGACTGGACAGGCGGGATGCTCAACTTGTCGTACTTCCTCGGTCTCGTGTCGAAGCATGATGCCAATGATCTCGCGCCTGCTCTGAGATCGATGACGAGGAAGGAGCAGCTCGAGGTGGTGTGGAAGCTGTCTCCCCCTGATCGTCTCGTCGAGCTCCAGCTGACGGCTGAGAAGCTCGACCACTGGGTGGACATCGCTGGGTCGTTGATCGAGTGCGGAAAAGACTACAACCCGTCAGGCTCAGTTTGTATGTGATTTCTTTTCTGACATCATTATTGCTTGCTCATATTCTGGGTCTGTTCAGCTGCAGTCGACGTTTTCTACGCCATTCCTCTGCGTGGCAGCAAGTCAGACTGGCTGAACAACCAGCTCAAGCCATGGTCTGGGTTCAGCCGCGGCGAGCCATCATATACTGACGTTCCCGGGCAACACTACACGCTGATGGACTTTGACCACGTCCCACAATTCCAGAAGATCTTCCGTGGTCGTCTTGAGGCTCGTGGGCTGTAAAAATTTAGAGTGGTGTATTGTGTTCATATCTGTCTTTCGCATGTAACTATTCCACTACTTATACTCGGATCGCTTGACTAATTACGTCGCTATGCTTGTCTTATGACCAAAGTACATATTAAAAATGATTCTCTGCATTTTCTCATGATGGTGCTTGTGAGCCCACTGTTTAGAATAACATGATCCTGATATGAATTCTGCATTCTTCAGTGCTAATTGCTCCTACGTATTGCCGCACAATGTTGCTTCGATTACTTATTTTGTGTTTTCCGCACTTACTGCGACTTACATACGCCTAGATGGCCAGATAAAATATTCATTTTCCCATGATTATTTCAGAAGGCGTTGTCAAACACCCCCAATACACCTCCACAACCGTAGTAAATCATTGGACTGTTGTTCAAACTTCAGGCTTACTGTGCACCTCTATGATTCCCCGGCTCATACGGAGCACATACGACCAACCAAGGCGATGATATGACTGATTGATAAGCCAATTATTCTTGCTTCAGGACCGACAGGTTGTGGCGACGAGTTGACGACACGACAGCCGTTGTGAAGTTGAGTCCTCAGATTTCCTTGCTGCCGACAATCCAAGTCAGTGTAATTATATGAGCAAAGTCGCAGTCTCGTCTACTAGCACACAGCTGATTCTGGGAATAAGTATAAGTACGCTCGTACATAGATATAAGTAGATCAGCTAGCTGAAGTAGATTCCATTCTGTGCACTGTGTTGATCATTTTTACCGCGAAAAAACCTCTGGTGCGTCCCCACGTGCTGACTCACGTCAATGCTGACAACAAAAATGCTTTGTGAGCGCATAAAAAACCCGGTCCCTTTGAGATGGAAATGTCGTGAGTCGCAAGAGTCCAGACTCCAGAAGATTTAGCAGCTCTGGCGACAAGCTATGGGAGCGTTTTTCCTGCAGGACAGTGCCCGTAAACAACAGCATCCAGGTTGTGGGGTATCGCATCGTTTTTCGTCATTTTTCATGATGACGGCATGTGTTTCCCGCTTGTGCTCGCCAATTTGTTATCCATTATGCATCATAATGCAAAATTTGACGTAGCGCAGACAAGCCTTCCCCTGGACAGATGTATTCAAGTTGTACATGGGTGAGAGAATGTAAGATGAAACTCATCTTCCAAATTTCATGGGAGACTTGAATTTATATCTATTTCGCGTGTACGTCTGGTGTCGACAATATTTTGGAATGCGGCACTCATACACATATCTCATAATGACGCAAGTCGATCGTAGATAGAGCAAATGAAGCAGAGTTCTGCCGAGACAGGACAAGTAGTGGACGGCTTTCCAAAGCGACGTATTTAGCAATGTCGGATTCATATATGGGACGTACTTAAGAAAGTCTATCATCTGCCGGCTGCGTCTAGTAGTCACTGCTTGGCGCACTCGGCGGATGATAGACTCTGCACACTAGCGCGCGGGTGGGCGGTGACAGGAAGTTCGACTTGACCTCAAGGTACTTAGGTTTATAGCAGTGTTGTGATGAGCTGGAATCCAACTCACGGATGTGCCCTCGTGGTGCTCGTGTTTACGAGTCGAAGGACGGGAAGGAGAAGGCTATATACTACATCGCGGGCCGGCCGTCACCCGCCGGGATAACATCTGGTTGGCTGTATGTTAGCTTAACCTCGTGGCAAGAGCTAAAGCTATACGTTCGACGCATAGTACCGAGTATGCATCAACTACATAGCTTTAACATTACCATACTGCGTGACATATCTCGGGAAGCAAGAAGGTCAGTAGAAATTTCATGAGTCGAGACGCACCTTATCTTCGTCCCCAGTCCGTGCCACAACGAGCTGCCTACGTACGTTCCTGGGCCTTCCCCTCAACAACCCAAAGAAAGTGTCCCACCTCTTCCGCTACATCGCAGAAACAAAGAGACTAGAGGAAAACCTCGAAAATGAAGCCCAAAGACTACTTAGTAGACCTCCTGTGCATGCTTAGTAACCACTGTCCAATTCCCACGCAAGCCCGCGCTCCAAGTCTCGTGCCTCCGAGTCCGCGCAAGCACACCGCCTCTATAGTACTAGACAGCTAGCCAGGAGAGCATCTATCATAGCTTCGCACACTCTCCTGGAGAGGTGCAAGCCGATGGACATTTATTTATACACCAAACTCGAAATCACCTTTATTATTTAATACCAAATGTACTGTCGACATTAGGCTAGCCTACAGCGACAATAAACGGGGGGGTTTTTTTTTTGAAAAAAGAGTGGGCTTCTTGTTCATGGGCTGAGGACCTATGTGCTTACGCCACTCATCATGATTCTCGAGCCACGCATCAGATGGTCAATCATATCAGGACGCCACGGAAATACTGAAGTGAACAACTTGAGGAGAAGAAGTTAGCGTTGACATTTGGAACACCGTGACAGATTGGCAACAGATAAACAGATGGACTTGCGTCTTACGAGTCATGGTCTTGGCCTACTTTGTAGAGTAACAAAGTTGCCAAAGAGTTCGGAGGAGCACACTGTTGGGTTACAAGAGAATTGGTCTTAACTCCCTCTTATTGACGCGATACCAAGGAAATTCGAACGGATAAATCCCTCAAACGCGGACGTAGTGCTACTTTCTGGCATGGAAGTCACCTTGTTTGCACGGTCAGATTTCCGTTATGGTGACCGTAACCATATACACGATTTACGGTGGCCTGAGGGGTACTGCCCGTACCGAAACCGGACAACAGACCCTTCGATGGTACGGTAAGTACGGGCCAGCGGTAGCTATAAAGCCCTAATCGGGAATGATTTTATACGAGAACGGTTATTACATAACATGAGGATTGGTTCTCCTCCTCGAGCATCCTATCACAAGTTCGTCTTTGTAGTAATCTCTAAACCAACTCTACACTATGCATATGGGCTCTCTTGAGCATCGCGCGGAAAGTTCTTCCGGTACACAATTGAACGTTTGCGCACAAGCAAGGCGTATGTTAGCAACACCCTCCCCGGGTGTACATATATAAGTAATTCCAAGAAGACCGGTAAGTGTTCAACGTTGAACGTCCTAGACATCTTTTATAACATTCTTCGTGTTACTGCTTTAGAATTTAGCTTGCGACACAGCTTACAATGGCACCCGTCGCAGTCTCCCCCACTACCGCTACCGAATTCGCTGCCACCTTCAAGAAATCTGTTGCCTCTACACAACCTAATACCCTCCACGACGTCATCGCTCAAGCTGTCGACTGTTATCCGTCTCACGAGCTTGGTTTCATAACCTCCTCGGCACATGACTCCTCCATCCAGACCAAGACCTTCAGCGCCTTCAACCAATCTGTTCGCAACCTTGCACGTGCCATGCTGCAGTGGGGAAAACCCACAGGTTCAGTCGTCGTCGTGTACCTGACGGAGCACGAAGACAATATGGCTGCTGTATGGGCGTGTCTGCTGGCTGGCTATGTGCCCTGCTTGCAACCCGCGCTTAGCGCGCAACAGGCGCACAAGGAGGGCCATGTTGCCCACATCAAGAACTTGTTTGGGTCTGCTATTTGGCTTACCAGCGAGCTTGGGGCTGAACAGATCAGCACACTTTCTGGTCTGGAGGTTCATCTGTTCTCTGAATTAAAGGCATCAGCGGAGATATTCACCGTCTCAGCTGACTGGATTGGGTACGAGGCTAAGCCAGACGACGAGGCGATCCTGTTCCTGACGTCAGGGTCTACTGGATTCTCGAAGGCGGTCGTGCACACGCACCGCACGATCCTGGCTGCATGCCGTGCCAAGGGACAAAGCTACGGCCTGACTTCTGAATCTCGAGTCTTGAACTGTAAGGCACACGTAGTTTAAATTTTAGTTTTAAATTGATCGTAACATTCAGGGGTCGGATTTGATCACGTCGCGGGATCGTTAGAAATGCACATCACACCTCTGTTATATGGTGCTTCGCAACTCCACGTGCACGTATCTGCTATCCTTGCTGATCCCCTTCGGTTTCTCCGTCTTATCGATGAAAAGGCATGCTAAAATTCATCCATAGCTTAATGTGTATCTTATCATTCTATTTTAGTCAGTCGAATTGGCTTTCGCCCCGAATTTCCTGCTCTCCAAGCTCACTCGTGATCTGGAGAAGCACACCGACCTCTTCGGATGCTTTGACATATCCTCCATCAAGCGGATCAACAGTGGGGGTGAAGCTGTTATTTCCAAGACCGCGCAAGCGTTCGCTGCCATGATGAAAAAGTTCAGCAAAAACTCCGCGTCCTTTGTGATCTCCGCTGGGTTTGGAATGACGGAAACTTGGTAAGGCGAATTAAGTTACATGGGTACATAAATTGATGTGGTTTTCCAGCGCTGGATGTATATACGGTCCTGTGGATGTCCTTGCCACCGAGCCCGCTCACGAGTTCCTTGATCTCGGTCGACCCATCAATGGTTGCGAGATGCGCATCGTTGACCCTGTAGATGGCACCACCCTGCGCCCCGACGGAGAGAGCGGCGAGCTTCAGGTTCGCGGACCGATGGTCTTCGTACGCTACTACAACAACGCAGAGGCTACGTCCTCCAGCTTCGTTGAGGGAGGCTGGTACCGCACCGGAGATGTTGGTATCATCGAGAATGGTGTGATGCGCCTCAGCGGTCGTATCAAGGACACCGTCATTGTCCATGGTGTCTCGTATGGTATCCCTGAGCTCGAGACCCATCTCCAGACCGTGGAAGGGGTGACGCACTCGTTCCTCGCCGCAGCTCCGTACCGTGCTCCTGGGCAGGAGACCGAAGGGTTCATCATTTTCTACTCGCCGACATTCGACCTCGATGGGGCAGACGCTTCCACAAAGCTCTTTGCCACACACAGGGCCCTTCGGGATATCTGTGTGAAGATGATCACCCTGCCGCCTCAGTTCATCGTTCCCATTCCCTGTGAACCAGATGGAGAAGACGACACTGGGTAAACTGTCTCGTGCGCGTCTGATCAGTCTGTTCAAGCAAGGTCAGCTTGGTCAGCACATCGCGCGCTCTGAGGAGCTTCTCAGCGAGGCACGCGGCGCCACGTTTGTCGCCCCATCCACCGAGACGGAGAAGGCGCTTGCGAAGATATATGCTGGCATCTTCAACCTTGCGGAAAGCGAGATGTCTGCGAGCGACAACTTCTTCGAGATCGGTGGTACTTCCATTGATGCTATCCGGTGCGTATATCTGTTTCCGCCTTCAAACGGCCTTCACTGACAAATAATTTCCAGGCTCAAGCGCGAAGGAGAGGAATACTTCGGCCTGCCTGACATCTCTGCCATTCAAATCCTCAAGCATCCCGTTCTCTCGAGCCTGGCAAACTACATCAACTCCTTGCTCTCCAAGAGCACCCAGACTGAGGAGTACGACCCCATCGTTCCCCTCCAACTCACTGGAAATAAGACGCCAATTTTCTTCGTTCACCCCGGTATCGGCGAGGTGCTCATTTTCGTCAATCTCGCTAAATACTTTCATAATGAGCGCCCCTTCTATGCTTTCCGTGCTCGTGGCTTCGATACTGGGCACCCCTACTTCACCTCCATGGACGAGATGGTTTCCTGTTATGCCGCAGCAGTCAAGAAGACTCAGGCGACGGGACCATACGCCATTGCGGGCTACAGCTATGGTGGTGTTGTCGCGTTTGAAGTTGCTAAGCGGCTCGAGGCCATGGGCGATGAAGTCAAGTTCGTCGGTCTCATCAACATTCCTCCTCATATTTCCCCCCGCATGACCGAGATTGATTGGACGTCTGGCATGCTCCACTTGTCGTCCTTCCTTGGTCTCGTCTCGAAACATGATGCTGATGATCTAGCTCCTCCCCTGAGACTGCTCACGAGGCAGGAGCAGCTCGAGTTTGTGTGGAAGATGTCGCCTCCTGAACGAATCGTTGAGCTCCAGCTGACGCTCGAGAAGCTTGATAAGTGGGTGGACCTCGCCGGGTCCCTCATCGATTGCGGACTAGATTACAACCCATCAGGCTCAGTTTGTATGTCTGTTCACTTTCTAACTTCAGACGCGCTTGCTCATGTACCAACCCCTCAGCCGCACTCGAAGTTTTCTATGCCATTCCCTTTGCCGGAACCAAGGTTGACTGGCTCAACAACCAGCTCAAGCCATGGTCTGGCTTCAGCCGCGGCGAGGCATCATATACCGATGTGCCTGGGGAACACCACACGCTCATGGACTTTGAGCACGTCCCGCAGTTCCAGAAGATTTTCCGGAGTCGTCTCGAGGCTCGTGGGGTGTAGACGTTGGAGTTGCATATTCCGATTATATCTTGTCTTGCGTCGATGAAGTTCTATTATGTAAACTATATAGTGGGAGTGCATTTGTTTTGTACTTAATTTGTTATACATCTTCACGTGCCGTAGGCCAGAGGCGTAGTTTGGCGAATCCTGAACGTTGAACGTTGAACATCGAACACCCTCAGTGACTAAAGTGATGTACAGGGTCTTGTGCACCCCGCGTACTATGAGATAACAAATGTCCCAGTGGTACATTAGGTTGATGTTAAGGGTGAGCATGTCAGAGTACTATATCATTCCCAAGTTCAGTATCATGAGTTTATCTATGACATCCTACAGCTTTCAATTAAACTAAAACACGTTCAAATTCATATCATGATGTCCCAACCACTTCATGTTCTAACTGTTGTCCAGAGGCGACCTGCAGCCAAACGACGGCGGAGGATTCTCGGATTGGAACGCATTCACCATCGAGAGGATGGACGAGTACGCGCTCAGAATAGCGCAAGACAAGCATGCGAGCGTGAGAAGGATGTTCCACACGTTGAAGAACGTGTTCTTAAAGTTGGTGAAGACTGGTGGCAAGGTTAAATTTAGCGCGAGGGAACTCTGAGCAGAAGTTGGTACGTACATGCACGTTTCCAACGCGATGAATCCCTCCATGTATCAACACGGTGGGCGTGGGGGTTGTTGACGTCAAATTGTCCGTCGCCTTTTGTGGCATCCAGTTGCATGCAGTAACCCAAAATCATAAATGGCGGGAAGGTGTATGTAAACTCTGAAAGGAGATTAAGTCGTGGTGAGAGCAACTAGAATATAAATACTCACGGAAGATGCAAACGGCAGCAACCAGCGACGAGAGTAAGCTGAATTGCGGGATGGCGGATCCAATAATGAAGGCAATGATCCAATACACTACGACAGAGATGGCGAAGTAGTATTTAGCCCGAGAAACAGTCAACTCGGGGAAACCAAACATCTCCACGAAGACGTTGTTGTAGATGACTTTGACACCAATGTTGCCATACAATGCAGCAGCAATGAGACCGGCGGTCAAAGAAATGGCGTTCGTCGCAGTCTGTAGACCATAAGTGGAAATTCCCTGGTTGGCCGGCTGCAACAGCGTTGTCAATAGCCGATTCCAAATCAAGAGAGAATTGACGGACGTTAATAACATATTGGCCTTGGTATGTGTAGACGAAAAGGCCGAAGAACATGTATACGACGAAGATGAAAATCTGGGACAACGCCATAGCCTTCCAGAAATCCATTGGGCGCCGCATTTCAGCCATGAACTCGATAAAAATCATGCTAAAATAATTTGTTCATCTGTACATGAACGTCTTCATGATTTATGATGACTTACGCTCCACCATATGAGAACACAATCTGCATGATACCATTGAGCTGGTCCTGGAAAGGCTGTAGGTTGATTGCTTGAGTTATCACAGGGCCTGCGTATTCTCCAGTCGGTGACGCAATATAGTTGGGTGGCGAGTTAGCCACAAAGGCCATCGTCATAATCAATACAATGATGTTCAGCCAGATAGAGAGATTGGCGACCTTGCCAAACTTCTGAAGAGTCCGAATTTGACCAAGTATCATTCCAGCCAGGGTCCAGACAACGTTACAGACGCAGAAACATAGCTATAGAGGGCTAAGTTAGATGTCAACATGCGCCAAATCATGAGAAGGGTACCTTGAACTTTGCCATCTGCGAAAGACCTTGGCCATTACCCAGAATAATGATACCGACATTGATCACGAGCTGCAAACTTTGCAAGATGTTACAGACTGTAGATCCACGTGATCAATCGATTCTCTATATTCATGAGTGTGTTTACGTACGATACTTGAACCAACGGCCATAGATGCGGTGCCCTAAGTCTCCGAAAGACTTGACGGGATACCTTTCCGAGTCCAGTTTCAAGAACATCCACCATAGGAGGAAGCCACTGTATGCAGCCAAAATACCGAAGACGAAGAAACAGGCTACACCAGGACCATATCCAACTTGTTGGAATGCCCACGGGGTAGAGTAAGGACCCAAAATGTCTTGGAAAGGATGTCATAGAACCCATCAAAATCATCAAATCCGTCAATCAGCTTACCAGTGGTAATAAGATAGAACACGCTCCCCCACGTGGCCGTCCTAAGAGCCCCAGAAGCTGCACGGTATTCGCTTGAGGTGACTAGAGCGCTGCCCCCCTCCTCTGAGGAAGGCGCTACATTCTTCGGATCAGAGCGGGCTGATGCAACGGAACGGCTGTCAGATTCCTGGGAACGATTGAATATTCTCGAGAACAGGCCACCCAAGCGGCCACCTTCAGCGTCATTCCTGGCAGAGAGGGCCTCCCTGTCACGTTGAATCTTGGCGTAGTGCATGTATGTCTCGAGATTGGGCGTAGTGCCATCAGGAACATGGTAGTTCTCAGGGACATACACATCCTGCTCTTCCTTCTCTGAAAGATAGACTCGAGGGTCCCTGCCGCCTTCGATAGCTGCAGGCTGGAACGCCATTGTGGTGGGAGCAAGGAAGTGGAGATTCAGAGTTCGCGGTTTGATACGGTAGGCTTTATTTGCCTAAACTGTGGGTAATGCTACATGTGCTCGATGACAGCTTGCGGTGCTATTACATACCATTACTTAGATAGAGATGGAAACACGGATATTCTTGGATATATGAGCAGGCACTTGAATGATGGAGTCGCATGGTCTGTTCCTGGGACACACCTAGACACACGCGCCTCGGCAAGCCTGGGTTCAATTTACTGCAAGTGGAATGACCTAAACGACAACGGCACCCGCTGTCATATTGTGTAGCGCTCTGTTAACGTTCTGAAGTAGATCGGCTCCCAATGGGTGGGAAACACAACTGTGGCACTGACTATTTAGCGTATGCTGCTCGAAGACCATGATACAGTAAAAAGATAACACGCACCTTAGTAGATGACTAGAGTGAACGCTTTCCTGACCTCTTGACTCTTAACATGTTCCTACTCCCATTGTTGATAGATTGTTGAAGCTGTTAGAGGTTATTGACTCGCAAGGGTTGAGATCCGGGTGCTAAAAAAAAAGAAAACTCATTGCGTCCGACTCCCGAGTCTTTGAGCATGTTGGGAAAAGGCGGCGGGAGGACGTGTTTACAATCGGTGGGAGGAGTTGGGTGGCAGCGGGTGGGATGACAGGAGGTCCGAAGTTAGACACAAGGAGAAATTGTGGAGCCAGGGCTTGTGGAGCCTACAGGTGGCTGCGCCACTTGTGCGAGCGAGAGAAAGTAGGTGCCGCGCATAAATGGTGATATTTGAACATATAGGTTGAGTAGACACGACCTAGTGAAAAAAGTTTCAAAAAACAGCGAGTGTATGCACTCTGGAATCTCATTATACAGTGTGGGTGGTTGTAAGTAGAGAGTTCAATAGAGCCAATTGCTTAGCAAACCACCGCATCGTTGAAGCAGCCGGAGACACTCATTTTCGAAAGCTTTCGAATGCACGTATAAATCATACCAGATAGTCTTTGGGTACATACACGATACGCTATAATTACACTCGAAGTAGTAGTGCTTAATTAGCAGTGGTATTCACTGGCAGCGGTACTAAGGGCATTTATCAGAAATATCTATTTTGGGTTGCCATGCCTTAATATGGATTGAAAGGCACCGGCGGCATTGCGACTAACGTGCAAGAACACCCGAAATTGCCATTATGTAAGCTACATCAGCTCTTGTCAAAAAGAAGTTTGATGCTTACAGTTATGAGCTTATGGCACTGGTGATGGAGCAATCACTGCAGAAGTGAGAAACTGATCAGATCTGAAAAAGACCATGTAAACAGTATGTAAACAGATGTAGCAAACACAACAGATCCCAAGATGTGAGATCTGTGAGAGGTCCTCATTTTGGACTGTTATCCAACACTGGAAAACTTGCAAATACAGAGGTGTACAGAAACACCAGGACCTATGTCACAAATTTCCTAAAATGATTGTAATCAGGAACCATTTACATCACATTACAATCATGCTTACAACCTTGCTGTAAGATTGATGGCGGGGCTTCAATCGCTTGCAATGTGCATGTGACGTGATTGATATGCATCTTACTTGCTTGAATTCCTCTTTTACAGCGTTCTTGAGGGTTCTCCCCCCTTCTTTCCATCCATAACAATACCATTACATAACTTGTATATCCCTGTCGACAAAATGGGCTCCGAGAGGTCAAAATATTGCGACTTATGTCAACAAGACATCAAACCGCATGGTTACACTACTCACCGCAAGGCATGTGAGAAGAAAGCTGAGAAACAACAGCAAAATCAACATTTCATGGATTCCCTTCAAAGAGACACAGGTACATACATTTTCTTGTTATTTACCATTTCTAAATTCTACTAATAATAGTGGGTCCCTCAAATACGCAACAAATGAGGGGAGATCATATTGATACAGTGTCAGGACAGAGAGGTAAGTGCCCTTTAATAATGTGTTTTCTAATTGCATTCAAGTTGCAACAGGACAACGTGATGTCCCACCGGACACTTGGAACGATTTAGACAACATGGAGCACAATGGTAAGCTCAGATTATTGTTCATTATGTTTGTTATATTCACCATTAAAACTTTGCTAGAACCTACTTCATTTCTTGACACTGACATCCCTGAACATGCAGATCCCATGTTTGGGGTTGATGACATTAAGTGTGAGTATCATCCTGGCAGCAGGATGGCACCAGAAGTATGTACATGCTTTCAATGATTTCAAGTGCCATCCAACACCATTGACATCTTCTACACCACCTGACAAACACCCTTGGGCTCCATTCAGATTGTGGCTGGAGTTTGATATTGCTGAGCTTGCTCTGGAGGCCTGCCTAAATAATGGACAGACTGATCGTCTTATCAAGTTCTGTAACCAGTGCACTTCCAGGCAGGAAAAATTCATGTTCCAGAACCACAAAGACATCCACAACAGGTGGGATGCTGTCTTCCATCGTGTCACTGGGGTGGTTTTCTTTTGTTCTTTCTGACATTCAATGTCTGACAACTCCCGAGTTTTAGTTTACTCAGGACATAATTTCTGTACCATACAATGATTCAATTCGACAATTCAATTTATACTATTGGGATCTCTGGGAGTGGGTGGCTGATCTCCTTCACAATCCTCAACTGTTCCCACATATGGTTTTTAATGCACAACAGTTCTCAAAGTTCGATGGCAAGACTTTCATACATTTTGTAGACAAACCTTTCACTGCCGACACCTTTTGGAATGTTCAAGTATGTATTAATATCATCTGTGGCGATTTTGATTGCCTTCATTTTGCCTCATAGTCCCAGCTACCACCAGGCAGCAAGCCCTTAGCTTTCTTTTTGTATGCTAACAAAACTAGTACTGCCAAAGTTTGGTTCAGTCTGGTTCTGAGAGTGATTTTTCTGAACCTTGAACTTTACAAAAGTTCGGTTCATGGGGACAGCCCAAACCTCGAACTGAACTTCAGTGAATGGGTTTGGGGGGTCAGTTTGAGTTCAGAACCGGTTCAAACCATGAACCAAATGAATATTGCAAAAAATTGACACATGACAAGTAATTATACTAAAGATCCACTGCTGCAAGTTCTGCATGAGCACGAGCTGAAATATGACCCTCGCAATAAGCACTCTTAAGTAACTGCAGTGCCTTGAAGACCTCTGGAAGCAATGAGTTGTGATGTTGGAGTGGGGTACCCCTCCAGCGGGGGGTGGTGCAGGCGGGTGTTTGCCACCCTTTGCGCAGCTTAGTCAGTAGGAGTAGAGCCTTCGGGCGTTGTCGTAGGTAGCACAATCATCAGGTTGAGGCCACATGAGCTTCGTCTGCCAGAGGCAGGCACATATAAGAAAAGTGCTCAGCCAGTATAAGTGAGTCTCAGCTCTGCCTAGCTGCTATACTCGCAGAATGCAAGAATGTTCGACCCTAAAGGGGAAGCAAGGAAAGCAAGGATCCACGGAATGATGCTGAACAACCCTGGTGAATGGCGGTGAAAGTGCGAGAAATGCGCTGAAGGCGCACGCGGGAAAGCGGAATGCGAAAGTGCGCGGAGTGCGGGAAGGTAGTGCAAGTGGTGCACAAGTGTAGACGACGGATTACTGAGACTGATAAGGGGAAAAGTGCGGATCTAGACGGATACTGATAGTGCCACTAGCTATAGACTGATGCTAGGGCCTTAAGATGATGATGGATACATGCATTGCATGGAACTAACTGGTGATAGATACTGAGTGGTAGGAAGGTAAGGTGGAATAGTTGGGTGTAAACGAACATGAGAGTATGTAAGTTCTACCTAAGCGCTCTCCCAGGGCTCGGAGCCAAATAGGGAGCGCTCTAAGTATGTAAGTGATATAAAGTGATGTAAAGTAAGGGTCCATGACGAAATGGGAAGTGTAATATGCCAAATATGGTCAGATAATGAAAGTGACATACCGAGGGACTGGTTGGACGATGGATGGATGCTCCTGGATGCTGTGCGACGCTGTGTGACGCAGGGCGCTTAAGCATGAGAAAGCGCGCAAGGCGCGCACGCGGTGTCTTAATAACCGAGGGTCTTATATAAATACGTGTAAGAATGTAATGACACCACAATTACACTGGATAAGACTTCTTGCCAGTCCTCGATTAACACGGTCTACGACTTTTCTTCTTTCGTGGTAGATAACGTGTGAGTTCTTGGGAGGCTCGCTAAACCAATCAGTCAGATTAACTTAGCCGGAGCTTTATTATCTCTGATTGAAACTATGGGATTGTCTAGGATATACCGTCTAGACACTTGAACTGGTTTCCTGAATATACGGTTAACTGTTGAGAAGCTGGTCTCAAATGTGACTACGTGGACCAAAGCTCGTGTTGGTCAATATACAAATACCTGGTGAGAACGCTGGTCTCACAAATAACAACAAATGACAAATAGAAAACAATGACAAATAACAACAATGACCAAAGCTCGTGTTGGTCAGTATACAAATACCTGGTGAGAACGCTGGTCTCACAAATAACAATGGTGACCAAAGCTCGTGTTGGTCAGTAAACACTACGTGGTGAGAACACTGGTCTCACAAAACTGGGTTTCTATCGCGAGAAACTTACGTAATCTCAAGGGAAACACTTTCCCTGCACTTGCCTGGACAGTTCTTACAAAGGAAATGGGCTTTGTAAGCAGCAATTTGTTCAGACTGAAGCTTCTTAGGTGAGAGTTCAATTTGCTCAAGTGGGAATTCTTGAATGCAACAAGTGGGAGATCTATTTTTTGGGGGAGAATGGGCTCTCCTTATATACATTTTGTGTGGGAATATTATGTAAGTAAAAAGGTGATGTAATGACTTCAGAATGTGGGAAGAATATTCCAAAAACTGGAGCAGAATGTTCTAGCAGGTGCAAAAGAACATTCCAGAATATTCATGGTGGGATAATGACATCATTCTGAGTCACTATGAGTCACTATGAGTCATTATGAGTCATTGGAATGTTCTAGCAAATTCCATGGAACATGACATCATTATGACATCACTATGATATCATATCTTTCAACCAAAATACCTGCAGGAGTGTAGGTGAAGTCCTATGACATCATTATGACATCATACCCTGTAGGTACAATTTTATGAAGCATCTGATTAGTCAGAGCATCCTAATAGAAAAGCAAAGTAAAGAAACACTAGAGAAAACAACTCAGAAATAATGGAACAAATAATAGTACACAATACGCGGGCTTTTTAGATAGGTTTTTGTTAGGCTTTGAACTTTTCTCTATGGGTTTCTCTAGCCAAAGTGAATAAGCCAAATGAAAGGCAATACATTAACCTTCATTTTGCTTCTCATATCAACTAGGTCATTATGTGATTCCCATCTCACATATGACTTTTCTTCAAAACATGGTGGATTCATGAATCACTGAGGGAAAACTGAAACTATTGGACCAAGGTTTGATACCAAGGTATGGGTTGACTAGTCTGAGGACTAAGCTAACAGACTTTGTCTTTTAGGGGGATACCTAGTAGTCATGTCCATGCATGATTCCCAAATCATGCAGGACAGCGGGAATGCTGCGCGTATCCGACCAGGTTATGTCCCTGGAAACTCCATCTGTCGCTGACACATCCACGCTCATCACGCTTTCTGCACACAGTGACCACCCGCAGGTGCAATATCTGTGCACCATACCGCCGTCAGTCAGTGATGACTTTAAACATCTATCCACAGTCAGGGATGACTTTAAACATCCATTGCATCTTAATGCGCCCAATCCGGAGCCTTCTGCAGTACCAGAGGCTCAAAATGCGCCACCTTCTGACCAGAGTATGTCTCTGGTAACCCCCTCCATCACTGATCATTCCGCGCATTTCGCGTTTTCCGCTTACAGTGATTACCATCTGCTGGTGAAACATCTGTGCATCACATCGCCCATCCGCCAATTAGATCATGTCTCAGATGACTCTGATGCGCCTCCAGCGCACCACCATACGCCTAAGGTCGCACAGGTCATGCACTCAGAGGCATTGTATATTCATCCTCGTTCATTGTCACATTTCTCGTCCATTTCATGTTTAAAGCTGTTAAGACCGTAGCTCAAGGGTAGACAGATCCGAAGGGCTTGGCCTCAGCTTGTGCGCTGTGCCCCTTACCCAAGTATGTGCCCTTAATTTCAGAATGAAGTCCGGATGGAATCTGATGAAGTCCGAAGGACTTCCGGAGGCTGGCTAATCTGGTGGAGTGCTGAAGGACTTCCCATGGTAAGTTCCCTAGATAGAAACATATAGAGGATAGGCTGCAAGGGACAGAGTCCAAAGCAGGATAGGATAGGAGGAGTGGTCCAAAGGACAGGACATCCGGAGGTCCAAATGTAATGGCGTCCGAAGGTTTAGGAGGACCGGAGGAGTGGACAGGATTAGGACAGGAGGGGAAAGGCTACTATGGACAAGGTCTGGAGTAGAAACAAACAGAGGTAGACTAGACTATGGTAGAGTCGGATAGACGGGGTTTAGACAGAAGTCTCGGAAAGACAGGAAGTGCCAGAAAGGCAAACCTTCGGTCTAGGGAATCAATCCCTAGACTTCAGAACAGAGATATAGGGGATAAATCCGAAGGTCCGGTGAGGCGATCTCAACCTGGCTGGGCTGATATGAAATATCTAAAAATGCTCAACCAGTATAAGTGAGTCTTGGCTCTGCCTAGCTGCTATACTTGCAGAATGCAAGAATGTTCGACCCTAAAGGCAACTGCTACTGAACACAGAACCAGATGAAAGAAAGACCCTTGGAGTGCGATGGATGCACAAAAGCGCAAGAAGAAAAGCGAAGTGAGCGCGAAGCGCGAGAGAGCGCACTAAGGTAAGCGCGAGTGTGGGAACGTGAGCGCTAAGGCACGCGTTGTGCGGAGAATACCAGATAAGGAAACAGATAAGGAAGCGGATGTGCAAAGCGAGTGCAAATGCAGAGCGAGTGTTATAATGAGCGTGGATAAAGGTCTAGTATAGGCGGATAATGATAACCATTGGAAACACAAAGTGCGCCCAAGTGGTGACTACTACTTTAAGGTAAAACCCAATAGCGAAGGAAGCACAGCAAAGGGGAGTAATAATGATGAAGTAGTAAGTCAGCAAACTTTATACTATGGAAATCACATCGGAAGCGGAAGGGATAGGAGCAGTAAGCACTAAAAATATGTAATGACATGTAATAGCGCTGCAATGCTTGTTACAAACCACGAGGCAAGGCATATGACGTACCAATGAGGTGGATGGACATAGAGGGACATTCCTGGATGATAGGCGATGCAGGGCGCTTGCAGGGCGCTTAAGCGCGAGAAAGCGCGCAAGGCACGTGTGTGGGAATACTGCGCATTGTGCGGGAATGTATCGCGCCTATGGCGCGTTTTGCGGGAAAGCTGCGCGTTATGTGTAAAACGACTAGGGACATGATAGAAGTCGAATATAGCTGATGGTGCGAGTCGTGCATTGAAGGCCAATTGTCATGAGTTGTGAAAAGGTGCGAACTGTGCCCATATGTGCCTGCAGAAACGCGAGTCTCTACAACAGGTTGAGAAGAAGGAATGGATAAGGCAGGCGCTTGCGGCTGCGGTGATGGAGCTTGACTGGTTTGGGCGATAATCGCTTTCTTTGATTTGACCAGTTTGTGTGCAGGGAGAGTGTCGATGTCTTCCTGCTTGATTGGCTGTGCTTCTGTCGTAGGGGTTGCGCTTGACGGCGCATCTGACGGTCTATGAGGGATCTCACTAAAAGTGGATAGCGCGGTTAATGAGGAGAGAGTACTAGCGCTTGAGGGGGTTATGCGCTTGGGCGTGCTAATGAAAGCACCAGGGGGTAGGTTCCTTGGGTTATCTTGCGCTTCAAACTTGTCGGACGATTCACCTTTCGCGGAATCCTTGGGTGAAGGCGTGACAGGCGAAGCGGGAGTGCGCGGGTTTGGTGCGAAGAGTGAGAGGTCTGGGCGTATGGGTTCTGAGACGTGTCTTGCACGGGTTCGCGGAACTGGAACAAAAATCTCTCCTGCTTCTGCGACTCGCGGGTCTGAAAATGCGATATTGAATTCTTCGATGGCTTCTTCTCTTTCTTTGTGTCCCTTGGTAGACCTGAGCGACCTGCTAGTTTTCTCAGATGATCCCCTCGCGGTGGGCTCCAGTTGAGGGTGAGGAATGATAGCTGCGTGCTAGGGGGGAGAGTGGGAAGTGGGCTCTCAAGTGCTCCTCTGGATACGAGTGGAAAGTCGTCCCAAGGGGATTGCTACTGAGAAAGATTCCTCTAGTGAAAGGTGAGGGGGATCTATAACCAGCGGTTCGGTCTCGAAGCCTGAATGGGACTCTGAGGCAAATAATGCACCCAAAAGCGAAGTGCGCTAGCTAAAGGCGCCTAAATGCGCTAATAAGGCGGAAAGTGCGGAAAAGCGCACTTCGTGCGATCACAACGGAGTGCTTCAAGTAGAGATGACAATCAAATGGGGGAATCAGGACTTTGATAGATGTAGAAATAGACACTTAAAGGTGTCAAAGCGCCAATAGGAAGGAAAACCGGTGTATTCAGATAGAAACTCAAGCTATACACTTCGATGGTAGTGGAGCGGAAGTGAGTGACAGGAAAACAAACATGGTGACGTGTAGGTATGCTAAGTGAGTTCCCACGGCTCAGAGCCAAATAGGAAGTACTAAGGTAAATGGTGAGGTAAGTCAGGGTCCATAACAAGATATGATGATAAGTACTAGTGCCTGCATGACGGAGTATGAGTTCTGAAGAAGGGAAAACACACCAATGGACCTTGGAGGACTCGGACAGGACATGCGGAGGGCAGGCGACGGATCCTAAGGAAATGCAACGAAGTGCACCGTAACACGCTCGAATGCACTCAAATGCGCTGGTATGCGCCAAAGCGCGCGTTGCGCAGAAGTCGTATGAGAAGTGTGATGTAAGGATATCGAGTGCGTTGTGAAAAGCCATGAATTTGGCCCATATGAGCCTGGAGAAATGTGAGTCTCTACACCGTCTCATTTTAATTTGATGTTCATGCGCGATTTACGCGCTCATCTTGCATATATTCATGCGCATTCAGCACTCATCATTGTTTTCGACTTCGCATTTTTCATCCTTATTTGCATTTTCCACTCTTCCACCTATCATGTTGATATCATCCTTGCATGCCCAATCAAGGGCTATCTGTTTATGTCTTGGCACCAATTGGCCCTTGACCTAGAGTCTATCCAGCGCATTCGTGCATTATCCGCGCCTAATACCGCTTACCATTCATCTCCTGTTAATACTTTTACAGTGTATCAGCCGGTCCTCACATATTTAGAGGATATAGAGAACAATGCGCCCAAACGTGATTGTGCGCGCAGCTCACGCACACATTATCTAAACATAGAGCACCCCAATGCGCCTTATATTGCCCTATTAGGGCGCGCATTCAACTTGTACCGCAAGGTTCATTCCACCAGTCACTAGTCCGCCATCCAGCCGCATTTGAAGAAGATTCAGTTTATACCCGGTAGGAAAAGATGTTGAAGAGTCAGAAGATGAAGATACCACCGCCCTCATGTCGCCTTGGTCACCTTTCACCATCGCCTCATGTGCCTTTCGACCTGCAGCATCGCGCACTTTCAGATAGACGAAGAAGACCAGGAATGCACTGGTAGGAGAAGAAGTAGAAGAGCTCGACGAAGAAGATCCAAACACGCCAGCTTTCGACCCATCCACTCCATCATCTGACCCTTGCCATCATCATCCACACCATCCACTTTCCCTGCTCTGAATACCATCTACCGCCAAATATACCGTCATTTTCATAGGATATAGTTCATTTTACCCTGGGTTTCGTCTGGCGCTTTTCATTTCCATTTTCTCACATTATAATGTCGTCCAAAGGACTAATAACGCGCTGATATATATGCCTATAGAAAACCGCCTAGAAGAAAAGAAGAAAAACAAAAGACCATAGATTGTGCCCACCTAACCCAATAGGATATTCATTTTCTCTTCGAATGCATGAAGCGGCACCATGCACCTTTTACCTTAGAATGCGCCTCATATGCGCGCACATTTCCCACACTTCACGCTCATAGGAAGGAATAGAAGTCAACAGAAGAACAAAGAAGCCAAGTTGGACTTGGATATCTGCACCGTTTGCCGTCTCTTTTTCGCGTTTTGAATATAATTTTACTCATGCCATTCAATCCCATAGCACCTATTACTTAGTGCGCCTAGTGGGACTTGGTTTGGACATGGATTGGATCGCTTCCGGACCACCCAGCATCGCCTTATACCCCTGCAGACATATCGGACATGGACTGCATCGCGCAATCATCCCCTCGTGCTTCCTTGCAGTTTCATCATCGCGCATTCACCTCCTCGTGTTTTCCTTGCACCATTCACACTTCGTGCATTTTCACGCGCTACATTCCTGCGCCTAACACGACACATCATGCCATATTCACACAATCAGTCATCTCAATAAGCCGAGGCACTCCTCGCATGATCGCCATTATCATAGTTTCGAGCTCATATCATGATTGCTGTACCAGAGTCATTTCACGCAACCCACCATATGCGACACATTCTCGCGCTTCAGTCACCACGTTCCCACGCTCGCGCACATCACACATTAGCCACGCCTCTTTGCATTTAGTCGCATTATCAATCTGAGCACACGCACATCACGCCCGCCAATCATCACATACCCATATCATCGACTTCGCTCAAGATCCTCACCAGACGCACTCTGAGTGGGGACACTCAGTATTCAAAGTCCCCGGGAGATGTAGAGACTCATGTTTCTGCAGGCACATATGGGCTCATTTTACAAATTCTGACAACTGGCCTTCATGGCACAACTCGCATCATCATCCACTATGACTTCCACCATGGAGCGCACCACTTCCTGCGAAACGCGCCATAGGCGCACTACTTTCCCGCACAATGCGCAGTATTCCCACGTGTGCGCCTTGCGCGCTTTCTCGCGCTTAAGCGCACTGCGTTGCACATCATCCAGGAGCATCCATCCATCATCCAACCAGTCCCTCGGTATGTCCCTTTCATTATCTGACTATATTTGGCATATTACACTTCCTATTTCATTATGGACCCTTACTTACATCACCTTACCCTCACTTACATACTTAGAGCGCTCCCTATTTGGCTCTGAGCCCTGGGAGAGCGCTTAGGTAGACCTTACATACTCTCATGTTCGTTTTACACCCCACTTTTCCACCTTAGTTTCCTACCACTCAGTATCTTCTACCATCATGTTACTTGGCAGTTAGTTCCATGCAATGCATGTATCCATCATTTTGAGGCCCTAGCATCAGTCTATAGCTAGTGGCACTATCAGTATCCATCTAGATCTGCGCTTTCCTCTTATCAGTCTCAGTATACGTCTTCTACACTTGTGCGCCACTTGCACTACCTTCCTGCGCTTCGTGCACTTTCACACTTCACTTTCCCATGTGCACCTTCAGCGAGTTTCTTGTGCTTTCACTGCCATTCATCAGGGTTGTTCTGCATCATTTCGTGGATCCTTGCTTTCCTTGCTTCCCCTTTAGGGTCCAACATTCTTGCATTCTGCGAGTATAGCAGCTAGGCAGAGCTGAGACTCACTTATACTGGCTGAGCACTTTTCTTATATGTGCCTGCTAGGTTGTGATATTCACACCGATGCAACTGCTGAGCCCTGAATTGCAAGGTAGTCTTTCATGATCTTGGCCATTATCGGATATTGCAAAGAGTGATGCTATATTCAATTTTGTTAGCCTCTCGTGCAAGTATCTATAAATTTTACACAACAAATACTTACTGCACACAATGCTGATCTGCATTCCATTGTTCACTGGATGGATCAATCTCATCTGTGACTGCTTGGATAGCAGTATTGTTATTTGTGGCATTGTTTGCAGTGAACCTACCAAGCTAAATTTCGTGTCATGAGGTGTGATCTAAAACGAGGAAGAAAGACGCACCTTTTTTCAAACACCGTACTCATCAATAACCTCCATTAAAATGTTCCCAATGTTGGCACCACTATGGTTTCCTTCAATATACCTGAAAGCAAGCTGATTGGACTTCAGCTCCCACTCTTGGGGCTTGTCAGCAGGAGCATTGATATAATGAGCTGTGACTGATAAGAAAGGGTCACCTATGAGAGATGTCCAGGAGTCAAATGTCATTGATATGTTGCTGTCAATGTGCGCGAGCTTGTCCTTGATTGTCTCGACAGCAAGTCTGGCTCTTTCGAGGATCTCCTTGTGGGTTTTCATATGATGAGGAATGGCACTATCAGAAAGATTGGGGCAAAGATACTGCAAGAGGCGACGGAAAGGCCCTTTGTCGACAAGCTGGATAGCTTCATCCTCGGAGACAATGAGCTCAACTATGTAGTCCATCAAGCCTGCCTTCGTGAACTGAGGAATTTTGGGGGCAAGTGACCCGTTGTCATGCATGGTATGGAGTTCATACCATGACATTTATGAATAGCAGTGTAAAAGGAGATGAGTAGAGGAGTGTACAAAGGATATACTTCTCACTTATATAAGCTTTGTTTCTATTTGTTTAGTTGTATTTGTAGTTTCCATTAGTTTCTGTCTCTTTCCATCTTTCCATTTGTTCATGTTTATTCAGCTACTTGATTACATCAGTGAGCCACTCAGATATGTTTGTAAGCATGTCATGTGATTGGTAATATTCTGATTTGTAAGGACTTTCCATGACTCATCATGTTTTGTCATGATTCAAAGGGTCCCATGATGAAATAGGAAGTGTAATATGCCAAATATAGTCAGATAACAAAAAGGGACATACCAAGGGACTGGTTGGACGATGGATGGATGCTCCTGGATGATGCACGACGCAGGGCACTTAAGCGCGAGAAAGCGCGCAAGGTGCGCATGTGGGAATACTGCGCGTTGTGCGGGAAAGTGTTGCGCCTATGGCGCATTTCGTGGGAAGTGGTGCGCTCTATAGGGAAGTCATAGTGGATGATGGTGCAAGTTGTGCCATGAAGGCCAGTTGTCAGAATTTGTAAAATGAGCCCATATGAGCCTGCAGAAACGCGAGTCTCTACATCTCCCGGGGACTTTGAATACTGAGTGTCCCCACTCAGAGCACGTCTGGTGAGGATCTCGAGTGAAGTCGGTGATATGGGTGCATGATGATCGGCAGGCATGATGTGCGTGTGCTCGGATGATAGTGTGACTAAGTGCGAAGAGGCGTGGCTAATGTGCAATGTGCGCGAGCGTGGGAATGTGTGACTGAAGCGCGAGAATGCGTCACATATGGTGGGTTGCGCGAAATGACTCTTGTATGGGAATCGTGATATGAACTCGGAACTATGATGATGGCGGTCGTGCAGGGGGTGCTCGGCTATTGAGGTGACTGATAGTGCGAGGATGGTGTGGATGTGTTGCGTTAGGCGCGTGAAAATGCGCGAAGTGCGAATGTGCGAGGAAACACGAGGGGATGATTGTGCGATGATGTCCATGTCCAATATGTCTGCGGGGGTATAAGGCGATGCTAGGCGGTCCGAAAGCGATCCAATCCATGTCCAAACCAAGTCCCACTAGGCGCACTAAGTAATAGGTGCTATGGGATTGAATGGCATGAGTAAAACTATATTCAAAAACGCGAAAGAGAGACGGCAAACAGTGTGGATGTCCAAGTCCGACTTGGCTTCTTCATGCGGCTGTTGACGTCTATTCCTTCTTATTGGTGCGAAGTGCGGGAAATATGCGCGCATATGAGGCGCATTCTAAGGTAAAAGGTGCATGGTGCCGCTTCATGCGTTGGAAGAGAAAATGATATCCTACTGGGTTAGGTGGGCACAATCTATGGTCTTTTGTTTTTCTTCTTTTCTTCTAGGCAGTTTTCTATAGGTGTATATATCAGCGCATTATTAGTCCTTTGGACGACATTATAATGAGGGGAAATTGAAAATGAAAGCGCTGGATGAAACCCAGGGTAAAACGAACTATATCCTATGAAAATGATGGTATATTTGGCGGTATATGGTATTTGGGGATCAATGGAGTGGGGAAAGCGGATGGTGCGGATGATGATGGCGAGGGTCGAATGATGGAGTGGATGGGTCGAGGGCTGGCGCGTTTGGATCTTCTTCGTCTATCTCTTCTACTTCTTCTCCTACCAGTGCGTTCCTGGTCTTCTTCGTCTATTGGGAAGTGCACAATGCTGCGGGTCGAAAGCACGTGAGGCGATGGTGAAAGGCGACTAAGGGCGACTGAGGGCAGCGGTATCTTCATCTTCTGACTCTGCAACATCTTCTCCTACTGGGTATAAACCGAATCTTCTTCAAATGCGGCTTGATGGCGGACTAGTGACCGGCGGAATGAATTCTTGCACCTTGCGGTACAAGTTGAAGGCGCGCCCTAATGGGGCTATATAAGGTGCGTTTGGGTGCTCTATGATCGGATAATGTGCGCATGAGCTGTGCGCACAATCGCGTTTGGGCGCATTGGAATCTATATCCTCTAAATATGAGAGGAGCGGCTGATACACTGAAAATATTAACATGAGACGAATGATAAGCGTTATTAGGCGCGGATAATGTGCGACTGCATCTGATAGACTCTAGGTCAATGGCCAATTGGCGCCAAGACATAAACGGATAGCCCTTGATAGGGCATTCAAGGATGATATTGACATGATAGATGGAAGAGGGGGAAATGCGGATAAAGGTGAAAGATGCGAAGTTAAAGACAATGATAAGTGCTGAAGGCGTGTAAATATATGCAAGACGAGCGCATAAGCTGCGCATGGACGGCGAATTAAAATGAGACTGGTTCTGGACAAGAGAAACATGGCTAAAAACTGATGAAACGGTAAAAATGCGATAGCAGGAAGACTCTTCTGCAATGATGGTCGCATATAGCGCAGGAAATAAAGCGCGTGGTGCGCGAATGCGGCGTGTGAAGGATGAATCAACAATAAAATGTTGCGGATATGAAGGCGAAATAATGGCGACTGGCATCTGGATCCTTGAAAGCTTTAAACACGAAATGAATGAGAAATGCGATATAGAACGAGGATGAATATACAATGCCTCTAGGTGCATGACCTGTGCGACCTCAGGCGTATGGCGGCGCACTGGAGGCGCATCAGAGTCATCTGAGACATGCTCTAATTGGTGGATGAGCGATGCGATGCACGGATGTTTCACCGGCAATCGGTATTCACTGTAGGTGGAAAGCGCGGAATGGTCAGTGATGGATGGGGTTACCAGAGATATACTCTGGTCGGAAAGCGGCGTGTTAAGATGCAATGGATGTTTAAAGTCATCCCTGACTGACGATAGATGTTTAAAGTCATCACTGACTGACGGCGATATGGTGCATGGATGTTGCACCTGCGGATGATAGTCACTGCGTGCGGAAAGTGCGACGAGTGCGGAATGGATAGCAATGGACAGGGTTACCAGAGACTTAACCTGGTCAGATAGCGGCGCGTTTCGAACCTCTGATGCTACAGAAGACTCCGGAATGGGCGCGTTAGGATGTGATAGATGTTTAGAGTCATCCCTGACTGATGATAGATATTTAGAGTCATCACTGACTGTCGGCGGTATGGTGCACGGATATTGCACCTGCAGATAATGGTCACTGTGCGCGGAAAGTGCGACAAGTGCGGAATGGATAGCAATGGACGGCGTTACCAGAGATTTAACCTGGTCGGATAGCAGCGCATTATGAGCCTCTGATACTACAGAAGACTCTGGAATAGGCACGCTAATGTGCAATAGATGTTTAAAGTCATCCCTGACTACGGATAGATGTTTAAAGTCATCACTGACTTCGGATAGATGTTTTAAGTCATCGCTGACTGGTGGCGGTATGGTGCACGGATATTGCACCTGCGGATGATAATGGTCACTGCACACAGAAAGCGCGACGAGTGCAGATGCATCAGCGACAGACGGAGTTTCCAGGGACATAACCTGGTCGGATAGCAGCGCATATTGAACCTCTGATACTTCAGAAGGCTCCGGAATTGGCGCGCTAAAGTGCAATAGATGTTTAAAGTCATCGCTGACTGACGGCAGTATAATCTCCTCCAGAGGCGCTTCTGGGAGGATTGGGATGGTGATAGGCTCGCATACTTCGAGCTTGGGCGGAATATCTTTGGCTAGTGGATACTCTGGTGCAGATATGGGTTCTTGAGGAGTGCTTATGATGCGCGCTTCGAGTTGGACTGATGGCGGGGTGGTGATATCAAGGGGCACTTCTGGGACTACTGGGGTGGGGGCGGCATTGCATACTTCAGGTATGGGTGCAATGACTTCGACTGCTGGTTGGTCTTGAGTGCATTCCGGTTGCGGAGGTGCGCTTGCAATGGGCGCTTCGATGGTGGCTGGTTTTTCAAAGATAGGGCGCGTATAGTGGTCAACACCACATTCTAGATAGAAATACAAGACATGATCAGCGAATTCTACATAGTTGTCACCTTCGTAGTATGAGAGAAGCTGCCTTTGTTTAGGCGCTGTATACTTCAGTGCATACTTGATGATCTCCTTGTCCGTTAAACCAAGCGGTTGCGTGAGTTGTTCTACTGACTCCAGGAAGTTGACGAGTTGAGTATAATCGCCTGCAAAGCGCGGCACTGAGTCAGCTATTCGAAGGGGCATTCCGGATGAATCTACTGGGTCGTACATGGCGCGGGAATTTGCGGTTTAAGTGTGAAAAGATGCAAGAAAGTGCGAAAAAGCGCGGATTTGCGGAAAAGGTCGAAATTGTGGTTGGCCTAAAGGTTGAAAGCGCGTGGATATGCTGACTGTTCCCCTCGCGGTGGGCTCCAGTTGTGGGTATCACAACCTGGCTGGGCTGATATGAAATATCTAAAAATGCTCAACCAGTATAAGTGAGTCTTGGCTCTGCCTAGCTGCTATACTTGCAGAATGCAAGAATGTTCGACCCTAAAGGGGAAGCAAGGAAAGCAAGGATCCACGGAATGATGCTGAACAACCCTAGTGAATGGTGGTGAAAGCGCGAGAAACGCGCTGAAGGCGCGCGCGGGAAAGCGAAGTGCGAAGGTGCGCGAAGTGCGGGAAGGTAGTGCAAGTGGTGCACAAGTGTAGACGGCGGATACTGAGACTGATAAGGGAAAAAGTGCGGATCTAGACGGATACTGACAGTGCCACTAGCTATAGACTGATGCTAGGGCCTCAAAATGATGATGGATATATGCATTGCATGGGCTAACTGCCAAATAACATGGTGGTAGTAAGATGGTGGTAGGAAGCTAAGGTGGTTTAGTTGGGTGTAAAACGAACATGAGAGTATGTAAGTTCTACCTAAGCGCTCTCCCAGGGCTCAGAGCCAAATAGGGAGCGCTCTAAGTATGTAAGTGATGTAAAGTGATGTAAAGTAAGGGTCCATAACAAAATAGGAAGTGTAATATGCCATATATGGTCAGATAATGAAAGGGACATACCGAGGGACTGGTTGGACGATGGATAGATGCTCCTGGATGATGTGCAACGCAGTGCGCTTAAGCGCGAGAAAGCGCGCAAGGCGCGCACGCGGGGATACTGCGCATTGTGTGGGAAAGTGTCGCGCCTATGGCGCGTTTTGCGGGAAGTGGTGCGCATGATGGTGGAAGTCATAGTGGATGATGGTGCGAGTTGTCAGAATTTGTAAAATGAGCCCATATGTGCCTGCAGAAACACGAGTCTCTACACCGGAAGGAACTGGCACCACACGTCCAGCAGAGTGGCAAGCCTGTCCTTCTTGCCATCGGTTCCCTTTCATCACTGCACTATACAACTCGCTTGCTCAAATCTGTTATACTCTCGCTCGCTCACATATTTTCATCGTTTTTACCTTACCATTCAGAATGACTTACAGCCATGTAGACCTCAATTTACCTGGGCAGGGATCCAGCACTTCGATGGCTCCTTCACAAAGCTCTACAGCGCTGAACAACACTGGCGCTCATGCTGCCCAGTCTCAGCATCCTCAACAATTACCTTCACCTCCTGCAACACAATCACCAGGACCCCCTATTACATGTCAGCGCCTACATCCGCCTTTGACTCAGCAACAAGGTGCCTCATCATCTCAGCAACAGCCCTTGACCTCTTCAGTGCCACAGCCCACCATGCAAGGAATGCCTTCTAGTTCCACAGCATCTCATTCCCAGACTTCCACAGCTCAGGGTTTGCATCCCCCTATCACGCCTAATCCTGTCACTACCCATCCAGTCGCAACACAGCCATCTGGCACCCAACAAGGTCCACCTGCAGCCAACAATGCGCACCCTGCAGCTGCAACTGCAACTGCAGCGCAACAGGATCCAGCGGCTCAGCACTGTTTAGCTGAACGGGCAGCACTAGAAGCCAGGCTACTTGAGTTGGACGCCAAAGAAGCCAATGGTGTCCCCCCTCCGGCCGGTGCTCCTGCTACTCCAATCCAAAACTTATGTGCTGACCCAGCAACGGTCGAACGAATGTGAGCAGCAGCAGCAGCACCACCCTCAGAAGCAAAGAATGTTGCCTTACCAGACTTGGTTCCGGGTTTTAAAGCGAACCAACTTGATGCTAGTAAGTAGCTGTTTTGTTTCACCGTCGTTATCGCACCGTTGTTCCATACACCGTTGCATACCCTTTTGGGTTCTACACCGTTGTGAGCTCAGACACTATAAATTAGTTCTGGCTCAAAAGCACTGTCTGCCCTTAGCTCATTGGATCATTTGTGATTCATATGTGCTTACTGTCTCTTTACAGTTGTTCCCCCGAAAGTGGAGGATGCCCTGAAGCAGTACAAGTACATACCTTACATTGCTATCACTCCAGCCGCACATATGCATGCATTTCATAACAATGATGAAGTGTTCACCTTTAACAGCCAAGGCAATCTGATTGCCAAAGGTCTGGACCGCAGTAAAGAGAGATCCATCAAGTTCCACGAGTGGTTGACAGCTTCCAGAGTGGTCGAAGAATGCATCGCCTTCTATCATGGAGCTAGCAGAGGTGCCACCTTTGTGTCGCACCACAAGGCCATATCTGAACTCACTTCATTGCACGGCTGGGAAATTGCCCATGAGTATGACATATCACAAAGAGAACTAGCAGTGCAAAATCCTGCGCATGACCTCAGTGGTCTGGACCTAAACACTCTTACGCTTATTGCCACTCAGGTCGCTGCTCGCATGTCACTTGTGACTCCACAAGTTTCCCACCTGCCCTCTTCTCCTTCAAAGTGTCCGGCTCCTTTGGATTCCTCAGCTAGTGTCTTGCAGACGCCACGTAAGAAAGCGCGCCTGCATTGCTTTTGATGCGGGCACTCCGGACACATGCCTGGTGACTGTAGTGCCAAAGCCACATCTGCAGGCAAACCAATCGCTTCGCTTGCACCATCAGCGAAAAGCTGCCACACACTATCAGCTACCAATGGAAAGCATTACTGCTTCAACTGGGCCTGTTCTTCCTCCTGCTCCTTCGGATCCAACTGCACAAATTTCCACGGATGCAGCATCTGCTGGGAGACCAGGCATGGAGCTGGCAGCTGCAACCAATGAGCCTGACCCCCGCATAATTGTCACCCCATTGATTGCAACATGCGTCGAAGAACTTCTACATAAATATAACCTATTAGAAGACTGGATGCACATTCTTGTAGGTATACAAAATGGTTTCGATGTTGGTGTGCGGGACCCCCCACTAGCAACCCATTTATTTCGAAAATCACACATCATTGCTCTTGGATCCTTCCTTTATCAATTCATATATCACCAGCGAACAAGCCGCTGGCCACTACTCCCGCGGTTATACCCCAGATGAGCTTGAACGTATAATTGGTCCATTTATCTCCTCACCTTTAGGCCTAGTACCAAAACCCCATTCAAACAAATTTCACCTTGTCCAAGATCGTTCATACCCTCAAAACAACCCATCAATACCTTCTGTCAATGCCAGAATCAATGCCAGCGAATTCCCTACAATATGGGGTTCATTCAACAGTACAGCTGAATTAATCCTTTCGTTACCACCAGGATGCGTTGCAGCGACATTCAATATCTCTGCAGCCTACCGCATCATGCCCATTCATCCAAGCCAACAAAATTCTCTGTGTGTATATTGGCGAGGAATAGTCTACGTCGACTGAGCGCTAATGTTTGGCTTGTCCTCCAGCGCTGGAGTTTTTGGCTCCATTGCCAATATGCTAGTTGCTATATATGGCCGCACAAGCTTTGATCTCATTCGCAAATGGGTCGACAACTTTCTAGTCATCCGTCTCCCCCACCAATCTTGGTCAGAATCCAAATTCATCGCCCTGACAGCCTTCTGTGGTGTTCCATGGAGTCTCGAGAAGCTGCACACATTTGCGATGGTCCAGCGTTACATTGGCTTTGATTGGAACCTAGACAGAAAATCAGTAGCAATCCCAACCGAGAAGCTTTCCAAAATTCAGGCGCTATTAGCCACCTGGCTCGAGCCTGGTGCGAGGTTCTCATGAGAAGAGACAAACAGCATGCACGGGAAGCTGGTACACATCTCCTGCGTTTTTCCCATGGTCTGCCCTTTCCTACGTGCCCTGTCTACTTTCGCATCAATCTTTCGATCCCCATAGGCAAAGCTATCCCCCTCCTCCAGTATTGTCAAAGACCTCTCCTGGGTTGCCGACCTCCTGCAGCTTCTACCGAACGAGATTGCTCTCTGTTCTCCACACCCTGTGGACATAGGGTGGTGGGGAGATGCCAGTATGTCCTTCAGCATTGGCGTAATCATAGGCCAGTTTTGGGCCGTCTGGCAATGGGCACCCGGTTTTCGGGTGGGTCCAATCAGGCTTTCGATATCAGATGGGCCGAAGCCATTGCTGTAGAATTAGGGCTTCGCCTGGCCTTACACCTTGGTTAGTACTACACATTCCAATTACTGTCCTTTCCTCACTGGCTGCAGGCATATTGAAGCTGGCCAACCCACACGATCACCTGTTTCTTGTCTGCTCGGTGTCTTGTTACTTAAGGGTCTTATATATGACACATATATAGTGACAACACAACTATACAGGATAAGACTTCTTGCCAGTCCTTAAGTACACAGTCTACGACTTTTCTAGTTTTCGTGGTAGATAATGTGCTGAGTTCTTGGGAGGAATGTCTTTCAATATTCTCCTTCTTGTTCCTTAGTTAGTTTAAACCTCGTGGTCTCGAAATACTGAGTGTGAAGTTTGTACATGTTTTGGCAAGTGTGTGCCTGTGGATTCGTGAAGTGTGTCTCATGATTCGTGTCTCCCTTCCTGAAAAAGAGAGGAAAGTAATGCTGATAAACTTTTAGCTAGGTAGCTGTACTTTGTTATATAATCAACCCCTGTAAGGTAGTATATAACTTGAATATATGTTTCTTATTCTTAACTTCAAGGCTGCTGAATGGCCTGCACTTAGATCTTGCTGGTTCTCACACGGTTTGAGAAAAGAGTTAAAGTGGGAAGCTTAAATTGCATGGGTGAAAATGGGCTCCTTATATACCTTTTGGGAGGCCATCTTACTAAGCATGATTCATCACATAGATTGGTAAGAATGTGCTTACAAACTTGTGTTGAGTCAGCTTGTTTACTAATGTACATACAAAATGAAGTGTAGTATTACAAAGAATGAAAAATGAAAAGCATGAGTCATCACATGGATTGGTAAGAATGTGCTTACAAACCAAGTCCATAGGTGTGCTGAATCAGCCTTATGACAAAGTGGATTACAAATACAGTTGCAAGTTTTACAAAGCATGACGAGTCAAGTTAAATCCTTACAAATCAGAGTATTTCCCAGTCACATGACATGATTACTAACATGTTTGGTGGCTTGAGGAAAAGTCTGGTGGCTAAATGTGCCTAGAAAAATAGAAAGAGATAGAATCTCATGGAACAAAATAGAAATACATAGAAAAAAATAGGAGTGAAGTTTGAAAGTGAAAATACTAGCTAAGAAATGAATGAAAAATGATAAGGTAACTTGGTGATAGGAATCAGTCAGGTGTATTCTACCTTCCCTTTCACTGCTGTTGTGCATATGTCATGGTATGGATCACATACCATGCATGACATCGGACAATGCAGGAGTTGTTGCGGTAACCAACAAAGGCCGGTCACACAGCAAAGCAACCAACTTGACCCTAAAGCAGATATTTGCATTGCAGGCCCTAAATGGTGTTCGCATTCGCACCGAGTATGTTCCCAGTCGTGACAACATTGCAGATGCCCTCTCCCAGGGAGACATTGCAACATTCTTAGCTGGTTTCCCCATCACATCGCAGAAAGTAGCATTCCCACTGCCAGACCACCTTTCGGAGAAAATGATATCATTATAGCATCTGCCCACACCATTTCCCACCAGTTTCACTCCCTCCCGGCCCAACCTCAGCCAGAAACCCAATCGCTTAGCCTCAATCCTTCTCCGTTTCGCCCACACTGCCGTGCAGACCAGCAGTTATATCTCTGGCAAGGACCTAACACACCCCCATCTACAACAATAACACACCCAGTCATTGAGCACTTAGCCAGTCTGGCTACCAGAGCCTCTCTTTGTGACACAAGAAACTATGGTGCCGGCCTCCACAAATTTCACTTGTTCTGCAACATATTCTCAATTCCTGAGACAGACCGTCTCCCAGCTGCATTCGAGCTTCTTCACTCATTTGCCTTGTGGGCAGTGTCCGACCTATCTGAATCCTCCATAAGCTCAGTTCTGCAAGTATCGACATCCATTCCATATGAGCCCATATCTGTCAGCGTCATGAGAAAATACCTTGCGGCAGTTCATGCATGGCACATTGCTCAAGGATGGCCTCCCCCTCTCTCAGACAACCATCACGCTAGAATTAACTGGTCATTGCGAGGCTTAGACAACTTGGTCACCTCCCGATGCAAGCCACTTTACCCTCCCATCACTTTTGACATGCTACATGCTATCAAGGTTACCTTAGAGCTATCGGACCCATTTGACGCTTGCATTTGGGCTATGGCCAGTTGTGCCTTCTTCTGGATGATGCGCTTCAGCGAGGTCTCTGTTGGATCACGGGCCGCATTCAATCCCACCAAGCACCTAACTCGCAAGGATGTATTCATGGGTACTGACCTCTCGGGAAAGTCATATGCCCGTCTGGACCTACCTTCAGCAAAGACAGCTTGCCCAGGCGAAATCCAGTCCGTGTTTATTGTCACTGAAGGCTCACTATGCCCTGTTGTAACACTACACAATCTCGCCTCGGTTGTCCCAGTGCTTCCCAATGACCCCCTCTTTTCCTGGCACAATCACACTGGCGAAATTTGTCCTATGATCAAGCAACGAGCCCTCGAATGAATCAACCGCATCACTGCAGCATGGGGTTGGGGCACGGCCTTTGGCCACTCGTTCCGCATAGGAGGAGCATCCTTTTACCTTGCCAAGAAAGTAGATCCGGAGGTAGTGCGCTTAGCTGGCTGCTGGTGCTCGTTAGCCTATGAAACATACATTTGCGCCTTCGAGCAAGTTGCCAATCAATATCTAAGTTTTCAGTCACTGTGAGCTGCTCACTGGTTGGGTTTAGCTGGCAAGTTTCGCCGCAGTCTGGGTTCATCAGCTTTGGGTAAGCGGCAATCTCGCCAGCATCCGAACCAAGCTAACGCTCAGCCCAGCCCAACCACTGTTTGTCTGACCATCAATGATTGTGCGATAGACGAAGCTGGATTGTGAAAGGTGCTGGTTCCTGAGTGCCTGGAAGGAACTGGCACCACACGTCCAGCAGAGCGGCAAGCCTGTCCTTCTTGCCCTTGGTTCCCTTTCATCACTGCACTATACAACTTGCTTGCTCAAATCCGCTATACTCTCACTCACTCACATATTTTCACCCACCCACCACTCCCAGGATCAGTTATTGCACCTTTAATATCAGCCGTTCTTTCTCGATTACATGCCGAATTTTTGTTACACTCTTAGCTTCATACACCTACACTCATAATGGTCATTCATTCAGCCCGCTTGTCGAGTTTTCCTGCCCACCCAGTGGCAATCTCGCCAGCGTCCAAACCGAGCTAACACTTGGCCCAGCCCAACTACCGTTTGTCTGACCATCAATGATTGTGCGATAGACGAAGCTGGATGGACTGAACCGCTGTAGAGATTCACATTTCTCCAGGCTCATATGGGCCAAATTCACGGCTTTTCACGATGCACTCGATATCCTTGCAATGCGCTTCTCATACGACTTCCGCGCAACGCGCGCTTTGGCGCGTACCAGCGCGTTCGAGTGTGTTCGAGCGCGTTACGGTGCACTTCGTCGCATTTCCTTAGTATCCGTCACCTGTCCTCCGCATGTCCCGTCCTAGTCCTCCAAGGTCCATTGGTGCATTTTCCCTTCTTCAGAACTCATATTCCATCATGCAGGCACTAGTACTTATCATCATATCTCGTTATGGACCCTGACTTACCTCACCATTTACCTTAGTACTTCCTATTCGGCTCCGAGCTGTGGGAACTCACTTAGCATACCTACACGTCACCATGTTTGTTTTCCTGTCACTTACTTCCGCTCCACTACCATCGAAGTGTATAGCTCGAGTTTCTATCAGAATACACCTGTTTCCCTCCTATTGGCACTTTGACACCTTTAAGTGTCTATTTCTACATCTATCAAAGTCCTGATTCCCCCATTTGATTGTCATCTCTACTCGAAGCACTCCATTGTGATTGCACGAAGTTGTTAAGACCGTAGCTCAAGGGTAGACGGATCCGAAGGGCTTGGCCTCAGCTCATGCGCTGTGCCCCTTACCCGAGTACGTGCCCTTAATTTCAGAATGAAGTCCAGATGGAATCTGACGAAGTCCGAAGGACTTCCGGAGGCTGGCTACTCTGGTTGAGTGCTGGAGGACTTCCGGATGAGCGCGGGAAACTTTCGGATGAGTATAGGAAACTCTGGAAGAGTTTCACCCACTGCATTAGATCCGAAGGTAAGCTCCCTAGATGGAAACACATAGAAGATAGGCTGCAAGGGACAGAGTCCAAAGCAGGATAGGGTAGGAGGAGTGGTCCGAAGGACAGGACGTCCAGAGGTCTGAAGGTTGCGACGTCCGAAGGTTGCGACGTCCGAAGGTTACGACGTCCGAAGGTTACGACGTCCGAAGGTTACGACGTCCGAAGGTTACGACGTCCGAAGGTTACGACGTCCGAAGGTTACGACGTCCGAAGGTTACGACGTCCGAAGGTTACGACGTCCGGAGGACCGGAGGAGCGGACAGGATTCTAGGACAAGAGAAGAAGGGCTACAACGGACAAGGTCCGGAGTAGAAACAGACGGAGGTAGACTACACTATGGTAGAGTCGGATAGACGGGGTTTAGACAGAAGTCTCAGAAAGACAGGAAGTGCCGGAAAGGCAAAGCTTCGGCTTAGGGAGTCAATCCCTAAGCATGGATATAGACGGAAGGATAAATCTGGAGGACCGGAAGGTTGGCCTAGGGAATCCTTCCCTAGGCCTAAGGAAAGGCAATACTAAGATGGACCGAAGTCCGAGATCAGAATGAGTGAAGTCTAGGATGCGAGAGAGCAAGTCTATGTTGAGCAGAATCTAAGATGATATTCGAACTAAGGAAACTTTACAGGAGTTGTACAGAGGTTTATATACTGGACGGGATCCGAGAGGATCAGTAAGCTGAAGACAAATGCTATGTACGAGCATGTGGAAACATATTGGTAAGTATGAACGGAACATAAACAAATGAACTCGGAGATGAACAAAGTACAAGGATCAATAAGCAAGACGGAAACACAGATAACCGAAGTCCGGAGTCAAGAGGATTACCATAAGGAGATAGACGCTGATTTAAGGTTTGAGCTTCGGATATGAGTATAGGTCGGATCCGGAGGTCTAGAGATATTGGATGAGGCGTCTGGATATCGGATGAGCGGATCCAGAGATCTAGGTGAAGACGAGACTAGGATATAGATCATGGATATCATCCGGTAGTCTAGGGAAGGTAAAGTCTCAGGTAGGATGAGCTCGGATCCGATGGGATCAAGGGTGGATGAAGCAGGCTTAGCTGCGGAGGTCCGAAGGTATGGATATATGGATGTACGAAGGTGTACGGATCCAAACCGATAGTGGACTGGAGGACTGCAGGCATGGATAAGGGTATGGAGTCATGGATAAGGGTATGGAGGTCCGGATGTGCATCCGGAAGGCGTCCGGAAGGCGTGGGAACATCATCGGACGTAGGTCCAGAATACGGGATATGACAGAAGTGCGCTTTAACATTGAAGCGCACTTTTCCGCACTTCCCGCCTTATTAGCGCGTTTAGGCGCCTTTAGCTAGCGCACTTCGCTTTTGGGTGCATTATTTGCCTCAGAGTCCCATTCAGGCTTCGAGACCGAACCGCTGGTTATAGATCCCCCTCACCTTTCACTAGAGGAATCTTTCTCAGTAGCAATCCCCTTGGGGACAACTTTCCACTCGTATCCAGAGGAGCACTTGAGAGCCCACTTCCCACTCTTCCCCCTAGCATGCAGCTATCATTCCTCGCCCTCACCGCGGCAGCACTACTATCAGCTGTGTGGCTCTTAGTGCAAGTTCGAAGGGGCATGGAGACCACTAGTGCAATGTGAATGCACTGTAGAATTAGATTAGCATTTAACGAAAGTTATGCGATACAGATCAAAACAAGTTTTGAGAGGATAAACAATAGATATAGCAATACTGTTTAGATGACAAGTGCGAGACTGAGACTTGGAGACTGGATATGATTTCCTGCAGTAAGGAGTGTACATGGGCTACTTTTATACTGCACAATGTTCAAGGGTTGGATATAGCTATGCTGAATCAATTATGTGACAACAGACACTGAAGGGAGTGGTGTTGCACCTGACAGGGTAAAAGGGAAGAGGGTATGAAATGATTGAGTGAATGGCGATATAAAAGGGTATGGTATTGACAGAGTGACGAGAATTGCATAGTGGTTTTGACAGAATTGGACATGGCGAACTGAGAATAGGGTGACAGTGACAAAGAATGTGAGCTGAGGGTTGACAATGACGAGAGATAAGGAGTCGAGGGTCCATGCTGACTGAGGTTGGCAGTGCGCTGATGGTGGTCTAGGTAAGTGTTGAAACAGCAGTTTCCTGCATCAGATGATTGGTAATCCTTACATGTGCTGATTTGACATGTCTGAAAGCCATGGCTCAGGGGCCTGGCCCAGGCCTGTGCAGACAACAAGCCAGGCCTAAAGCCCTCATAGGCCCTACTCCAAAGCCCAGCTTGGCCCATCCCAACAAGGCTCAGCTCAGCTCGGGCTGGGGCTTCAGGCCAGGCTTTGCACAATACTAATCCCTGCTCATTCTCACTGGTCTTCATTTGTTCTTGCCTGTCTCCACTCGTTCTCACAAGATCTAGTTGTCCTTGCTTGTTTTCACTCACTAATGACAGTATCTGCTCATTTTCAAGGCAACAACAAAGACTTGGATGAGGTTATCCAGGATGTACATGATTTCAGGTTTCAAGGTTCTTAGGTGATGCTGATGGCGAAATGGCCATGTCCCACTCTTAGTTGGTGTGTGATCTCATGTTTCAAGGTTGTTAGGATATGCTGATGGAGCCATGGCCATGTCCCACTCCCAGCATGTGCATGTTATTGTGTTTTGGACTTCTTTGTGTGCTCAACCCCTGCTTCAATTGCACCGCTTACTCATGCTCAGGCTATCATGTGCTTTTGGAGACCTTCTTGATTTCTTATGGAATTTAATCTTCCTTTTCTTGCCTGAGCTTACCTTGATTGTTCCTTGTGTATGTCTCAAATAATAGTATTTTTGACCACCTTATTTGCCTTGACAGAGTATTCTAAGGAGAAGTCCCTTATCTCCTTGGTTTAAGGGGATGGACCTCCTTTTTCTTGTTATTCTAAGTGTGAACAAATAGCCTTGAATTTACCTTATTGTGCAAAATAAGGTAAGTAAGGAACAAATTAAGTACAAAAGGAACTTGGTGATTTCCTGATGTAAGCTATTGCATTAGGACTATCATAGTAAGACCATCACATTTTAGACCATCATATTTTTGCACTTGTGTTCACTTGTGGCATGTTCTTCAACTTCAACTTGCACCTCTTTCCACTCTTGTGTGTCACTCACTTCCTTTTTGTGCTTGCAAAAAATCCAGGACCCAAATTGATAGTGAAATAAGTGAAATGAGAAGATAAGTTTTAATTTGCAAAGTAAGTGAGATTAAGGAATGTGTGAATTTACTGATGGCCTGGCCTTGAAGCAAACCTCTGAAACAAAGTGATGAAGATGGGGTGCATCATGATATCAAGCCCTCCAGTGGTTATTGTCACAAAAGTTTTATTGGACCTTAGGATGACTGGTACTTGTGTGTATTCCTCCCAGTGGTACATTAGGTTAATGTTAAGGATAAGTATGTCAGAGTACTATCATACCCAAGTTCAGTATTATGAGTTTATCTATGACATTCTACAGCTTTCAATTAAACAAAAACATACATTCAAATTCATATTATGATGTCTTAACCACTTGAAGTCTTAACTGTTGTCCAATGGCGACTTGCAGCTAAACGACGTCACAGAATGCGTGGTATCGAACGAAGACACGATCGAATTGATGGCCGAGTACGCGCTCAGAGCAGCGCAAGACAAGCATGCGAGCGAGACGAGGAAATTCCACGCGTAGAAGAACCCTCTTTTGGTGAAGACTGGCGGTTAGAATTAGATTTGGCGCGAGGGAACTCTGCAGAAGTCAGTACGTACGTGCACGTTTCCAACGCGATAAATCCCTCCATGTATCAACACGGTGGGCATGGGGGTTGTTGATGTCAAATTCTCCGTCGCCTTTTGTGGCATCCACTTGCATGCAGTAACCCAATATCATAAATGGCGGGAAGGTGTATGTAAACTCTGAAAGGAGATTAAGTCGTGAGAAGAGCAACCAGAAGGATATGAATACTCACGGAAGATGCAAAACGGCAGCAATCAGCGACGAGATATCGCTGAATAGCGGGATGGCGGATCCAATAACGAAGGCAATGGACCAATACCACTATGACGAGATGGCGAAGTAGTATTTACCCAAGTCACAGTCAACTGGGGGAAACCAAACATCTCCACCAAAACGTTGTTGTAAATGACTTTGATACCAATGTTGCCATATAATGCGGCAGCAATGAGACCAGAGACCAAATAAAGGGTGTTCGCCGCAGTCTGCAGACCATACGTGGAAATTCCCTGCATGGCCGGCTGCAACAACATCATCAATAAGATTTCAAGTCAAGAGAGAAATAACGGACGTTAATAACATATTGGCCTTGGTATGTGTAGACGAAGAGGCCGAAGAACATGTATACGACGAAGATGAAGATCTGGGAATACGCCATAGCCTTCCAGAAATCCATCGGGCGCCGCATTTCAGCCATGAACTCGATAAAAATCATGCTAAGATATTTGTTCATCTGCACATGAACGTTTTCATAATTTATGATGACTTACGCTCCACCGTATGAGAACACAATCTGCATGATACCATTGAGCTGGTCCTGGAAAGGCTCTAGGTTGATTGCTTGAGTTATCACAGGGCCTGTGTCTGTTCCAGACGGTGACGCAATATAGTTAGGTGGTGAGTTAGCCACAAAGGCCATCGTCATAATCAATATAATGATGTTCAGCCAGATAGCGAGATTGGCGATGTTGCCAAACTTCTGAAGAGTCCGAATTTGACCAAGTATCATTCCAGCCAGGGTCCAGACAACGTTACAGACGCTGAAACATAGCTATAGAGGGGTAGGTTAGATGACAACATGCGCCAAATCATGACAAGGGCACCTTGAACTTTGTTATCTGCGAAAAACCTTGGCCATTTTGAAGAATAATGATCCCGACATTGAACACGAGCTGCAAACTTTGCAAGATGTTACAGACTGTAGATCCACGTGATCAATCAATTCTCTATATTCATGAGTGTGTTTACGTACGATACTTGAACCAACGGCCATAGATGCGGTGCCCTAAGTCTCCGAAAGACTTGACGGGATACCTTTCCGAGTCCAGCTTCAAGAACATCCACCATAGGAGGCAGCCACCGTACGCAGCCATAATGCCGGAAGACGACGAAACAGGCTACACCCAGGACCATATCCAACTTGTTGGAATGCCCACGGGGTAGAGTAAGGACCCAAAATGTCTTGGGAAGGATGTCATGGAACCCATCAAATCGTCCAAATTTGTCAATCAGCTTACCGGTGGTAATAAGATAGAATACGCTCCCACCACGTGGCCGTCCTAAGAGCCCCAGAAGCTGCACGGTACTCGCCTGCGGTGACTAGAGCGCTTCCCCCCTCCTCTGAGGAATGGGCTACATTCTTTCCATCAGATTGCAACGGAACGGCTGTCAGATTCCTGGGAAACGATTGAATATTCTCGAGATCAGGCCACCCGAGCGGCCGCCTTCAGCATCATTCTTGGCAGAGAGAGCCATCCTTGTCACGTTGAATCTTGGCGTAGTACATGTATGTCTCGAGATTGGGCGTGGTGCCATCAGGAACATGGTGATTCTCAGGAACATACGCGTCCTGTTCTTTCTCTGACAAGTAGGCTTGAGGATCCCTGACAGCCCCGATAGCTGCAGTCATTGTGTGGGAGCAACTTGAAGGAACAGATATTCAGAGTTTCGCGGTTTGATACGGTAGGCTTTATGTAGTAACTGTCTACATATGCATGCGGTGCCGTTACATAGATTGAGATGCGAGACGGATATTCTGGATATATGAGGCAGGCACCTGCATCACGGAGTTGCATGGTCAGTTCCTGGGACAGCGCGCCCTCACCACGGAAGGCATAGCCTGAATGATCTAAAGACTCCCAAACGGCGAGTCAGAACAATCTTTTCACGTGTGAATTGATTCCGAGAATGTATTGCACATGCGCACAATCTCCAAGTGGTTATAACGTAACATTTTGGCGCCACCGCAGCCAACGTTGTCATGTGCTTCAGAATGGCCGAAGGCTACATAACCGGAAAATGCAATATCAAGACCGAGATCATAGTAGAGCCGTTATAATTATAAGAACTCGCATGCCCTGCAGTTGCCCCGGAGTCTGAGTTTATAATTAACAACAGTAACGGGGTGACTTACATACCCGTTCTCGGCCCTCTCTGCGCCGCTCCCATGAATCAGTGTCTGGAGTCCACTTCCTCCAACAGAAGACCGCACCGACAAATTCCACGTAGCTCTTTGGAATCGAATACAGGCGCTGTCGAGTCCTGAGAGGGACCGCCTTATACAACGATTACCGCTGGGGGTGTCTGGTGGCGTGTTCACGGTGTTTCTGTGTCTGACATACGTTGCCAATTCAATCCCGCCGCTCGTCATACAGCAGACAAGGGTACCACGGCTGCGCTGATCCGGGGCCTTCGGATCTTGAGCGCATGATATCCGCTGGCATCGGCAATTTTCTGCCAGGCAATTGTGTTTGAACGTTCAATTTTGAAAGATGAAGGGGAGCTTTGGTATGTGAGTCATGTGACTCCAATACAAGTTGAGGGTATTTATAAAGCTGCGGTAAGGAATGACTCGGTCACTATGTTCCTTCTTTATATGCCACAGCCTCTTACATAGGCCTACATGTGATCCCAGTGTGAATGTGTGCCCTAGCGTGGACGGAAAATATCAGAAGTAGGTCACCGACGTACATATTCCAAGAAAGCTCACGGCATAACGCGTGCCGTTCCAGTTCTAAGTGTGTTGTTGGCAGAGATTGGGCAAAGCTTCGTAGTTATGACATTTACTGTCTTGACTAAGTTGATTTTAAAGTTTTAAATGCGGTTCCTATTCCTGGGAGATATTTTACACCACACCACACGATCCTTTTTGTAAATCTGTCCTATCACGTTTTCTTAGGCCGTGAAGGAATCGTTTGTTTGTAGAAATGCGCCATCATACCCTCCGTGTGAGTCATTGTCAGATTGAATACTGGATGTGGTCGCATTCTGCAAAAAGCTCGATCAGTCGCTCGGCACGTCGAAATTGGCCACAGTAAATCACCATCCGGTTATTTGCGCTCCAAGTATACGAGATGTGCCCTCCTCCTCTGTCCAAGAAAGAGAGTGCGAGAAACACGCTTGACGAAGTTGCTCGTGCGTGGACTCTGATTCGAATGAGCGACTAGCTTTTCCGATTCAAAGCTTACGACCTACCAGGCGGGGTCTTCCAACAGCGAACAATGGCATCCTGCCGAGTAGATGACAGGAAAACATAATGCTGAGCCGAGGATAGTCCTGCTAAACAATATAGTGTATGGTACGAATCTGCGGGCCTGTGAATATTGTTAACAGAGGATCATGTAAATGGTTTCAGAACTGAATTACTTTGGAGGTTTATCGCGCAGGCCTCCTGCTGGGTGTTGACCAGCGCACAGGATGTAGCGCTGTAGAGCAGCACGATCCCATAAAGATTCTGCATATCCGCCCATTCATCAGCATCTCTCGTCATGCAACGACAGCGGATAACAAACCATCAATATCATCCCAACCTTCGTCCTCTTGATGAGCGGTAGAAGATTCGTGATTATCATCACGGCCATGCGCACCGACGATGCCTAGCGAAGACAGCAATGCAAGCAGCCCCCGACCCACCAGGAGTAACACCCATCCACAAGCTTATTAGTACGGCCCTTGAAACCACCAAGCTCGATCTCCGAGCCTTGCATCTGCACCAGCCATCGCAGCAGCGTCTTGAAATTCAGAGCTGGCCGCTGGAGCGAAGGCTTTTGCAGAGCAAGGTACGGCTGAAGCATGACCCATGACGCCAGAGAGCAGAAAGTGTACCCGCCATGAGCCTCGCCGAGAGGTGGACGCGGAGAATCGAGTAGGGTTGGAGGACCTTCTGGCTCAGGGGAGAAATATGGCTGGGACGCGGATGAGAAGCCTCCTTCGTAAGTCTGACATGACATAATGGAGGCAGGGACGCCCTCCAAAAGTTCCGGCGTCAGCATGTTCAGTAAATGTACTGTCACGAGGAGGCAATATGTACCACTGTACGATGTCTGCCATTAGCGAACATCGAAAGAAAACCGATCAGAACTTCACAAACCGAACATCCACTTCTGCATGGTGAGCTACAAGGAACGCCCCATCTGATTGCTTGAGGGACATGAAGACCTGATACATCTTCTCTCTGGTGGAGTATTAACAACACTTCCATATGGGTAATAATTTGGCACTCACCGATCGATCTGATCCCATCCTCCTCCTGGACCAGGCCTTCCAACAATCGCTAGCGCGCAAACCGCTGCATATGTCGGCAGCAAATGCGCAGCCTGCCCCGGCCCACCTCCGAAACCACCATCTGGATGCTGCCATGCCATAATAGTGTCGATGGCCCTGCAAAAGAAGCACATCTTGAGTTCATCCCGATGATATCATGGCATCAGCTGTGCCACGCACTTTTGTTTATTGTTCGGATCTAGCGCTACGCCCATGACGCTGAAGCTTTGGAGCGTCCAGTAGAGCAGCCATGGTTGGCTTGCATCTTGACTAATATAGCGGGATGGAAAGCCTTGTATCAGATTTCGAACTAGGAACTGCAGATGTGCATCCTTCTGCAATGGGGAAGGCGAGTCTGGGTTAAGTGGGACGTGCTTGAGCAGTATGGTTTCCGTTTCTGTTTGGTGATCTGTTGTCTCGGTTTCGTACGAATCATGAGGTGACCTTCGCGGCTGCGACATCATTGCAATAGATGATGGTCAGATGTAACAACGATTGCAGTGGCTGCTTGTGCAGCATTGGTCAAAGACAATAACAAAAGTCAAACCGGACTCAAACCCAACTCAAACCCTACATCAACAGGGTAATTGATCATGGTCATGAAACGCGAAGAAACATGTACATCTCTAGTACATCCTTTTTATTTATACAACTAGCAAGATATCTGCGGTACATGTAACTTCACAGCACCCTTTCCACCAGACCCAACCCTTCACTCTCCAAGATTTCACGGATGGGGTCACAAATCTCCTTTGTGTATGGGGCGTGAACTCCGGGGGTTTTAAAAACGCCATCCAACACAAGTTGCGTCGCAATACCGCAAGGAACACCGACAGTCAGTGCCATTGCGGAATGTCCAGATGGGCTTCCGTATTGCTCGAGCGTCGAGGTAAGGGTTTGCTAGAAGTTGATTAGCAAATTTGTCTGATGTACCTGTAGCAAATACATACCTCGCTGCCGTCAGCCCACTCAACCACGAACTTGTGCTGAAGCATGACGAGGTCCCGCTCGCCTTGCTCGTACTTCATCAGCGTCTCGAGTTGGGCGCAGAGGGTATCGAGGAGGTTTCCTGCACGGGGCTTCACAGCCTCCGATGAGAAAAGTCCAATCCAGCGGAGCCCGGAAATGATACGGGTAGCTTCAGCATCGTTAGGGAACTTGCAGACCGACTTCACGTGCGCAACGAGGGTGCTAGATTTGTTGAGTCAATTATGCATTCTGCACAGATTTAGACAACCACCCAATTACCTTTCTACAGCGTCATTAGCACCGATCGCTCGTTGCATGACCTGGGCCCAGGTCAAGCCATCCTTCAACCAGTCCTTCTCGGATGCATCAAGCCAGCCCAACTCAACAAGCGCCTTGATGAACTCGGGGAATCCCTGGTATCGGAGTGTGCCGCGGACCACGGTCTCTGCCTCTGGGATGTTATACCACTCCCTGAAGGGCACGGAGTTACGGTTCGGATAAGCCACGAACGCAAATGCAGGCGAGATAAAGTAGGGTTTGGCATATCCCATCAATTCATTGCCGGAGATATCAAGTTGTTTACCCTCGGAAAGGTAGGCTGCTGAATTGAGCAGGGCGAGAAGGACACCGCGAGATGACCACGAGAACTTGTAGCCAAGTGGGTTGCCCGAGCACTCTGGTGCTGGGAGACCACCGCAGTATGATAGGAACTGCTTGATCTATGGAGATATATGAGGCGCTTGTAGAGATCGAAAGTACCAGTAGCTCACCTTGCCACCCTTTGCATGCACCTCATCTATTGTTTTGATCGCGTACAAATGGTCGATGCCAGGATCAAGACCAATTTCGTTCATGACAATGATGCCCGCTCTCTTGGCCTCCTCATCAAGTTCACGCATTGCAGGGGATATGTAACTGGTTGTGACGACGTGAACTTTGGCCTTTATCGCAGCCTTGATGACAGTCGCGTGGTACGTGTAGGGGATCAGAGAGATGACGAGATCATGTGCAGCAACCTGAGCCTCGAGATCATTGGTATTGTTTACATCAAGAGAAATGCCCTGTGCATTTGGAAGACCCTCTGCCAATGCGTGTGCACTCTGGAGCGTGCGGCATGCTGTGGAAGGAATGAGGATCACCAAAAGGTACGGATTTGATTGACCTACCGATTGTTAGCTCATTGGACGGGTCACGCACAACGTACTCGGCACACGGGCGTGCAACGAAACCAGAACCAAGGAGAAGTACTTTGCGAATTTTCTTGCCTTCTGTCGCGATTTTAGCAGCCGCAGCAGCACGTCCGAATACAGGCAGGATGTCCTTTCCGTCCTCCAAGAACGATTGAACAAATTGTGGAAGCACGAAAGCCGCTCGGTGCACGTTCTCGTTATAGTAACGAGTGTTGGTTACCTTGCGGACGGGCACACTGATGTCCCGACCTTGCTCCTTCGAGCACATTATGAATCCGATCTGGCCAGATGGGTATGTCGGGATCGTAGTGAAGGCATATTGCGAAACTGCGAATAGCTCGCGTGTCGACTTAAGAAGGTGGGCGATCAAGGGAATGTGGAGCCACTGAGATTCTGCCTGTGTCGATATGTGCCCCCCAGGAGTCAGCGCATCATGAAGAAGCTTGAAGTAGGGCTTTTGGAAAAGAGCCTCTGCTGGACCAACCGGATCGGAGGAATCGGTGATTATAACATCGTAGGTTGCCTCATTCTCGGCAAGGAACTTGAATCCGTCGCCAACGAATACCTTGACGCGAGGAGAGTCGAGCAGTGAAGACATGTGCGGGAGGTATATCTTTGAGACTCTGATCACGGCCTGTACCTCCATCAAAGAAGCACTTGTATGTTGCAACAATTCAGGCACATACCTCGTCGATGTCGCAAAGAACCACCTCCTCAACTGTATCGTGCTTGAGCACCTCTCGAACGACCCCTCCATCGCCACCCCCCAATAACAAGCACCTTCTTCGGGTTTGGATGGCTGGCGAGAGGTAGATGGGCTATCATCTCCTGATACCTACGGAAGGGTCAAGTGATTCGAGCAAGAGCTGGTGTATGAATGACATACGAGAACTCGTCCCGTTCGGTACATTGTATGACACCATCGAGGACCAGTACATTGCCGAAGGTCTCGGATTCAAAGACAAGAACGTCCTGATAAAGAGATTTTTCGATGTGCAAAATCTTATTGACCTTGAGCGTCATGGCCTGACCAGGCCACTGAGAGGAGATTTCACGGAACCAACCATCTAGCATTCCCTATCACTCAATTATCAATTCATTGTTATATGGCACCTACCTTGGATCGAAGGGTGTGCGAGGGGGTGACATTTCTTGAACGTTTCAACAAACGAGTCAGAGGCAATCTTACATTAATTTTCTCGGATCTAGCCCGACGCCCGACTGTCCGGGACCGGCGGGACGGCCCGTCTGATCGACAAAGTTTACGATTAGCAGATGTGACTGACTCTGTGACGTCACTTGAGATTGAAGACTTGAAGGCGGTATCGTCCAAGTTTCGTTGATCTAATTAATGTCGTCTTGGATTCATGCTCATACTCCTGGCATCAATATTCATACTCCTGATATCAACACGCTAGTCTCTAGCAGGCGGTGCTATCGCGGTGCGATGTACTATTGGCATTAAATATCGGGAGTTTGCCTAGTACGCCACTGGTGACCAGGGACCCTCGACTCTCGAGAACCGAGGTGCGGCGGCGCAGTTCTGCAGTGCCCTGGCTGGAGTAAAATAGCGAACGGATGGCCTGTCGAAATCCACCGAGTCTCAAACTCACCGTACAAGTCGTGCAAGTAGCTAGCACTGGAGCTGCCAGTGGATCACTTTGTATGCGGAAGGCCTGAGAGTTGTCGGTCCCTTCCGCATCATCACGTCGGCGGCAAGTTGCTCTCGTACATATTATATCTATCATCGATCTCGGTGTTGAGACATACACTAGGTAATTATACTAAGCTTAGTGTACCGTACCAAGCTATATTTGGCCGCATGCCCCTCAGGGAGCATAGTCACCGTGACTTGAACGGAATATTGATACGCCTTCTTTTAGGTCCATAATGGGCGGAGTAGGAAAGGAATTCAAAATCGCGGAGTGCAACAGTGGATCTGGATGAAGATCGACGATGGGACCGAGAATGCCCAGTAATTCAGGGTGACCGAAGTGTCATATTCCACAAAGGCGTCACTAATTACAACGTTAGGTATCCTGGACAATCGTCGATGAGTTGGAGCGCTGCCCCTGCAACGTGTCCTCATAGGTCCTAATATTCCACTTTAACCTGTCAAAGAGATCTTTATTCTGAGATGCCAGTTCTTCGGGTGCGTTTTCCCTTTCTTTCAGCCGCTTCAAAACGCCGGGATGTTGTACTGTGGCTCGACATCTTCCTTTCTTTCATCTCGCAATGAGCTACAGAAACTCCCTGGAGGATACTTGTAGAGTGTTTATTTCGCGTCCGCGACGCTATAACCAACCAGCACTCACCCAACATGCATTCCAGCATTCCCCGTCGCCTGGTTTCACGCCCGTAGATCTTGGAACCCCAGCATCCTTTTCTTCGTCAGAGTCACTACAAAGTGCCTCGGATTCCACTTCGTCACTGAACGCGCTTCCCGACGTCATTCAATTGCCTATACCAGGAGTCGCAGACCTCATTCCAAAGACGAGTCGGACGTCGCATGCCAAGCGACAACCTGCTGGACACATTCCTCGTCCCCGCAATGCGTTCATTCTCTTCCGCTGCGACTTTGTCCAGCAAAAGAAAATTCCTGGTCATGTAGAAAGTGACCACCGAAACCTATCACGTATCGCAGGCAAAATCTGGAGGGGCATGAAGAAGGAGCAACAAAAACCGTGGATTGACCTTGCCTTGAAAGAGAAAGAGCGCCACGCTGCGATGTACCCTGGGTATAAATACATGCCTGCCCAGCAAACTTCAAAGCAAAGGAAGGTCAAGAGTGACCGCATCGCTAAAGAAGAGAGAGAGCTGGAAATCCGCAGAGCGGAACTATCGTCCGTCTTGGTGCAGCGCGGACTTGATATGAGGGACAGCTCAAAGCAAGCCGTGCAGGCTGCCGCTCGTTTTACTCCCTACCCCGCTCCCTCGCGCCCACGTCGCTCGTCCTCGTGCCCCCCTGTTGGCGCAGCACCAGTGAACCCGTCTACAGATCTTGACTCTTGGGCTCCGTTCTTGGTTACTCATGACGATTTAGCTCGTCGCCCGAGTCGCACCACCATGTACCATTCTGTCACCTCGGAGCCAATTGCTTCACCTCTCATTCCAGCGTGCGACCTTCCGAACTCGCAGCCTGATGGAGATGCATGGTTCGGTGCTCCAATGCCATATGCATGGCCTCTTCCAGACCGAGAGGATGACCCTTTGTTCGAGACACAGGCTTCTGATGCTACGTCACAATTTAACTCTCCCTTTGGGCAACAGGTGAGTATTTTCATGGATTTTAGGATTGCTTATCGATGCTTTGGTAGAACGCCGAACTTTACCCTCAGCATTCCGAGTTCATATATTCCCCATTCGATAACCTTCCCCAGATGTCCCCCGTGAGCATGGACAATGGAGGGGCGCTCGGGCTGGACTTCACGAATCCCTTCGGTCTTGACAGTTTCCCATTCAATGCGGATAGCTTCCTGCTATCATCTTCTGAGATGTCTTCAGTACCCTCTTCTCTGGAATGTGCCATGTCAAGCCACCCGAGTGCTATGGGGGGCACGAAATAGAACGGTGGGACGTCCTTCTTACGCAGTCGGAATGTCATGGCCTTGGTCAATGCAAGGTGAAAAGGTGTGCCCTCCCCCTGTGGCATATGTCTGTTTACTGATGGTGAGATAGTCATCAAGGGTCTCGCTTGCTTATCCAACGATGGAATTCGACAAGAACGAACTCGCATCGTCACATATCTTCGTTGGGACTCTCATGCCCATTCTTCATCGATTCTAAGATTATATGGTACCCATACACTGGTAATTCACATAGAAACAACGTACCAACGTACGAACAATATTTAATATCTTTTCGTGGATTATACGCAGCTTTTAGAATAGTCTCTCGTTACACAAAGCATCACTCAGTAAAATTCACTCTAATGGTATCGTCTCTTATCTGCACCGAAGGTCATGGAAAGAAGCTCAAAACTAGACTTACTCGTGTCTCACCCAATCGCCCAACTTACTACAAATCTCCGAAGCTGTGGAGGATTTATATGGAGTGCTTCAGTGCGCATAGCCAACGCAGCCAAGAATACTCCCATGGAAATCATAAGACGATCATTACGTCTTGGCTTCGTTGAGCAGAGCAATTTGAACCTGCTTCACAAGTGCAAGCAACAGAGGCACAGGCTCAGATTCGTACCTTGTCAATTCTAACGGTATTTCCAGCGCTTCATGCTTTGCACCAGGTTTCCGGACCTTGATCAGAAGTACAGCATATGAATTTTTCACACGCACAATCGCGTACTGTTGCCGAGACGTGAATTTTAGCGGGACTTCCTGTTTTGGTAATACCGCGCGACGACACAACGCTTGAGCCTTGAGCTCGCTGTCCTCGACAGCGACCTCAAATACTCGCCCAATTCTTCTCCCTTTTCCCTAATTCTTTTTGAAGTACATAAATTTATGATAAATGCGTTACTTGTGGCACATCGATCATGCTGTATTGACCATAATTCTTCCATACTCATAATATTCACTACTTCCATGCATTGAACTTCATACTGGGCACTCTGAAGGGCTTATGAAGGGCTTAAATAATGATGTATCCATTGTATAAATACATTAGAACTTCTACAGAGATATAGAATCCAAAAAAGCGGTCAGGGTGGGGGAGGAGGGGAAGGTGGGGAAGGATGGTTGTCCAAGTAAGCATAGTTAACTAGTTACTAGTAATGCATTTATCATATATTTATGTACTATCAAAAGAATTAGGGGAAAGGGAGAAGAATTGGGCGAGTATTTGAGCTCGCTGTCCTCGACGGCGAGCTCAAGGCTCAAGCGTTGTGTCGTCGCGCGGTATTACCAAAACAGGAAGTACCACTAAAATTCACATGTCTCGACGACGGTACGCTTGTGTGTGTGGTTGTGTGTATGAGTGTATTTGAACAGATCCAGCGCCATATGTAGTAGTTGTCGCTACGTCACATTAACACATGAACCAAGTTGAAGCTCGTTACTGTCACTTGACAAACAACGGTACGGGACCAGGCGCTGAGCGCTGACTGGTGGGCCGCACAGCCGGGGTCCGGTACCCGGTGGGCTCGTGACCAGCTGTCGCCCATGGCATCTGTGAGTACTGACGAGAAGATGTGCTGGGTAAAAGAGTGAGAGCAACCACAACTGTCACACAACTCCGTAAGGCGTCTCAGACTAGGTACCCGGCGGAACTTAAGCGACCTACAAAATCGATCAGCCGCAGGATCCGTGGACGCAACTTGAAGTCATATATAATATGGTCGCATAACGCAGGCGCAACTTTCATCTCTCCTCGTAGCGTGCCAAATCCTTACAAGTGCCATCATCGACATGTTCAGTGGTAACACTTTCAAAAATATTCGCGTGTACTGTCAGTCGCAACGCTTTTTGGTGCATATTTTTGGCTCACAACTTTGCCGCAGGGCTCGCATTCGTGGCTTACTGGGGCATCATTCTGTTCGGATATGACACGTATGTTCCTCTTCGTCGAAAACTCACAAGCGTCTGTCTCATTGTGACCTAGCGGTATAGCTGGAGGTGTAGTCTCCCAGTCTTACTTCGAGACCAGCTTCGGTCTAGTCAACGCCAATGGCTCAATCAACAAAAGCAAGGATACTGAGGTCTCTTCCAATGTTGTTTCTGTGTTGCAGGCAGGAGCATTCTTTGGAGCTCTTGGCAGTGCACCTATCTCAGGTTAGTACGATAGTGACCTCTCGCTGGTACTATGTAGACTGATCCATTCCGACCATGTGTAGCTTGGTTGGGACGGAAACCGACATTAATTGGTTTCACCATCATTTTCATTATCGGTGCTGTAAGTGGTTCTATTAAACTCATTATCAGATAGGCCTCTTACTCAGGCGTTTCTAGATACTTACTACGGTTGCCGGTGGAAGCCAGGGTATTGCATACATCTACGGCGGTCGAGTTATCTCTGGCTTTGGCATTGGTGGTATCTCTGCTGTCGCGCCCGCTTATGTCTCCGAATGCTCACCAAAGGATGTCCGTGGTCGCATCACCGGGTGTTTCCAGATCATGGTGGCCATCGGTGTCATGATTTCATATTTCATAAACCGTTTAGTCCGCATTCGTTCATTTTGACCTGCATGGCGCTCACAATAATTAAACAGTTGGTGTCGGCCTCCACATGGCGAGCAGCCCCAATGTCTGGAGGATTCCTTTTGGATTCCAACTCGTTCTTGCAGGTATAATGTGCCTTGGTCTGTTCACTGTCAAGGTTAGTAGTCATACCCGAACTTGTATAGGTCATTGCAGATCGTTCTACTACAGGAGTCTCCCCGTTGGCTTGCATCCAAAGGTCATGTTGCGGAAGGCATCGCCAATCTTGCTTACTTGCGGAGGGAGCCCCACGATTCAGATGAAGTACGGCGTGAATTTGCTGAAATTGAAGCTGCTATTCGTGAAGAACAGGAGGCTCGTAAAGGCCTTGGATTGAAAGAAGCCTTCTTCGGGAAGGGCAATTTTGTCCGATTTGTCATTGCATTTGTGATCTTCTTCTTGCAGCAATGGAGCGGACAAAATTCTGTTGGGTATTACGCACCTCAGATCTTTAGCTCCGTGAGTCTCCTATGCAGCAGTACCCTTTTCCCTCACTTACACATCAGATTTTAGATTGGGTACTCTGGGGTGACCAATTCTCTCTTGGCTTCTGGAATCTACGGTATCGTGAAAGTCATTGCGACCACCCTTTTCGTGTTCTTCTTTGTCGAAAGTCTCGGTCGCAAAGCCTCGTTGTTCATATCCGCCATGGGAATGGGAATCACGTTTTTCATCATCGGCGCTATTTTGAAAACACATCCTGTTGTCACGCCTCAGGCAGGCCAGTCTGCGCCTCCACCGTCACCGTCTTCAAAAGGTATGGCTGCTATGCTTTACATCTACGTCTGCTTCTATTCCATGGGATGGGGTCCCCTTCCGTGGGTTTATGTCTCTGATATCTTCCCCACACGGACTCGCCATTACGGATTGGCCGTAGGTTCTGGTTCGCAATGGCTATGGAGTGCGTTTTAAGTCGTGTAAAATGTTGTGATGCTGCTAACTCAGGCCTTTAGACTTCGTTGTGGCGAAGGTCACCCCAACGCTTGAGACTGATCTAGGATTCAAACTCTTCATGATGTTTGCTACAATCAATATTGGCGGAATGGCTGTCTTCTCCCTGTCAGTCAATTCATGTGCCGGTTACTTCATCGATCCTTACACTATGCTCAACAGGTTCCTCCCCGAGACTAAAGGTCGTAGTCTAGAGGAGATGGATATCATTTTCGGTTCAGTCAGCGCAGAGTCCCGCGAAGCGTTCATTGAACGTGCACTCGACCACAAGGAAATAACATCACGGCGGTCTAGTGACAAACATATATAACTTCACTATGCGGGCTTGCCCATTACCATTGCGGATGAATTGGAGATAAATAGTACATATAGCACAACCATACCTTGCTTTCCGCGCTGACATTGCTTTGCTGTCTCTATAACTTACAAGTTATGTGTTAGCCTCACGTTCAGTGGTACCCCACGGTTGATGAACTCCAGTCAAGATTTACATTGGTTCTATTGGACGCCGTATACTGTTTTTGCATTCTCATTGGCGCGCTTCATGATATCTGCGCCACTCCAGGGATGTCCAGCTTTTCCTGCGGTATATTCTGCAACCCACGGGATCATAGCAGTGTGACACAAGGGCAACCTGCTGCCCTTGATTTCCGGTATAGAATTGTAGAGGTTGGAGGGAACCATGAACGGCGCATCTGTTTCCAGTAGTATACGCGGTCCACCATCGCTCATGGCCATCTGACTGACGATATTCGACGTATTCAGATTCGTCGAATATGTGATAACCCCTTGTATGTATGAATTAGTTCAGAGGCTTATCGAACTCAATGATGACCGCCTTACCAGTGATCCCGATGTACAAATTACAGAAATGCTGAAGTAGTCGTTGTGCGAAATCTGGCGAATCTGTGAAACAATGTATATGTATCTTTGAAAGAAGATTCATTAAATTATCAGCCTCGGGAATCAGTAACAAGAGTGATCACTGGCAGTACCTTGTGATCGGCGGGGACGTGTTCCATGAGAATCCTCTCTGTGTCTGCCTCCGCTTCGCGTGTGTGGATCGTGAGTGGCTTCCCCAGCCTGACAGCATGATTCAACTGCCGGATGAAGACTTCTTGCTGGATTGCCCGTGGGGAGTTGTCGTAGTGGTAATCAAGACCCATCTCACCCCAGCCTACGCATCGTGGGTGGGCCATCGCTTCAAGGCTAAAACCCTCGAATCAAATCACCGGAATTATAAAGAATGCAGAAACATACATGGAAGCCTCAACTGCATCGTTGTATGACTTCGCATCGTGCCTGGGGGGATTATCAGTTCACTCCCGTGCGAGATATCCGAACCAGTACACACGGGTGAACGCCTGTCGGAATCATCTCTCAGTGCAGGGATCGAGAACAGCGCACGATCGGATAGCTCACCCATCACAAACCAATAATCGATACCTCCCCCACTTCTGTTCCCGATCCTCTGCAGTTAGTGCAGAGTCCGCAAGCTCCTTCCACGCCATTAACACAGGTGCCTCGCACCACACGTCTACGATCGCCCTCACGTTGCGATTGTGGTACATCTCGCGCACGAAGTCATGGATAGTGTAAAGCGTCCCGTTCTTGTACTTGCTCCGGTAAGTCGAGAACGTCGACACGAGGTGGGTGTGCGTGTCGATGATGGGCTGGTCAGCAAGGGAGGCATCTGCGAGCGGAGGAAGTCGGAGGTAGGTCTCAGCAGGAATGATATTGGACTTTTTCTTGTTGTTCTTGCCCATGGTGCGATGGGCTGTTGTGGTGAAATGAATGTGAGGGTGCAATAGAACTGATGCTCTCAATAGCTGACTCGTGCGAATGACATAGTTACGAGTACTACTAAGCATGAGGTCAAAGTTTCAACAGTCAAAACTAGTCTCGACCCAACTCAAACTGTGAGGTAAGCACTCGTCAAATGATAAACAACTTATAGTAAGTACTTGGGGACAATTTGATCATGATGTAGCATTATACGTGTAGTACACTGTCACTCAAGCTACTACTAGTATGTACAGAGGGTCGGATCCATTGCTTGACTATGAAGCGCAATCGACGAGATATATATATATATCAATGTGTAGCTCTACACTTGGACCATAAGGTGCCGTGCGCGAAATGACTCAAATCCAGCTGCAACGTGGGACTGGGAATAACCAGCGTATCACCCGGGATGTATACAGACCGATGGAAATCGATAGGGATGCGGAGGAGAAGATGTTCCTCGGGACTTTCAACCCACCCTTCCTCATTGGGGGCGAGAGAGGCTGGGGTGGAAGAATCTTGGAGAAAGGAAAGGGCGGAACAAAGGGCATGAGTTGGGTTGGAGGAGAAACATATTGCAGATCTTCCGGATACGAGGAGTTGGTGCTTGTGTACAAAATCTAGATCCCATACCCGGATGGTCGTGTCATATGAACCGGAGACAATACGTTTTCCATCTGGCGAGAATGCGACGGAGTATACGGCCTGAGTGTGACCTTGGAGTGGGGTGCCCAATGCATTGCCAGTTTCCGCATCCCATACTCGGACCGTCTTGTCTGATGAACCAGACGCAATGAGTTTTCCATCAGCTGAGATCGCGACCGACCAGACGCGGTGAGTGTGCCCTTGGAGAGGGGCACCTACTGCCTCACCGGTCTCTGTGTCCAGCACCCGGATTGTCTTGTCGTTTGAACCGAACACTATGCGCTTTCCGTCTGGTGAGATCGTTAAAAATAGAATAGCATCAGTGTGCTCTCGGAGAGGGGGGGCCCAATGCTTCCCCGGTCTCTAAATCCCACACCCGGATGGTCGCGTCGTCTGAACCGGACACAACATGTCGTCCGTTCGGCGAGATTGCGACAGACCCAACGACGCCAGTATGCCCTTCGAGAGCAACTAATTGTTTGCCAGTTTTGCGCATCCCACACCAGAATCGTCTTGTCGCCCGAAGACACGATGCGTTGTCCATCCGGCGAAATTGCGATAGACAGGACATAGGTGGTGTGCCCTCGGAGAGAACCCAATGCTTTCCCAGTTTCCAAATCCCACACCCGGATCGTGTGGTCGTTTGAACCAGACACGATGTGTTTTCCATTCGATGAGATCGCGATGCAACGAACGGCCTTACTGTGCCCTCGGAGAGGGTCACCCAAAGCCTCGCCAGTTTCCATATCCCACACCTGGATTATACCATCGTATGAACCACACACGACACGTCTTCGATCTGGTGAGATTGCAATCGACATAACGCCGGCGTGCCCATGGTGTCTGTTTTCCTTCAGAGACCACCGTGCGACATGACCAGCAACAACCTTAGGAGTGCGGGGAAATTTTCCAGCAAATTTCCTGAATATCGTCGACTGCGTTGGAGCAAATGGCAGAGCGGACAAGTATAAATGTGGAGTGCTGTGTAAAATGGTGGTCCCGAAAGTTTGAATGAAGTGGTGGGCATCTCTAGCATCGTCGCTGATATGCATATACTCAGCGTTTTCCTGTGAACATTACCACGCGTGAGATTCCGTGTGTCCCAAAGAATGAACTACAATTACGTACCGTAAACCAATCTGCAACAGACGAGAGGAAACGCGCTGTACAGTTTAGGGCCTTGACTAGAGTCAGTGCTTCCAGCCAGAACAGGAAGCGCTCTCCATCGAAAAAGGCTTCGACTTCCTTAGCAAGCGATGGCTCGAAGGACGTAGCTTTCACATGTGTCCCCCAGAATCGACACGAGTACGACAACTCCACCGGAATGAAGTCTTTCACTCGTGTCTCTAGATCAGGGACAGCATAATTGGGAAAGTAGGAGCTTTCCAAAGAGCAGATGTTGAAGCGAAGCCCATGCGCCATGACCCGCAGCGAAGCGAAGGCAAGGTCCCTCTGTACCGATGACACATCGATGGAGAACTTGCCGCTTCGTCTCTTCTCTGTGAGAAAGTCGTAGAAGGAAGAGTGGAGGGGACGTATGGGAATATCAGGATCTGCAGTGCCGATGACAAGCGAGCCCAGTGGCCCCATGACCGCCTCGACTTTGTAATGGTCATCCTCATTTGGAAAATAGAGTCGCATGGCGTTTAAGGCAACCATGGGGAGCGGTTCCGGTGATGCAATAATTTGCCCCATCACAGAGCGAAACAGAGGGATCGCTTCCTCTTCCTCCTCCTCTGGCATAATTTCTCTCAATATGCGTTGGTACATATCATCTAAAAGATGTACTCCTTTTCCAAATGTCGTAGAGACCACAGAACGGAGACGGCGTATTGGGTCCCCCACCACGTTCGTATTTTTGATGTGCGCAGAGGCAAGACGAGCCCATTCAAACAGACCGTCGGATTTCTGCGCAAGCATGGTGAAGTCCGTGTCCTTCAAATCGGCGCTCACGCCGGCCAGCTTATTAGACAAGTAAAGCTGGATGTCATGTTCTGCAGAGGAAGACGAAATGTCATCCATGGAGACATGAAGGACATGCGACAAGTCATGCAGGGTATTGTGGATGTCTCGAAGTAAACGGGAAGTAACGAGAATACGGAAATAGGACGGGAGTTTTGTTGGCTGAGAGGAGGAAGTATCCGGCGTGCCAGCAAGCAGACGGAGAATTTGTTCCCGAGATTTGGCTGCACCACTCTCGTCCAACGCATCAATGACTATTAAGATGGGTTGAGTGATGGTGGGTGAGGCCTTGCCTGTTGGTTCTACGATGAACTTCTGCCATTGTCTTGTGATGTCTTGGGTGTGCCTGAGCTCGTTGTCGTTATGAACTACATGTGCTATCTCTCGCCGCAGGCTAAGATTGCCGTCGGCTAAGTCGCGCGCGATTGTGGTGACTATTTTTTCATGGCGGCGATTTGCTGTGCGGTCGAAGCAGAAGCAAGCGCCCAGTCGCCCGGACTCATGAAACCATTTGGCGATTGTATGGGCTATGGCTGATTTGCCTTTCCCTGCCGTGCCAGATAACCAGAAAACGGGGGGCACATTCTCCCCAGTGTTGTTGATCCAAGACTTGATCTCGGTTAGAATGCCTTCCCGAGTGTCTTCGAGGCAAAGCTTAGACATATTCAGTCCGGCACCGGTCGCATACTCCAGGCCGCTCAAGTCAAGATCTTCGGCTAGGTCACGCGTCAGCAAACGTCAGAAGATGCAGATAAGTTTGAGGCCAGATGTTTACCTGCACGGTGAAGGAATATGACGGTGTCACGAGCCACTTTATCTCGGAATTGCTGCATGAGATCATCAAAAACCTGATTGTAATTCTGAATCGAGGCATTTGTTTCATTGATGACATGCTTGCAAAGCCTTTTCCCTGTTCAAAGATACTGAGTCCTGGGTGGCAACACGGTGGAACCTACTCACAGAAACTCTTGGTCTCAGAGTAATGGACAATGAAATCAGCGCATTCCTGCGTCTGTTGTGCGATCTTTGAATATATCGGTAGGACGGATGAAATATCCTTCAATTCCTCCTCTTCGGTCATTAAGGCATAAATTTCCGAGATCTTCTCAAGCAGACTGTAAACAGCAGTATCACGGTCTGTCTGATCGATAATCATCTGTCACCAAGACATTTGTCATAACCTGCCAAGCTGAGGAAATGGAGATAAGCGCACCTGAGATGCGGCAGTCAATATAGTCACTGCTCCCTTCAAATAGGGATGAATCTACATGAAGGTCAGCCACGTACTCAACAGAAATGAATGTATGTACATCTCCAATGCGGCCAGCAGCAGAGTTGAAGGCCTTCAGTGGCCGAAGCATCGCGGTCCACATGTCGATGTCATCGAGAACCGTTTGAGCGTTGCCGGTCTCTGAGGCGGCTTTTTTGATGATTTCCGATACTGGGCGGATGCCTGAGATCCCTCTAGTAGCATCCTTGATTCTGTCATTCACAACTTCCGGGTTGAGCGGTTTGGGCTGGATAATAAACTTTAGGAGGCGTGTGTCAAGAACTAGAATTACACCTACCTGGGGCATCCCCACGGGAACGAGAACCTGTCCGCTGGGTACGGCATCCATAGGTGAAGGGCTCAGAGAGCGCCCATTATTTTGGGTGCAACGGCACTGGTTGATTACCTTGTCCCAGAATTTGCGACAAAATACAGAGCGTCGTCTGGGAGATCCAGTTTGCGAAGGTGGGAGAGAGGACGGCTGCAACGGTATCATTACAACATCAACGTAAGGGCGACACTGTTCCATACGTCTTGCTTGACTGCTCTCCTGCCCCTCCCCTGTGGCAGATGAGGGTCTGGTGGAGTAGCGTCTTCGTTCATTAAGTAACTTTGAACAGAAGGTTAGGTCTGAGTCTGAAGAGATGCGTGGTGATGGCAGCTAGACGGCTGCATAGTGGGTTATATAACGAACGCGCGCTTGTTCAAGGCTTCCATTGTGTCAAAGGACGGAACTTCAAAGATCACTGTATCTGAATGAGGCGAATTTCAGCTACCGAAGTCCACGAGGACCCTTGCATGCTCCAAACGCTCATCCGAATATGTTCAACCCTCGAGCTCTTCACTCTTTGGTGATTGGCTAGCTTGCGACCACAGCCTGCCTGCTCCTGCCGCTAGTGATGGGCGCCCATAGGCACTGCAACTGCCCCCTGCATGCAGGCTGCCAGCCACACACCCCAGCATGGGCTTCTAGTCTAAGGAACCTTTGGTGCGAAGTGATTGATTGAACTCTGATCTAGACAAGCAGCAAGATGTTCCACTTACTACATAGTAACCCACACGCACATCAACCAGCAGTTGTTTTATGAATGTGGTGCCCACTATCAACCAATGAGAATATTCACTCCAGCAGCGCTGGAGAAGCGTGAACGTAAACGCAGTGGCCTCAGTGAAAGCCCCATGTTCACTGCCTCGAGTCTGCTATATATAAAATTTAGAGATCACTATTGTGTCCTAGTCTCCGGTAGTCAGACTTTGAAAGAAAGAAACTTTGAGGACCGTCATAGTCGACGATGGTGTGTTCACAAGTCGCAGGCTGTCACAGGGCCTGAGGTCAGGTAAATTGCAAGTCGCCGCAAATGGGTTTTTCCGACAAAGCTTGGTACTTGCAGCACTTAGTCAGTACAACAAATAAGAATCATTCTCTTCTTCAACGACAGCAACGGCGACGAACACGTCTAAACCACTTCGAGCGCAGTGGCTGCTCGTCACCGCGCGACGAGTCCTGTATGAACACGAGAAATCAGAATCAGACAATAGGTGAGTTCGCCGCTAAGTGGCCACATGATTATGCATGTTCATGTTCATATATTCTCCTTGCATTTGCACGATGCATCCAGAGTCCTCAGAGAACTGGGATGACGATTTTGAATTCCAGCACAGTAACGAACCGAACCTCTTCAGCAAACATCAGGCGGCTGCAGGACCCAGATTGTCTGTCGCGAGTTCTGCCTTTACTGAAGATTGGGACACCGAAGGAACCCAGCAGAACATCAAACATTCATCATCCATAGTACTGGGGGACAGAAAGAATTATCCTGCGCCCGCGCTTGAAGAATGGGCGGAGCCAGGACCATCAACTCCTACAAAACGCTCTACAACCCAAGCGGAGAACTGGGATGACGACTTCGAGGACAGGACTGAATTCCCTACTAAACGGCACCCCCACGCCTTCTCTCTAAAGACACGCCACTCATATCATACTCCTCCTCGCCTCAAATCCGCGTCTGACCCCGAGAATTGGGATGACGACTTTGAAACAGACAAAACTGACACGACCCCAATGACAAAACGGACGCGTCAGGAAGCGTATCCAGACTCGTCGGATGACGAGGCTGAGCTCGGGTTCACGGATAAAGAAGAGGACAGAACTGTTACGGCTCGCAGCCGACCACCACTCAAGTTGAGACAGTCCCCGCCGCCGCCTGTACCTGCACTCCCCCTGTCACTCCTCTCACCTGTAGAACCATTTCCACGCTCTCCGACTGTGTCTGTGTTCTCGATACCGACTACAAGCGGACGTAACTCAGTAGGATATACGTCTACGTCACATCTGGCACTGAGGCCAAGCGTCTCAGGTGGTTCACTTGCTATGCTGCCACCCAGTCCACCAATACACCGTGAGCGACGCAGACTACGGAAAAAGTCACGTCCTCCGCACATAGAGAACAATGTGTTCGAGTTAATTGAAGAACAACACGACTCACCTCCACCACTCCCACCATCCACTCCCGAGCGACCATCTACTTCGCCCCTCCCTCAATCCGACACAGGTTCAATGGGCCCACAGAAGACGCCTCTCCTTTCGCGCATCGGATCAGTCAAGAAGTGGGGTGTGCGCAAGAAGCGAGCCAGTACGGGGCCAGCAGAGGTAATGATGCACGACCTTGGGCACGAAGACCAAGAGCACACGCCGCGCCCAACTAGCTCGCTCGCATCTGTCCCTAGCTCTAGCACGCGACCGAGCTGGTTTTTTCGCTCTGGCGGCGCCCCTGGGTCTGGGTCCCCGCCGCCTCCACCCGCCGCCGAACTTAAGCACGAGAAAAGCATGAATAGCGTGCATTCGTTTGTGCTATCAACGCCCAGCAAGCTCTCAAAGCGCAAGTCGAGCAAGATGTTTGATCCAAATAGCAGCAGCGAGGTCGTGGGGACACCCGGGAAGCCCTCGCTTCTCTCCGCGGCCAGGAGACCCACGTCCATGCAGGTCCCACAGGGGAAGCTTATCTCTACCTCTACAGGGACACGGCACACTTCATATGGCTCGTCAGTGGGTCGTGCGGCATCCAAGACGTTCAGCCATCCCAATGAAAGTGTGGATGATCTGCAATCTCGGGAGGGTAGCCGGGGCTTCATGGGCGGCATACGGAAAATTAGCCTTGTCAGCGGTACAAAGCATAAACGGAAGAAAGAGTGCTGCCGAGGTCACACCCCTCCCACCAGTCCCTATGAGCCCACCTCCTCCGCTCCCCGACGAGCCCAAGCATCCAGATCAATTACTTCCTCCAATAGAGCTACAGCCACCATCCCCGCCCAGGACACTCAACGGGGTGACTGCGTCACATTCCGTGCCAATCAATATCAGCCAGGGTGTCGAGTCGTTATTTGTGCCCTCGAGCAGCGCTCCTGCATCACTATCTCCAAAGGCCAGCCCCGTCTCTGCAAGCCGCACCTCTCCTGGCAAATCATCATCCCCTCAATCCGCATCATTAGGACGGGCTACGCAAGTTCCTCTTCCATCATCATCTAGTGCATTTGTCCTCCGGAGAAACTCGCTGGGCGACCTCAAGATTCCAGCAAGAATTAGTCAAGCTCAAATCAGCCTTAAACGCGACCTTGGAATGGTGAGGGAATTTGCAGCAAGCGTTGATAGTATGTACCATTGCAGCTTCTACACATGCCTTGGCTGAATATTTCCCCAGAACTTAAAGAGCTGCAGGCAATTCACCATCACCTAGTCGCCGAGGTACACACTGCCCTAGAGAGTTCTCCTCTATCTCGAGCGGCTTCACCCCTCATGATTCATCTTGCCCACCCCCGTTCCCGACTGCGCTCTAACACCGAACCCAATTCTAACTTTTCAGAGCACAAGCATTTAGCAGCAGCACTGAATGCCATCACGACCAAGTACAAGATACCTTGGGAATGTGCCGAGCTACTGATTGAACTCGGCGGAGGCACGCCTTCCCCTGCTTCTCCTCCGTCTACCGCTGTATCTGCACCAGCTGCGCAGAGTGATATCGACCTCCGGAAGAGCCGGGAGCGAGCAGTGACTCTGTCAGGCGAGGAATCGAAGCTACCCTCGGGATTCGTTGCGTCGGCTGCAATGGGACAGTCCAATCTGTCATGGCGATCGTCATCAGGGCGTCACGATCTCACCCAGCGACAGCTCGTTCTCTTGCGTGACATCCTCAACAGTACAGATGGTGCGCTCCCTGACGATGCATTGATTTCAGAGGAGACGCATGTCAACCGACAATGGCGGTGGGGAGATGCGATGAGCAGCACAGTTACGCTTCCCTCTGAAGAATCTGTGCAAGCTTCGCAGGATGGAAAGAAAAGGCGACATAGCCGAATGGGCATGAGTGGGCTAAGAGACATGCTGCGGTCACTGAAGCGGGGCCATTCAGGCCCGCCACCGCCGCCTGCGTCCACCACGTCTCTAAGCACCCAATCATCTATGGGCTCCCAGAGCCAGCATCATTATCCGCATGCACATCTACCTCAATCACACCCCCAGCGAAACTCTAAAACAAGTGCTGGACCAGAGTCAGTGCGTTACACTCGGGATGCGTCGAATTCGCCGTACAGTGGACAGTCTTTAAAACACAAGGTATCGCCACGCCGACCTTCACTCGCGTCTATCTTCCGCCTGGGGCAGAAGAACAAGAATGTGTCGTCTGGTGCAGAGTCTTCGCTATCTAGCGCCCATGGTTCGCGCTGTGCAAGCCGAGGCAGTGCTACGACAGAGGAGGAAGATTGGGACCAGATTGACTCTGTCGCGGATCTTGATGGAGCAGCGAGAGCACTGGGGATCGATGGGCCTGCCACGATCAAGGGAAAGAAGGGACGCTCACCTTACCTAAATCACCCTCATGACATGCGTCCAATGTCACCCAAGCGGGCGGCGTGTTCCTCTCAGACGTCGTTGAAGTGCGAGCCATCCCCTCGTTCCATAAGGCCAATGCGATCGACTAGGCTGTCGAACGTGGAGGAGGTGGTTGATGATCGTCAGGCACGCTCGAAATCGAACGCTCAGCACCGCATCTCTTTACCGCGAACGAGCCCTTCACGACCGCCATCTCGGAACTACAAGCTTGCAGTATCGGGGTCTGTACGCTCTGCGCCTCCACAGCCGCCGGACGGTGACTCTTCGCTACTCTCCGAATTTAAATTGTCGATGACACCGGAAAATATTAAGCCGCTGCTCGACAATGCGAAGGAGGTGCATCTGCGCTTAAATGAGTGTATCAGGGAAGTACGGGCGCTACTGGACGCTTCTGCGAACTCGCTGTCATCGTAGTTCATTCATCACACTTCGATTTGGACTTCATCATCAACTGCATAGTTATATCTAGATATCTGGTGTATTGTTCTTTTATTTTCTTGGTTTTTCTTTTGTGCTCGAAGGACATCACGTTGATATTTATGACAACACGTGCGTACCCTGAGTCAACGTTCACGAACATACTTTATACATGTGCAATACGAAATAAATTGAACTTCACACCATCCGGCCGGAGCCCATAACGCCATCCAGTAAGATGGAACAACAGGAGTATCTTCATTCGAGTAATGTTGTTCTCTAGTGATGAGAGGGAATAAATAATGCATGATCATTCATCTAAGTTGCGAAGATGCTATACAGTCCCCATGATACAACCATGATATGTAAGAGAAACTTCGGCATCAATACTACTTACATAAATGCAATTACAGTCTAAGAGCCTCCGAAACAGTCAACCAGCGGTGCCCCTCCCACAGTGAGTTATCCCTGCTAGCCGATTCCGGGTCGTCCGACTCTGTCACAGGGTTCCACCCGCAACTCCCTCCCCCAGCCCCAACATGCTTCTGGAAGAACGTACGGAAGTGTGCGTTCACCACGCCTTCCGTAGGAAGGGCATCGCAGTATACTACAGGTGCACGGCCTTTATATAAGGCTCCGATCTCCGAGAGCGTTGCTCGTTGGCCCTCGATGTGAATTTCAACATCAAGCAGACGAGATGGAGGTTGAGTAGTAAGGATATGAGCCACGTATCCTGCAACATCGGATACTGCAGTGAAGGATCCTGGTGTTTCTCCTTTGTTCACGATATGGAACTTGCCAGTATCAGCGAGCGCGGTGAGCCAGGGTACGAATTCGTAGAACAATCCGTTCTGTAGTCGATCTATCATATTTAGCGCTTATTGGAACGACATCCGACAAATGACTACTCACGAAGACGCGGAGAGTTGGTAGTCCGATTGATTTTGCGTAAACTGTGAATGGAGGAATGAGTCGACGCGACGATGCGCTATGTGATCACTCGCCTGCGAAGTCGGTCTTTTGAAAAGCCAACCCGCCTTTAGCTAATTGCGGTTTGATACCGAACTCGCTGGGCACGAAGAGCTTCACACCTGCCTCCTTGGCAGCGTCGGCGAGAATATTCTGGCCGACCACGCCGCCGAAAACAAGGGTGACGGTCGAGATGAGGACATCTACTTTGTGCTCGCGAAGAACTGTGGAGATCTCGGATGCAGACGTGTAGTCTGCGCGTACAACCTTGAGGTTAGGATCATCTGCGGGGAGCGCAGCGACGTTCGTAGAGGCTGGCCGTGCGATGACGAGAATTGGGGCGCCAATGGCAAGGAAAGCCTGATAGAGCTAGCTAAGGACAACAAATGCAAGAATATAATAACGAATGTTACCTTCACGATATGAATCCCGGTGTTAGGGCCTGCGCCGATGATAGCAAAAGACTTGAAGAGTTGTTCAGACATATTGTGTTGGTAAGAGGATTGGTTTGTGTAGTTTTAGACTGCTCTTGTCGATATCCATGCCAGCTTTTATACTGTACCTCCTGCACTATCGCATGGATGATGGCGGTGACCACCAATACTGCCATCTTGATGTGTAGTGAAGTCCAGTGATACCTGAACGATACCTGGGAGACCAGGGGAAATCCTAAGATTATTGCGGAGGATGACGGGGGAATATGCCGCGCCCCGCGGGTCATGACGCGTTATGTTCGCGTCAATCAGCAAGTTCGTGACGTTAGAACTTGAACATGTGAGACAATTTGGAGAACTCGTCGCGACACATCAGAAAAACTTGACGGGGAATTTTCATGACAACTGCGTTACTCTAGTAGATCAAATCACACTTGGTATGCAAGAATTTAATCAAACTCACTCGATACACTGGGACTTGCTTATCGTCCTCGGCAACAACCCTGTCATCGCATCACACTGACCTGGTGCAGATCTATGCAGATGACAGGGTGCACCAGCAGCCTGGAGTCAGTGATCTATTTTGATAGTGAGCATCTTCAAGTTGCACAATCGAACTCACCGCCTCCATCTTATTGATACTCCCGTAGACTTCCGTGCGTAGAGACCAAGTTCAACATCTATCATATCCAGGGCCTGACCAAGGTGTGAAGGCGAAGCTCGGTTACCGCAGTGCACCATCGAGTCACTGACACAACTCAAAGGCAGTGACAAGTGGAAATGCATTTTGTTCATCTGTCGTTGGTATTTTTGGTTTTAATTTGTAACGCAGTGAGACTGATCATCACTGATGAGTCCTTGACATGGTAGCCGTGGGAATTATAGGGGATGGTTCAGACTGCTCTTGCTGAAGTATGAAATGTGAGTTATCGGGACATGGGCGCATCAGTGAATTGATGAGTCCTTGAAAGCTTGATATTGTAGCCGTGGGCACTGAGAAGTATAGCTCTGCTACCGCCAAATATTAGCTTGTATATTGCGAGCAATTTGAGTTGCACATACAATGTCATACATACCCATGTATGTTGCATGTATGCTTGTAAATCCAGCCTAACATGAATGATTTATGACAATGCTGGAACATTCCGCCTCTGCAGCCAATGAGTAGTGGCAGTATACCTGAGCCAATCGTTTTGAGCTTCGATGATGCCGCCCATGTAGCCATGGAAAATCTCGCAGGTCTTCGGTGTCCCAGCGCTGCAATTCCTGCTCCCGTTTCTAGAGAGCTTCAGAGTCTACAGAATCAAAGACTGATCATGGTATGGAATTTGTTTGAGGGTCCACTTTAGCTCAGGTTGGATAGTCCACTGGCATGTTCCGAAAATTTCCCAGCAACGAGCGTTTACATAATTACGTATACGTCAACGTTCACTGACTCGTCCGGCAAAAATAAAAACGTTCTCAGAGGCTCAGACTCTCTAGCTAGTAGCTAGCAGTGGGAGTCAGGGATTTTTGGTCTATCCCATATTATTTCTCTTAAGTGCAGGTCTTTTGTTTGCCGGTGCTCAATCTTCCGCTCCTTACTGCGTTTCGACTCTGATATCCCCCCAGTTTGCACTCATGGTGAGACTCTTCAAAGTGAGATGGGGCAGTAGTTATGTTAGCGCTAAAGCCTAATAGTAACCGTGACATGGCAGACCATGTGGAGAGGTCGAAATGCCCTGCAGCACTATCCCCTTGGTCATCCTCATTGATCCATATGTCTCTTTAATCTTGCCAAGGACGTTCACGACAGATTCGAGAAGCTTGGCTCCTTGTCTGGCCTGGTTGAATTTTATCAGGCTGCACTGGAGCTCCGTCCCCCTGGCCATTCTTATCGATACGCGACTTTTAACAACCTTACCAACAGCCCTCAAGATAGATTTCAGCAGCGGGGCTGTCTTGTCTGACCTCGATGAGGCGACTGAGCTCCATCAGGATACGTCACTCCTTTGTCCCACAGGTCATTCTGACATTCTGATTCTCAACAATCTTGCTATCAGCCTTCATGACAGATTCGGGCAGCTTAATATCCCATCTGACCTTGATGAAGCAATTGAGATTGGGCTTCACCAGATTGCACTAGCACTACTCCTGGCTGATCATTCTGTGGTCGATCTGTGTCAGGTGATATTGGCGCTACCTTGGCAGAAGAATCCAAGCGGCTGAGCTTCCGCCTTCGTAACATGTTCGACCAATCTATTGTAGACCAGTCCCTGCAAATCCAGCAGTAGGATGATGTTGTTTCGCGCATCTGCATGCTCCCTGACTTTTCGTTTCCTCCTACCTCCACTGTTTTCCGACCCTAAGAAAATGGCCGTTGATGGTCCAGTCGTCATTATCGATGCTAGTAAGTACAGCCGTGACGCCTTGATTGTCTTGAGCACCCAAGATCCTATCCACGTACCACTTGATATCGTGCGGACCGGGGTCTCTGAGTTGTCCGATGACTTTCAGCTCCTCGCAGAGACATTCGATTTTTCTAATTATCGACACAAGCTTGCCAGCATCCTCCGCAAGCTTCGGCGTCATGTTGTTGACCCCACTCTTAGGGGGGCCAAAGTACAGCCTGACTCGCGCGTCTGGTGGTGTCCCACCGCCGAGTTCACGTTGCTTTCTCTATATGCAGCAGGACCCTGTGAGAAGAAAAGAGACGAACAGAAGCGGTAAAGAGAACAAAATGAAATACAGTCTATCAATACTATCATTCGATAGGAAATGCACAATTTTCACTTATTGCTGAATAGCAACACAACAACACATATTCGTATCGGATCTACTGTATTGTATACTTTAGGTCTCTGCGCATCAGGCCCAACGAGATTTTTGATATTTTGTTGCGAGCTTGTTGCAGCGGCAGCACTGGAAGTTGAGATGTCGAAAACAGAATAGAAATGCACAATTTCGTCACGCTATGTCACACGCGGCGCCTCGGCCAGGCAAAGATACGGTGGTATCCAAAGTCCGACAGCGCTCCAAGTGAATAATGAGTTCCACACACCCTAGTGACACCACGAATGCAACAAAGCGGAGACTCAAACAAGCCGACAGTGTGATTTCCTGATTTAGCCTGACTGTCATGCTGCACTCATAAATCGTGAATAGCACGCTGTGGTGCTGCTCTATTGACATTTAAACACCTGGAGTAGATTCAGAATGGTGTATCTTATATATGTTAAAGTTTATATGTTGATAGGTTAATGGGATCTGGGTGGATCGTGAATTTAGCGTCCAAAAATCACTCATTTTGGGTACACTTGCACAATGTTTCATCTCAGGAAGGCTCCACAGAGTCGATTTAAAATTTTTGATTCGGTAGGCTTATCGAGCATATGCTAATACTTGTTCTCCCGCTGTTCCGAATGAAATATATGTAGAGTTGTGAGCTCTGGAATGTATTGTACATTACCCATCGATTGTGCATTACGGATCAGTGATAGTATGAAAGTAGCTGTTTAAATCAGTTCAACTTCGACTTTGCAAGTCTTGTGTCGAGAACATAAGTAGGAGGAGCGTGACACCTCCGCACTAAAGCTCGAGAGTGTCCGCGGAGAAACAAATGTATTTTGCAAGTCCGACGACCCAGCTGAAAAGCTCGGGTTTGTCGGGGCTAAAGGTACAAAAAATTTGAGTCCTAGATCGCTATCTACAAAAGAAGGGAGAGGCATATGTGGTGGTAGCAAAATTTTCTGTTTCACGGCGGTAAAACAGAAAAGATGCGGTTCACCTGAGCGCAGGTGCCCAAATATACATTAAGAGAGGGGCTTGAAGCCACGTAAGCACAGCGGTGCATGGACCATATCGATGTGCGATAACGGTCATAGAAATTGCCTCACGGATTAAACCTGCGAAAACAACTTTTACCTCCGATTAATCAGTTCAACTTTCGACTTTGCAAGTCTTGCGTCGAGAACATAAGTAGGAGGAGCGCGACACCCTCAGCACTAAAGCTCGAGAGTGTCCGCGGAGAAACAAATGTATTTCGCAAGCCCGACGACCCAGCTGAAAAGCTCGGGTTTGTCAGGGCTAAAGGTACAAAAAATTCGAGTCTAGATCGCTAAAGGACTATAAAGAAAAATTGAAAGACGCGCGGTACGTGGGTCAAGATGGGATAGATGATAATTGTTGTCCAGCTTGTTATGTGCCTGAAGAGTCAAGGTGCGGCAGCAGTGGCATCGTGTATGATTGCTTGTAGAATGAAAGGGTGAACATGAATGTATTTGTGAAATTCTTCTGATGACCATCTTCCAGCTGCTTGTATGAGAGCTGGAGGCACCCCGTCAAGTGCGAGAGCAGTCGCACCTCCCGCTCGCATAGAGTGTCCGCTGAAACCCCGATTTGCGAAAACCCGTTGAAAGTGTGCTGTAAACCACAAGCAGTGGGAACATGTCCATTTGAACGCAACCATAGCTCTGGATAGTGAGGGAAACTGGCGTCTCGAGAGCGGAGATAGCCCTTGAAAATATTGAGACAATCATCCTTGTAATCTGACCTGCGAACAAGAACCTTGCTGCCTTGTCCAAACTTATCCGATTTAGACAAAGGCAGCGTATAAGATACCGAGTTATCGCCGAAGCACACGGTGTGTCTCATAGGGACATGGTCATAGGATTGCAGTTTAACCTGATCAGGCCAAACTAGTTCTCCAAGGCGTTGAAGCGTTTCGAATCCGAAATAGAGTTGCACAAGGAAAAGTATATCATCATGATCTGAAGATTCATGATAACGAAGGAAGGCACCATGTAGGTCATTGCGAGACAGAGATTGTTTTCTTTTAGCAGGATAACTGAAACGGTGCTTACAGCCGGTAGGGATTAGCACAGGTAAACCCGCGGGTGTCCAGAGCCCTACCCGCACCCGTACCTGCACCCGTACCCGCCATATACCCGTACCCACACCCGTACCCGCCATATACCCGTACCCATGTACCCAAGGGTACCAACGGGTACGGGTCTTCGAACGGGTATTGACGGGTTGCGCGGATATGGCAGTAAACCCGCGGGTATAAATTCAAACTATACTAGAAAACATTTAGTAACTACAGATTAATAATAATACCTAATCTGAGCCTTCGTCATTGCCTCGGTGGTGAAAGTGGGTGGAGAGTCGAGTCGCGAGTGACAACGGCCGATCTGTGTGACTGACCAGGCGCAAAGCCAGCGCTTCCGTATGAAGTGCAATAGCCTCATCTAAGTCTTCGTTGTTGCCTCGGTGGCAAAAGCGGGTGGAGAGTTGAGTCGTAAGGTTAGTTAATGACATGGACCAATGTGTGTGACTGGCCGGGAGCAAAGCTAACACTTCCTAGTGAAGTGCGATAGCCTCATCCAAGTCTTCGTCGTTACCTCAATGGTGAAAGCAGGTGGAGAGTTGAGTGGCGAAAGCGGGTGGAGAGTTGTAAACTGTACCGGGCTTCTTCTGCTTCTACATGGACTCTTGTGGTTGCTTCTCGATTGTTCGCAGGAGGGTTATCGAGGAGGGAGCTGAGGTCTCTGAATTTCTTCATCAGGGCCGCTGCGTGATCGCCGCGTGTCTGGAGGCTGTCAAGAGGCGTACGGAGTCGTGTAATCTGGGTCCAGATGATAGTCCTGCCTTGTTCTAACAACTCAACAGCGCGACATACATCACCACTACGAAGAGCACACGATGCAGCATCCATGGCAAGCGTTCTTGGGAAGTCCTTCATGATATTGTGACGAGACGATACTGAAGCTGTCGTGGACATGTAAGCGTCCAGAAGTTGCATGGAAGTTGCATAAGCCTCCAGCTCGGTGGCATGTGAATGTTGACTAGCATATTGAACCCAGCATAGACTTGCTCGCAGGCGAGATAGTGAGCCTCTGGAGACAACATTTGCTGTTGCTTTAAGATGATGCATTGCAGAATTCAGACTGTTAGTATCTTCGCCCACTCCGGTACCGTCAAGCCCCGAATGATGGAATGATAGATAGACCTTAGCTAGCGAGTTGTGGACTACTAATTGACGAGGATCATGTTGCGTCAACAGAGTCAATGCACAGCATAGGTTCTCTCGAGACTCATTGAGGTCTTCTCTATTGCCTCGGTGCTGAAAGCGGGAGGAGAGTTGATTCCCAAGGTCATTTAATGACGAGGACCAATCTGTGTGACCAACCGGGTGCACAGCCAGCGCTTCCCTCTGAAGTGCGATGACCTGATACAAGTCTTCGTCATTGCCTCAGTGTGAGAAGCGGAAGGAGAGTTGACTGGCAAGGTTATTTAATGACATGGACCGATCTGGGTGACCGACCGGGCGCAAAGCCAGTGCTTCCCTGTGAAGTGCGATAGCCTGATCCAGGTCTTCGTCGTTGCCTCGTTGCGAGAAGTGGGAGGATGAAGACAGGTGTTATGTCGAAGAAGATGGAGGAGAATAGCAGGGTGTTGGCATTGGCGGTATCACAAGATGGACAATTGATACATAGTAGTAGTCTAGACTCATGTAAGTAGTTAATGTGCACCTTACCGCAGACTACGGCAGTTGCCGCAGCAGACGACCATATATGGAAGTGACGGGTACGTGGGTCACGGGTCTCAAAATCCCAACCCGCACCCATACCCGCCAGTACCCATACCCGCGACCCGCCGCGAGTTACCCATACCTGTGCTAATGCCTAACAGCCGGTGAGTGTGCGCTGTAACAAACAAGACCGGCGAACTGCGCAGATCTCAGGAAATTCGTCTTCGAGTTTATTGCAGATTCCTGAGAGGTAGACGTCAACAGACGTTGGGAGGATGTATGCAGACATCCAGACGGCATAGAAGGAGAATGTATCAGGAGTTGGCGTGAGGGCGAGGTTATGCAGTCGGCAGAATTCGATATATGATGCGAGTGCTGAGTCGTAAGAAGCTGATGTTGATTTAGCCAGAGTAAAACCGAGCGCAATAGCGCGCTCGTGGAGCAAATGCTCCGAAGTCCACGCCTGCCGAGACTGGCGGGACTGGTGAGATACCTTGGTCATTTTTTGGTAGCCCCCAACGCATCCCAAGGGGGTGTAAATTCATCAAGGATGAGATCAGGCACTTGCCGAAGTGCTAGATGGTTATTGAATCAGGATAAAGCATCCGCGATAGAGTTCTCTGTCCCTGGAACGTGATATACACGTAGATCAACATTGAGCTCGATCAAGACGTTCACTGCTGACATAAGGATGTTGTTATATGGCGCAGAAGCTCGCAAAGAATTGAAAATGTCGACAGTGTTAGTATTGTTGGTAAAGATGGCAACGTGACGAGGAATTGGTTCTGTCTCAGCGAGTGCGTGAATTGCACTGCACACTGCTAGTGCTTCGAAAAAGAAAATTGACCCTGTCGGTGCCTCTCCGGGTAAACGAGATTGAAATCCGAAATTCAGGTCTGGGAACCAGTATCCAAGTCCAACGAGAGACGCATCAGTGTAGATGGTCACCACGTCATCTGTTGTTTCTGGGTTCCAATCCAGAGAGTCAAGAAGAAGGACGCCAGGCAAATTTTTCATATGATTGGTCAACCATGTCAATTCCCGGATGACATCAACATTCACATAGATTTGGGCAAGTGGTTTTACCTTGTCGCGCATCTTGGCATAAACTGCAGCAAGTCCTGGTTTCAGCAGAGGAAAAACATTGAATAGCCAATTGATAGTGCCTGCAATGTGCTGGAATTCTCGCAAGGTGTGGCGATGACAAGGTACCGCGAACACGCGAATGTATGCAATCATCTCGGTTTTCTTTTCCTGAGGGATTGAAATGACCATACTGTTTGGATCGACGTCAAAACCTATGATTGTGAGTCGCCGACCAAAGAGCTGCTTAGCAGGTTCATGAGGGATGCCGAGTTTGTCCCAAAGTTGAAGCAACAGGGCTTGCTTCTGAGGCAGATAGGTACCGTAAGGCTCATATAGGAGCACGTTACCTTCTAACTCGAATGAGAAAGAATCATCCATGTAGAGCTTCAGATGCTCAATCATCACGACGACGCTCGCAACCCACGTCACGAGTGACATGAAAGAGACCCAGATTAGAGCAGATCCTCTCCCACTGAAATTATTGCAGCGGTCCACATAACGGTTATTGTTCACCGTAATTACTTGCTTTAGTTGCCAAAGAGGATGCATTGGCAGTCGACGGTAGGCCTGAGAAACGTCCGATTTGAAGACAACCAGAGGAACATTTCCATGCTCTCGCTGGAACTGAAGAAGGCTAAGACCAAGTGAACGCATTCCATCAAGTTTAACACCTGATGAATTATCGAGGTTGATCATGGAGTTGAGTGAAAATTCCCTGGCGCTGTGGTCTACCACAAGATGGAGTTTAGTTGAGTTAGGTTTCAGGATGATGTGGACTGGTGTGCTGTACATGCCAGCAAGTAGATTTGGTCCAAATGGGGCCGAGAATCAACCTAGGCGGACTTCTTCATTGACTTGCTCTTGAACAAAAGCTCGATGCTCTTCGTTCTTGAGTGGCCGATGAGAGTTGTCCCACGTCAAAGGGTATCCATCCATAGCAGTATCTGCGCACAGCCAGAAACCCTCGCGCAGGCCATCCAGGATAGACTCAATGAAAGGACGATTAGGATGCTCCTGAACGAGTTCACGGAGCACACTAATTTTGACGGGAGTGATGATTGCAAAAAGATCAGGACGAGAATTGAGTGAATGCAAAGCAGTCTCCGAGAAATCGTGGTTTCCCGGATGAGGTAAGGGGGGTTGCATACAAAGATGACTTAGCCATAGGGCTGAAAGAGGACTCATCTATGAACCACGCCATTCCCTGTAAGTACTGAGGGCATTTAATAGCAGAATTAGTTTGATGAGGAGCGAGAGGGGCAGCTCTTTTCAGGGTGCTCTGCGCTCCCGCACTTTGCACATACATGCCGGTAGTTGCAGGATGAATCTGACTGGCTACAAGTCTTGTAGTTCCATCGCTTGCAGTAATCAGAGCCTCGTCGGCATTTTGAACTGCTCGAGACCCCCTCATCATTGACACAGCGACCTGAGAGGGAGAAGTGCCCTTCATAGAGGTCTGAAAACTGGTCAAAGTCAGAGAGTTGTAAGTCTCTCCTCCGACTGACACGTTTCCTGACTGCCTTGTCAAAGGCAATGACACGGGAATGGTACTTGCTAATATTTTGGGCGAACTTTTGATGGATGAAGTTTCCATAGTCTTCGAGTTCGTCATGTCGATGCGGGAAAGCAAATCACATTGCTCGCGAGAAGAGCGAGTACGCGACATTCCAGTCCTGCGAGCTTCGCACAGACTTTGCAGGTTCAGCCTCTCCGCCGACCTTAATTTTGAATTTTCCGAGCTTTTCCTCATGGTCATGTTCTGGTTTGTCCAAGTACCATCCTGTAAAGACAACATCGAAGTTGACGACTCTTCCTCGGATGATATTGTAGAGTTCAGACTCAGGGAACTCAGGGACGAATGAAGACTCAAGCCACTTACGCTTGACCCACTTGGGGTCATGAGCCCAATTCGCGAGAATGGTGTTGGTCTTTCGTAATGAGACAGGGGGTTTCTTCGTCCTTCTAGTGACGGAAGGGTTTGTGAGATTTGAGAGGTCAAGTTTAAATCCTCTGTGCTTTTTACGCGCTGGACCGTCATCCTCTGAATCAGAGTCCTTTTTGGACTCTGAGTTATCTGACAGTTCCGCACTATCACGGTCTCCTCACGACTCTTCTCCATCCTTTGAAGTCTCTTCTTTGCTCTCGCAATCTTGTTCTCCAGCTTGGATAACTTGCTTTTCAAAGGAGTCAAGCATCCGGTGATAAGGACTGACAAGTTCGGCGACTGTTCGCCCTCCGAACTCATTCCTGTTGACATACGACGCTCGCTCGAAGATTTCAAGGATCGCATTGGTCTTCGTGAGCTTTCCTCGTCTATAATCTCCAACAAAGCTCAAACAATCAGAATTGAAGGTATTTTTTCGTGGAGAGGGGCTTCGTTCTTCTGAAGGCTGTTTAGAAGGAGACCGCGAATCACTACTAGTCTGAGTTTGAGAATTTAGGGATTTAGGATCCATGCGCCTTTTTAGAATAAATGATGGAATGAGAAAAACGAGTTCAATGTAGCAAAAATTTTCTGTTTCACGGTGGTAAAACAGAAAAGATGCGGTTCACCTGAGTGCAGGTGCCCAAATATACATTAAGAGAGGGGCTTGAAGCCACGTAAGCACAGCGGTGCATGGACCATATCGATGTGCGATAACGGTCGTAGAAATTGCCTCACGGATTAAGACTCCGTTCGGGAACTCGAATCTGGCTAAGTTTCGACGAGATTTTGAACTTCGAATTTAAGTAAGCTCGGAGTTTGAATTCTGCACTGTCACGCTACAGACTCGAGGATCTGAGCACGTCACACACCGCACACCGCACGCTGCAGAGCTCATTGTACAATAATACCAACAGTATGCTTTTGCGTCTTTTGCACCACCAGGACGACACTACTAATTCCGATGACACGGGTGATCAGTCAGATGATAGAGATGTGGAAGATGATAGAGATGATGAGGGGGATCCAAATGACGCAGAGAAGGGAGATCTAAAACGCCTGCAACAAATCATCAATGTGTTTCAGAACCTGATGGTATCGGCCGCTGGAGTGGTTGACATCGCAGTGGATGCCTATAACTCCTACATACAAACCCACTATGAGAAAGAACCATACCATACCTCGGCGCTATCGGGGATCGCTTGGGTCAACGAGCTCCTTACTGGCCACCCTGAACGCGTGCAATGCGAGCTTGGCGTCCGCCACCATGTTTTCTTTGTATTATTGAATGTGCTTCGTGAAAGCGGAATAGACAACTCAAAGAATGTGCTGCTGGAGGAACAGCTTGCTATCTTCTTATATGCCTGTGTCACTGGGCTTTCTGTACGCCATCTTGGTGAGCGTTTTCAATGCTCAAACGACACTATATCAAAGTACGTCCTCCCATGACTTTGAACCCGGCTGTACTAACTCAATAGCTCCTTTCTAGGTATTTTAAACGAATTTTGATCGCATTCTCATCTCAGCCGATCTATACCATGTATGTCCGTCTCCCCAGTCCACAGGCCCCCACTCCCCCCACTATCCTCAAAACCAGGAAATTTTACCCGTACTTTGCCGATGTTATCGGCGCCATCGATGGCATGCATATCACGTGTCACCCCACAGCATCTGATCATCATGCTGCCCATGACCGCAAGGGCAACTTGACACAGAATTGTCTTGCTGCCTGTGATTTTGACATGTGCTTTATGTACATGCTGAGCGGTTTCCAGGGGTCCGCAGCAGACGCTCGTGTCTATCACACTGCACGTTTGACGGACTTCACCATTCCGCCGGGGAAGTTTTATCTAGCAGACGCCGGATTCGCTGCATGCGATGAATTGCTTGTACCCTATCGAGGTGTACGCTATCACCTTGCAGAATGGGGCCATGCAAATCTTTTGTATGTCGTTTTCTAATATTTTATTCTTCTCACACTTATCTGCCTTTGGAACTCTATAACTTGCGACACGCAATGCTTCGCAACGTTATCGAACGTATTTTTGGCGTCCTCAAGAAACGCTTCCGCATCATTCTACTTCCCCCTGAGTATAACTCAGAAATCCAGTCTCGCATTCCTCCAGCTCTCTGCTTGATCCACAATATAATCCATATCCACGACCCTAACGACTTACTGGACTATCGACACGTTGAGTCAGACGAGTGGGGGCCTCAGTACACCGGTACGCTCGCTGACGGTCCTCCAACTGAAGCTGCGAGGACACATGCACATGAACATCGCGACCAACTCGCGCAATCTATGTGGTTAGATTATCTTGCAGAGAGACGTCGAAGAGGGGAACCAATGCCACCTGGAGTGCAGGACTAATTCTTAGTGTAGCGCTATTCTTCTTACTGTAGCACTTTTCTCAATGTATCAAATTTTTCGTAAGATGAGTCGTTTGTGGCAGAGGAAGAAACGCCATTCTGGTTGGATGCGGAGTCGGGAGACGTGATACAAATTTTTCGTAAGATGAGTCGTTCGTGGCAGAGGAAGAAACACCATTCTGGTTGGATGCGGAGTCGGGAGACGTGATACAAATTTTTCGTAAGATGAGTCGTTCATGGCAGAGGAAGAAACACCATTCTGGTTGGATGCAGAGGAAGAAGCATGGTTAGCACCAGAACGATAACATGATGTATTTAGTACTACAACAAATTGTAGCGTAGTTAGAGCTCCTTCGCCTTCCTATAGTCCTCTAAATACTGCACAAGAAAGACTTTGCATACGATATCACGTTTAATGTTGAGATACGAATCAGCAACACAAACATCAGCTTGAAACAAATTAATCATAGTGACAATTTTATGCGCGTCGAGATCTTCTTCATCCTGTACCTGTAGAATGGCTTTTTGTTTGCGGAGGGGGACAGGCTCAACAAAATGACTGGAGACCGTCTCCTGAAATGCTGTCGTTGCATTAGCGATACTATCAGCCATCTTTCCTCCCAAGCCTTCCAATGCTGACGGCATTGATAGACGCTGCGACTTTGACGACGACTTCCCTTTGGAGGATTGTGGTGGACGGGACTCATGACGCGAACTGTCATCCCCTTCAGCTTTGCGTTTCACAGCTGTCGAAGATGCAGGAGTGGAGGGAGCAGGGCGACTTTGCATGATGTTGAAACTGGTTGGGGTGATGGGCATGATGGGCGTGACAGGAGTAGAAGCTGTGGGGGGAATGGAGATGGGAATGAGGGGTGCGATGGGAGGACCGGATGTCCCTGGCTCAGCGTGCATAGTGTCGTCATTGTTGTCAGTAGTAGGATGAGCATTGAATTCCACACAGTCAAGTGCATCCTCCAGTGACGCCATCATGACGTCACTGGCACTGGATGGCCCAGGAGTGGCACTTACACTGGGTGTTAATGTGTTGTCAGCGTTGTCAATGCCCGCGTGGAAACCAACCCAGGTGCTTGGTTGCGCTGACATGATACCATGTAGCGCCTCATAATGAGGCCAGCCCTTCGTCTTGTAAGGCTTTGCTTGGGGGTTGTGCTATGTATGTAGTTAGCACACGGCATGACAGGAAATGATAAAAAAAACATACCCTAGTGTAGTCTGCCCAGATCGTCTCTGATTCACATCCGATATTTGCGCCAAGCTCTGGACTGTATGAGATTCCAGAGGCGTGCGCTATCTTGTAGATGACTTGATACAACTTGCGAATCTGAAAAGTGGAGATCAGTACCGCCAGCAGCCACTCAGTAGAAATAAGTACGTACTCGTGACCATTTTGTTTGACATGCCTCTGCAGTCTTTGCAGTGCCTTAGAATAAGGCAGAAGTCAGATGAATATGGCGTGATATCTGTGGCAGGACTCACCTTGCATTACAGGCTGTTTCACCATCTCCACAGCAGTATCATTCCAGAACGTCTTATCGAAATTGAGGCCATCTCCCCCTTTCGATTTGTTGGCGATGACATAGTTTATCAACGCCGTCTCGTCGCTCTGCGACCAAACACAACGATCTTTCGGTTCCATCAAGGTGGCATCCTGTCGTTTTTTCGAGTTCTTCTTCGTCATTAGAGTCGTTTGGCTGCGAAGATGGTCGCAATAACGAAAGCGTCGGGTTGGGGGCATAACCGTATATGATATCAAGGTGTGACATGTAATCAGTCACATTGAACGGCAATCCGGCAAGCTTACTTAAGTAAATTCGAAGTTCAAAATCTCGTCGAAACTTAGCCAGATTCGAGTTCCCGAACGGAGTCTAAACCTGCGAAAACAACTTTTACCTCCGAATAATAATATATCGGCGTTATGAAACCTTAAACTCCGACTAGTTCATTCTTGATTGATACCCTCATGATCTCAGTCTCTGAATCCACAGGTGACCAGCCTGAAAATAATACAGTATGTCGCTACCCACGGACACTGGTGCCAAGCGCACACTATCACATTTTGAATCCGACCACCTATATTGGACGAAGTGCACGGTCCGCTAGGCTTATTTCCAACGTCGAATCTCTCCTCCGTCTCGTTTGAAACATCCAGGAGTTATTTAACGTCCTGAATAGAAGAAATGCAGACTACCTCAGCCTCAGCCGCACTCCGAGCATTTCCCTGTGCTCAAGGGCCCTGAACAACTCGGCGCGCTATGGATTGCGACAACCCCTGCAGTCCACATGGCGGCGCTTTGCCCAAGGCTCTCATCCGATCTGACATCTGGTTTGCGGATGGCAATATCGTCCTTATCGCTGACTCTGCAGCTTTCAAGGTCCACCACGGTCAGCTCGAAAGGCACTCGGAGGTGTTCCGTGACTTGTTTTCCGTTCCACAGCCCATCGAGCAGAGCCTCATCGACGGTTGTCCTTCGGTTGAGCTGCACGACCGTCCGACAGATTTATACCACCTCCTCATTGCGTTGTATGATGGAATGTGAGTATCTAGCGCTGTCTTGGATTCAGAAGCAATGCTCAGTGTTGCGCATAGCTACTTCCAGAAGCACACTGCAGCAGATTTCGTTGCCATTTCCGCTGTACTTCGTCTCTCCACGAAATACTTCATCGAGCACCTACGCGAACGCTGCATCGCCCGTCTTGCGATAGACTGGCCCACATCACTTCCTGAATGGGATCGCAGGGAACACGACGGGACAGATAGCGAGGGCCGTTACAACCCCCGCGAGATCTTCCCCCACCCCCTCCTAATGCTTCAACTCGCTTACGAGCTCAACCTCGACACTTTCCTTCCCGGTGCGTTCTACGACCTCTCACGTTACGGCCCCAGTAAGATCCTTACTGGCACTCGTGGTCCACCACCGATCTTCTTCACTGAAGGCGAGCCCGAAGGTCAGCTCGTCCGCCTCTCAGACGATCATCTGTGCGCGACGTTCCTGGGTCGCGAGGCTGCGCAGTTGTACATACATTCCTTCCTTGAGTCTGCACTTCGCGACCGCCCGTCCACCAACTGTGCAAACGTGGGGAAGTTGAGTGCCGTGCATTGCATTGAGTCATTCTACTTCATACACCTCAACGTTCTGCGTTCTGTCGGTGGGATTGCATGCGGACGTGACGCAGACCCGCTGCATACACTTTTACAAGCCGCAGAGATGTTGGAAAGGACCTGATTTTTCAGACGGGGTGAAGACGTGCGGGTTAAGAATGTGCTCGGTATGCAAGTCTGAATTTACGGATGCCGTCAAAAAGGCAAGGCTGGAGGTATGGGAGCTGATTCCGGAATGGTTTGGACTCAGGGAGCCCAGATCCGTGAAGGATATCAACTAGATTTTTTACAATATTTATCATGGTATTATGGCGGCAGAATGCGCAGTTATCTCAACACACCTAGCTTATTGTACACAAAAGGCATAAAAAGTGGTGAATTATCATAGATACAAAACCAGATTGACATGGAGGATGAGTGATATACAATGAGAGAGTACGTTTATTCCTCGCCAATTTTTGGTGCGAGGTAGTACTTGATCTCGCCTTGTCCGAACTTGTAAGATACCTAACCACAGCACCGTGTGTTAAGAACAATCGACGAACATTAAGAACTAAACGTACAAGAAGTGGCACGTCGTTGCTCAACATGAGCTGCACCGTGTTTGATAGTGCTGAGCTCTTTGAGAAGTTGACGAGGTATTTCAAGCTGAACGTCAACGATACGTGTTGATTCATTTCAATGAGGACCCCTCCATCTGCAGGAGTTTCGTCTGACTTTTTCACTTTCTTGGCGGGCTTGCCGTTGGACTGGAGCACTGGTCAAAGAGTGGAATAAAAATTGGAACGATGACAACCCACCTTTGCGGGTGCTTTCTTGCGCTTCTTGCTACTCTTCTTGTCTTCCTCATCCTCATCCTGTTCCTCCTCACCCTCATCGTCCGACTTGGGTTTGAACTCCTCTTGGTCTTCATCCTCTTCCTCACCCTCCATCTCGACGTCAGCATCTTCTTTCTTCATATTCTTTTCCTTCTTGATCTTCTTTTTACTGCTGCTTCCTTCTTCGTCGTCATCGCCATCGTCTTCCTCCTTAGGCTCTTCATCCTCCTTGCCATAGTTGGCGTACTTCTCTCGGGCAGCCTCAGTTTGCTTCAACAGTACGTTACCGTTTGCAGCTTCGCCTTCACTTGCAAAACGCACGCCTTCCTTCGAAACCTCAATACGTACAGACTCGCCCAGTTGTGACAGGTCCCGGACAATCCTCGTGAATTCCGACGCGGTCATGGTAACTCGTGCATCGTACTCTGTATCCGGAATACCAAGGGTCTCGGCATCTATATCCATGAGTTTCATGTCATACTCCGCGATTCGGTCAGAACCTTGCCGTAGACTCATTCGTGAATATGGTCATTTAGAATATCACAAAAAGGACTCACTTCTTGCTTCGTAGACAAGATTCAGAATATCAGCATCATCAGACGCCTTGATGATACAGATGTCATCATCCTTGGCACACTTGAGGACTTTTGTGAGGGAGTTGAGATTGACACCTAGAGGCATTGGGCGGTCACAGCGATACTTTTTGAAACCTGTTGCATCAAGCTTGACGGCAACGAGAGCTACATGGGAGTTGTCCATGGCTTGAAGGTTCTAAAAGCCATCATCATAATGAGATGACTGCTGGTGGAAAAAACCTACGATTCCTTCTTCATTGCACTCAAAGTTAGCGTCTGTTACCAACTCTTTAATGGCTGCGAAATTTTGACGAATGAGTCCCGCCACGAGTGCAGACGAGAATATAGCTTACAGTCTAGCAGACGCTTGAGAAGGGCTGCTTCTTGGAGTCTTGCTTCCAGCATGATGAGTGCAAGAGAATAAAACTAAGAGAAAGGGAAGGAGATTAGACGCGTCTACGTCGCGTTGAATGGACCATTTCAAGCGGAGACGTACAAGTCCATGGACCGCGTCTTTACGCGTCATGTCACATTTTGTCACACAACAAGGACCTGTCACGTTGGCGTGAAAATCCAAGTCGAGCGCTGTCACCGACTATCACCACGCTCGCCTAGATCTGAGGCTTTGACCTAAGCAACTGGATGTTCTTGAAGTTGCTCGTAACTACATTTGTGTCTCTAAATTCGAATTCAAACTGCATACTACTTGTAGTCCACTACAACAAACATATGCTGTGGTAGCGTGGCTGATCTTTGGCTTTTTTGTCCCAACAAAAGCGTCTTCGATTTATAACGGCTGGAATACCGCTCTGCCACCTCACACCTCAAAACCTCTCTGTCCTACCCGGGTCTCTCATCATTATGACTAGTCAACAAACCAACCTCACGGACCGTAGCAAACTTCGCATGGAGCGGCTCAGGCTCGAAGAGCTAGAGCAGCAACGTTGGGAACAAGAGGCACTTGTAATGCCTGAAGTGCGTAGCTATGTATTCTCTTCAGTGTTGCACAGCGCTTACTGTCAACAAAGGCACTCAATCAAGCTCTCCTAATGTCATTTGCCTCAGTTAAGACTGAATTCAGTGACCTTGATGGACTCTCGTGGTCACGCTACCCTGTTCCTATAGTTCCTAACCCATGGGTACGCTGTCATCCTCCTCTCCTCCGCTCTGTCTTATATTACTCTTCCCTCAGGCGATAGACGAACCACCCCCCACTCCAACACCGGATTATCCCGAGCTCAGCGAATTCCATGATGAGCCAGAGTACTCTCAACGGTCACAAACACCCTCACCTTACACTATTTCATCTATCACTGGGCTAACCTCTTTCGCACCTGGGGAAACGATTCGAGCACCCCGAGCCCCAAATAAATCGTCTCGGTCTCCCTTGTTACGTACAAACCAGTTCACTCCGGATTCGAACATTTCAAGATGCTCTGATTACAGAAGACCGTCATCTTCACCGCCCATAATCTATCACATGTCACCAAATTCACCAAGTGATGCTCGCTATCCACTCCGCCAACTACCCTCATTCGACACACCTATACAACCCCGAATATCCATTCCTTCAAAACACCGCAAATCTAATTCACAACGACTTACATAACATCAACATTCATCATCACGTCCCCTCGTCTATAACGTTAACGGAAATGCTTTGTATCAATACTACTGTAGCTGTAAGTTTAGAGTTTCGATGGACTGCCTTGGATATTATAACATCGTTTTGCGGGATCATTGAATTGCTGAATGGAGAAGGGAATTCGAAGTTCTGATTGACGTTATATGTCTGAACAGGTTAATATATCATGCCTTGAGGCCTTTCGGATCACAATATCGATGACATGTCCTCTCGGCCCATCAGCGGTCTGGAGATTTGGTGTGTATGGTAGCGTCTACCTCGAAATACCGGACTACCTTGTAATACTATGTGGTTCAATTCGAATTTCGAAAACGCACCCCAGTCTTCCTTCGCCATACGTTCACCCACAGGCAGCATGCGGTCAGGATTTTCAGCCGTGCAAATACCCATCAGATATAAGTACGACGCATTCGGTATTCGGTATTCTGGCCATGGTACATTTCCAATCCTAACAAGATAATGTGATAGATGGTCGAGAACAAGAAGACCATTACATGTGACGCATCTCCACGTAGTGTATATCTGCAATATATGTGTCTCAGCCGACAATTTAAATAATCAAGGGACGATTGAGTGCAAACGTGTCCGCAAGCCACAGCACTTATACAATGATGCACGAATCACTGGCCTTGATGTCGACCTTGTCCATCAACAAGCGAGTCCTCATCCTCAGATCCTCAACTTCCTCTTGCAGAGCCCTCGATTTCTCCCTTTCCTCACTCCGGAGCTGAATAAGGACAGGCAAGATATCCCTAACGCTCTTCCAAGGATGAAAACGTCTTGATATCTCCATCCGCACGTCGTCATCGAGTAAACGACATGAACGGATGCCAAACGTCGTCCAGGTTACACCAACTTCGAGTTTGCAATTGGGTGGACACAGGTGGCTCAAAAACGCAGCGACGGCTTCCGGGTCGCGTGCTCGCGACGTTCCTACAGACAAGAAACAAAGGGCTGTAAAGGGCTTCAATTCTAGCGTGAGAGGGATCTTTACAGGGTTGGCGTCAATGAAAAGACCTAGCCGGCGCAGCTTTGGGCAGTGGCGGGCAAAGGGGACGAGAGCTCGCAAGTCAAGTGTAAATTCGTGCATGATAAGTGGTTCCTCATTCAGAGCTAGACTCTCGAGGGACGGCCACTGGCATGCAAGTTCCTCGATCTCCTCCAGAGTAATGTTTACCGGGTATTTGTGCATGACCTGGAATGTAACAAGATTCGGGAATGAAAGTAGTGGTGTAAGTGTGTTGAACGTGATTTGGTTTGCGGGGACTAGCTCCAATTCTCCAGTGATGTGGTGCGCTAGTAAGACGTACAATTGGGAGAGACAGCAGCATCGCTCTGAGAGCATAACGAACAACGTGTGTAGTTCCTCGGGTTTGTGTTCAACATAGGTGTTGATGTATAGGGATGTGAGATTGATGGGCGCAAAGTCCGCATTCATGAATCGCATGACATGTTCAATGCGAGCAGTGACGGCTAGGTCCCACAGCGCGGGAAATGCTCCTTGCTCAAGGACAGGCGAAAAAGTGTCCACATCCTTTTCTTCACCGAACCCTTGCTCGTGCCCATACTCGAATTGCACGATGTTGATGTGTTTCATCCGCGAAAGCTCGGACACGATGCTCGACGTGAGGAAAAATTCGGGGAAAATGACCTTCTTGAGATCCGGAAGACCTCGAAGAAGTTCTAGGATGGCTGTCTCGATGTATTGCACGCGATAGGGGACACGGAGATCAAGTGAGTGGAGGTGCGGCGCGCGGATGCAGACGTCGAGAAAAAATGAAACTTTATCTTTGTAGCGGAGAGGAGGCGCAGATATAATGAGGTGCCTCAGGCGCTGATGCATGAATAGTGTGGCTCGTTCCATGCAGTCGACATCTTCATATATCCATTCCAGAGTATGCAGGTTCGGGAGCATATCGAGCGTTGTCCTCGTCCTGGCCATATCATCGAGCAGACCTGTATAGTACACGTCACCATCCTGCTGGAATCGCAGAATGCGCACGCGGATTGGCATATTTCTGGAATCTTGCCCAGTCCCTTGAGTCTGGCAGTCCATCGAAGAACTAGAACATATTGAATCGGAGACAAAATTAACAGGAGAACAGTAAGGGAGACAGGATGACGCACACCGTACCGTCCCTTCATCTTGTATGGCCTCAAGAGAGCAAGAAGCCGGGAAAGATCATCTACCTCCCTCCAAATGATGTCCAGTGTAATCTCTGACCATTCCTTGCAAACGCACGCATTGTTCACATGGTCATCTTCGTCCACAAAGCTGAAGATGATGCCCAACAACTCCGGAATAAACAGTACCCTGTGAGGCTGAATGACAGACATGAAGGACACTACTGAGTCTGTAGTTTTTGTACCATTTGATCATGCAAGTGCTGGACTGGGAGATAAACTGAGACAAGCCTTGTCAGTCTCGGCAGGTCCCGCTGCGGCAGAATTGTCCGGGGTCCCTTGCTTCTGATTCCTGATTCAATTGTCGCTGATGCTAAACACAGACTTGCACAAACACAGATGACAGACGTTCCCGCTGCCTCTACTTTCTCGGCGTCAGGAGAGGATGCGATTACCCGCACCATAGAGTTGAATATAGACTCATCTGCGCAAAACATAGTTTCGTCCGACTTCCTCGAAATTTACGAGATCGAACGAACAGTAGCTGCGATCGTAGAAGGGAACTTCAAACGAGTGAGATCCATCCATCCTGCTTTGCCCAGGCTGATCATATCTCATACTAGCATAGATAGCTCTCCAATTTCCTGATGAACTTTTGTGCCATTCTGTCCCAATCTACCGTCTACTCAAAAGTAAAGCAGGCGAGGGTCATGACATCTATGTATTAGCCGACACTTCCTACGGAAGGTTAGTTACTACTCGGCGTAGAAGGCATCTTTTGACCAGCTTCGAACTTCAGCTGCTGTGTCGACGAGGTTGCGGCACAACACGTCGATGCAGATCTAATCGTGCATTACGGTCACGCTTGTTTAAGCCAGTGCGTGCCCGAGACCTACCCTTGATTCAATGCAATGTGACGTTCTCCTAGACCTTCTAGGCTGCCTGTAGTCTACGTCTTTGGAAAGAAGTCTATCGATGTTGATGACTGTATCAACCAACTCGGTCAATGTTTAACCACTCAACTACAGCAAGATACAGCCAGTAATAACAATAATCGACCCACCATTTTACTTCGCTACGATGTTGGATATTCCTGCCATGCAGGTGATTCAAGTTTCTTCTTGGGATGCTGTTGTGCAACGTAAACTTACCAGTAACGCAGACATAATTACCCACAGGCTGGAGAGTGAACTGCAATCCCTGAATACTAGGGTCTTGCACGACCCACCTCCAACTAGGCTTGATCCTAAAACCATCGTGCAAAGTCCCAAAACTTTCGAGCAGACCGGTGGAGAGTCAGATGAAGATAGCTTGACGAATGTCATCGTCGCATATATCGGTGGCGAAAGCCTCAACCTTACGAATCTATTGATGACGCACTCTCATTGCGAGGTGAATCACCATGATTGTCATCTAATATTGGCATCTTATGGATTTTTTAGGTGTATGCATACGACCCCTCTACGAGATCCGCTCACTTGCAATCGCATAGGACCAATAAAATGTTGATGCGGCGCTTCGCGATGGTCCAGAGGGCACGAGATGCAGATGTTTTCGGTATACTCGTTGGCACTTTAGGAGTTAGTCAGTGCTTTTATTCTCATCGTCTTTGTGATCACTAACACACATCACTAGCATCATATCTACCCCTCATAGCTCACGTCAGAAAGCTTCTAGCTCGTGCACAGAAGAAAAGCTATACAATAAGTGTCGGCAAGCTGAATCCTGCGAAGCTTGCGAATTTCATGGAGATCGAGTGTTTCATTTTAATCGCATGTCCTGAAAATAGTGTGATAGATGGCAAGGTTGGTCTGCCTCGTTGGAGTCAACGAATTGCTCACTTTCTGTGACGCACAGGAATTTTTAAGACCGATCGTTACCCCTTTTGAACTCGAGGTTGCACTTCAAGCTGAAGGCACTTGGAGTGGACGATACGTGTTAGATTTTGAGAAATTGCTCGCCGGAGACTCTGAAAATGACCTTGGTGCGCTTCTAACGGTGTTGCGGTTCGACTCTTTATACATGGCATCTAGGCGCCGCCACCGAAGACAATGGGGGCGATCCAGATCAACCGACTTTCTCCTTGGTCACTGGAAAATATCGACAAGCAAAACGCTACGGCAGTAAGCACAATCTCGACGTACTCAGCCTTATCTTACATCCCAAAGTTGAAGACAATGAGACGTCAACTGAGAGAACGTCAGCTGCTCTTACTCTTCGAAACCAAGATGGTGCTCTCTCGAAATTAGCTGACAGCGCGGCAGGTGAGTGATCTGTTGCCCTATAATGTTCTTTGTATGATATGTAGCCCAGCAATGTTTCTGCACTCTCGTTCCTATCAAGGGCTGGAGACTAAAATTGGGGAAGATTCTCCTTCTGTCCTGGAGCAAGGTCGCAGTGGTATCGCTCGTGGTTATTCTGATGATCATTCATAAATATATCACGCATTTTAATATCGAGGAATGCTGTGGTACCCCTCGAACTGTTTCAGGAAGTGACAATGTACAGCACCTTATCATCGGACAGAATTTCGAGATCAAGCACACTGGTCGTATCATATCAAGTTATCTGATGAGAGATTCAAGAACCCAGCTGCTGCTTAATTGAACAGTAGGACAAGCAGGTTCATCGTCAGAGCTCTGGTTGAGCGCGATCGACTTACAGTTGATTCTTCAACACTCTATGCCGAACATCTCCAACCCGAGCACAGTGATTGGGATCCAACTGTTACCATAATATTATATTCCAATCCAGCGGGCGGCCGATATAATCATGCTGTTGAGCGTTTACAGCAATGCATATCAACCGCTCGCTGGGATCTTGATATCATGACTGGAGAATAAGTTCGTGAGCCTGGGTGGCTCAAAAAAAGCATCGTGATGGCTGCTCATGCTTAGAAAACATCTCACCTTGCAACTCATATGGTTACAGCTTCAACCGCACACTGGGGCTAGGGTTTTATTCTGCATCATCGTCAGTATATTCCACCTAACCATCACACTTCTATGACATGCTAAACGAATCTCTTCTCTCCATCGCGATCGTGTGCTCGATACATTTGCCGAACATCTTGAGTAGGGTGTCTTGTCAAGTGTTCGCCGACCTCTATGGAATGAACTCTTAATAATAACGACGCCGGCGTCAGCCAAGGCTTGACTCGCTTATTCTTGGCACGCTTTGTGTCCATCGCATTAAACGCAAACTAGTATTTTTATTTCATTTTACGCTGGCAAGTCCTATGTGATTCTGCTGTCAATGCATGATGTTCTTTGACTCACAGACGTTCATATTGGCCAGTCTTAGCCAAGTGGTAAGTGTGACAGGACAGAAATCTGTTGCAGGTTCGAAAGCGAACCTGCTCAGCAATGTTTTTCCTTCGCCTTTAACACATTCATTCATGGATGGATTCTTCGGTGGTCATAGCCAACTGACACCAGAACAGGTTGGATCTCTACTCTCTTGGGACCCTGGGATTCGAAACCTGCCGACAAATGATTTTCTCTCTGCTCATGGATGCTTTTCATCAGAACAGTTCTGGTCAAAGTGGCTACCACAACAGAATCGAAATCTGTTTCTTGGACTGCGCAGGTTCGAAACCTGTCAATGGCAAGATTTTTTTCTATTGGAACACCCCTTGACATTCGCTCATGGATGGTTTCGTCGCAGGTTCATCTTGACTAGTCTTTCTAGACAAGTGCTTACTACAACAGAATCAAAATCTCTTTCTCTTAGACTGCGCAGGAAACTTGCTGACGACAGGTTTTTTTTCTATCTCAGAACACCACTTGAAGATCCGCTCATGGAGGGTTTCCTTGGAGGTTCGCCTTGACTGGTCTTAGGCAAGTTGTCACCCCAACAGAATCGGAATATGTTGCTGATGTCCTGCACAGGTTCGAAACCTGCTGATGACAAGGCATTTTTCAATTGGAACGCACCTTGACATTTACCCATGAATCGTTTCGTTTAAGGTGCATCTTGACTGGTCTTAGGCCAGTGGTTACCACGACAGAATCGAAATCTGTTTCTCTCGGACTGCGCAGGTTAGAAACCTGCCGACAGCAAGGTTTTTTATCAGAACACGCCTCGAAGATTCGCTCATGGATGGTTTCCCCATACGTTCATCTCAACTCCGTCCTCGCCAAAGTGGTGGCTGCAACAGAATCTAAATCTGTCTCCTGGCCCACTGTGCCGGTGTAGGTTAGAAACCTGCCGACGACAAGGTTTTTTTCCCTTTCGGAACACGCCTTGAAGATTCACTCATGCACAGTTCCTCGGAGGGGAATACTAACTGGCCTTAGCCAAGTGGTTACCACAACAGAATCAAAATCTGTTTCTCTTGGACTGCGCAGGTTTGAAACGTGCCGACAAAGGGTTTTTTTCTATCAGAACACGCCTTGATGTTTCGCTCATGGATGGTTTCCTTGCAGGTTCCTCTCAGCTGGTCTTGGGCAAGTGGTCACCGCAACCGGATTGAAATCGGTTTCTCTTGTCCTGCACAGGTTCGAAACCTGCTGATGACAAGGTTTTTTGCTGTTGGTCCTCGGAACACACCCTGATATTCACTTATGGATGGTTTCGTCGAAGGCGCATCTTAACTGGTCTTAGACAAGTGGTTACCACCACAGAATTGAAATCTGTTTCTCTTGGACTGCGCAGGTTTGAAACTTGCCCAACGACAGCTTTTTTTCTATCAGGACACTCCTTGAAAATTCGTTCACGAATGGTTTCCACGGAGGTCCATCACAACTTCGTCCCGATCAAAGTGGTTACCACAATAGAATCAAAATCTGTCTCTTGGAATGTGCCAGTGCAGGTTCGAAACCTGCCAATGACGACAAGTTTTTTCTTCTACCGGAACACGCCTTGAAGATTCACTCATGAATGACTTCCTCGGAGGTCCATCTTAACTGGTCTTAGCCAGGTGGTTACCACAACAGAATCAAAATCTGTCGAACCTGCTGACGACAAGGTTCTTTTTTCCCTTTCGGAACACGCCTTGAAGATTCACTCGTGGATGGTTTCTCGGACGTGCATCTTCAGTGGTTTTAGCCAAGTGGTTACCAGAGTCAAAATCTGTTTCCCATGGACCGCGCAGGGTTGAAACCTGCCGATGAGAAGACTTTTTCTTTCGGAACACACTTTGAATTCACTCATGGATGGTTTCCTCGGATGTTCGTCTTAACTGGTCTTAGCCAAGTGATTATCGCAACGGAATCAAAATCTGTCTCTCTTGGCCTGTGTAGGTTCGAAACCTGCCGAACGACTTGTGTATTTTCTATCAGAACACACCATGACATTCACTCATGGATGGTTTCCTTGGAGGTCCATCTAACTGGCCTTAGCCAAGTGGTCACAACAGAGTGAAAATCTGTTTCTCTTGGAGTTGGTTCGAAACCTGCTGACAACATTTTTGTGGTGTGGGGATCCTGAGGCACGCTCAGACTCCTCGGACTTCGTATCAGGGACTACTTCTTTCATTTTCACCGCTTTGGAATCTCCAACCGCTGGCTCACCGCGTAACAAAAGAACTCAGTTCCTTTGCCCCCTTCTCGGAGGGACACGTTATGACCTGTCACCGTCAAAGACTTTCTGCTTGTCAGGTGTGCCGATTCCAGAAATTTTGGATCGCGGTAGATTTGCGCCCAAATACCCAAGCGCATCTTAAAGGCTTGGACATCGTGACATTACTCGATGACTTTTCGAGGCAATTGTCCCCTGCTACAAACCGTATAAAGCTCGACGCTCACATTCACCAAACATAAAACCAGCCCTCAATCGCATTTGCTCCAAGTCACAGACTCTCAGCTCATCTCATCACGTCTAGCATTCTGATATCTCAGTTTCGGGCACTTACAAAATATGAGATATTAATTTCAAGACTAATGAGGTATTTGACTTGCAAGGAGGTGTCAAAGACGGCACCCCTATCATCGGTCGAGGCAACGCGATATTCAAGAGCGGCGAGAGATAAAGGCTCGCTGGTATTGTTGATTCCGTGACTCGCAAGGCGCAGGCTCGCAATCAGCACGGTGTGCATTGCAAGTGGCGAGCGATGAGCCGCCACGTTTGTGCAAGCCGCGGGTGACCTTCCGACCAACGTAAGTAACGCAGGTTCGCGTCGAAGAATTGTTTTAATTCGGCGCATCTTCGAATATGCCAGGGCGAAGGTCGTCGGCAGCTCCGTCATTGCATATTGGCTACTTTCTCCGACTACCATCCTCGAACAATACGACTGGACAGAAACATGCACCACATTGTTGTACATCACTGGTGTGAGGGCAGGATCCAAACCATCGATGAGACGTTTGCCTGTTCCCTTTCCGAGGGCCTTGATTTCAGTCAAGCACGCGCTCGTCACGTGGGGGAGGATACCAGCTCACCCTTCGCATTTACAGGTCAAGCTTCAGGTCACCGATAAGGCGGACGCTAAGCAAGCCTGAACATTTATCCCTGTCTAAGCGTAGCTATGAGACAATGGTTCGCGTTGGCGATCGAATGGCGTATTCAGTGAAGCTCCGTGATTTGTCGAGGCATGTCTCGAGGAAGCGTAGTGTCTCAGGTGAGTTCCTGATAATATATGAATTCGAGTGTCTCATATACCCACGAATTACTTGTAGTGCCTGCTATGTACAAGCTCATCGCCGGGATATTTTGTTAAATCGCGCCAAACTTTCAAATCAGTAGAAGAAACGAGTGGAGTGAGCGTGGTATTTGAAATGTTGTGCGTTAGAAGATATGGAGAAAGATGTGTTAAGCATTAAAAACGATAACTTGAGCAGTCTAAGTAGTCCTTCGATGTCCAAGGTGAACTCCCGGACCCCGCCGATCCCTTTCTCCCGCGTGTCCGATTTCTGTAAAAAAAAATTGGACAGCGGCAAATGGGGGGAGAGGAGGTAGAAGTAAACATCCACTTTCACATCGCCATCGACCTTGCGATCTGTGCCAATTGCTCCGCCATGGCTGGGTAATTGCGTGTGAACTCCAATTGTGCCATGCTTGCCTGTGAACCGCCTCGTTAGATCAGAATCAGCCAATGCTGCATCGACTCACATATTGGTACGTAAGGGCATTGATCAGCTCGGGTTCACTGCGCGCCAGTTCCGCTTGCCTCTTGAACATCTCAACAGCGCGGTCAATCTTGCCCTGCTGCAATGACAGTTGGGCAAGCGTAGCGACTGCAGGCTCGCACTCAGAATCAATTTGCAAGGCTTCATCGCAGCACCGTTCTGCAGCAGTGATGTCTTGTTTCCATTGGTAGATGGCGAGGCCCTTGTTGACGAGAGGGAGAACGTTCATCGGGGGAGGTCTGGTTGAGTGGAAGTGAGTCAATGTATTGAAGAGAAAGAGAAAAAATCATACTTAGCACGCTCGAGCTCCACAGCGCGATCAAACTTATCAACGGCATCCATGAAACGTTGTTGATCCAACAACAGCTCGCCACTGCCGAGTCATTAGATTAAAGCTATCATCGAGTGCAGCTGCTCACTAGTAGTTCTGAGGCTCGCTTCGTTGAGGGAAATTGGTCATCGTCCGTCGGAAAGTCGCCATGCTCCGTGCAAGTTCACCCATCTTGTATAGGGCGACGGCAAGCTGGATATGCGAGAATACAAATGTGTCATCGAGTTCGCTGGACTTGGTGTAGTTGTCTGCGGCCTCCTTGAATTCATTGGTGATGAAGAGAACTGCAAATCCATGAGTGACGGTTGGCCATGCAGGAAACAAATTGCTCACCTTGTCCACGGTGGTAATAGATGTCGGGGTCCTGGGGGTTGTGCTTGATCGCTTCCTCAAAGCACTCAAAGGCCTTCGTACCCTCGCCTTGCTCCATGTGGACGCTCGCGATCTTCACCCAGCTTTGTGTCAAGGAGGGAAAAATCTTGACGGATTCATACAGATCATCCTTAGCGCCGGACACGTCACCCATAAGGAACCTATACAAAACTTAGTCGGCGCATTTTTCAGGGGAGTAAGGAATGGCTAACTTGAAAGTACCGCGAAGGTTGAGAGCTTCGGCTTTGCCTATCTCCCATGAAATACCCTGTTCCATTGCATCGTTCACGAGCGATACCGCGTGTGCATAGTCGGCAGCTTCTAAAGCTTGTAATGCGAGTATAAGAGTGCTGTCACCAGTTGATGGGTTCTCCGGGAGTGCGGGCAGGGGTCCTGTGCAAGATTACCTTTCAGAGACGAAAATGATGGAAGCGAATGCACATACGGACACGGAATGCCGCAAAGTAAGCTGAAACAAACGTGAATGAGGGAAGTCGAGGTTCGCGTGTCTAAGGCCAATGAGTAACGTGTGAGTGGCTTCCCCAATTGTCATACTCACCGTAAGGATGACGGTAGCTTTCGCTGTCGCAATGTTCTTCAGGACGCGTTCCACAGCCTGTGCAGCCGACTCGTTTTGGAATTTATCCAAGATAGTGGCAGCAGTGAAATCCCGTAGAGCCTCCTCATATCTGGACAAGGCTTCCAGTGCATTGGCACGCCTGTTCAGCGCTTTTACATAGCTGGCGTCAGCACGTAGCGCTTCATCACAGTCCTGGACCGCCAACTCATACTTAGGGGGTGTCATGTTCATGTAACCTGATAAACGAGTGAGACAAGCATCACGATGATGTTGATGGGAGGGACGCACATGCCGCACGGTTGCTGTAGTACACGGGCTCTGATTTTGTTGCCACCTGGATTGCACGCGTATACATGTCTACTGCCTGCTGGAACTTTCGGTTCTGGTAGAGCGTGTTACCCCGGGTCTTGAGTGTGCCTGCCAATTTTGTGCGCTCCTGTGGTACTCTTATGTTGAAGTGAACGAATAACCCCGTCTCGAAAGTACTGACCTCCACTGACATTCCGGCGATCTCTTCCACTGATAGCACATCCTCTATTTGGTGGTGAGCAGAAGCTTCCAAATTGCAGTGATACTGACCCTCGTCGGCAACTTTGGGCTTTATCTCTTCAAGTAGGGGCCCGTCTGCATCATTGACAAGTCTTCCTCTTTTTCGAAGACTTCTTTTTATCTCTCGTCTTGCCCTTCTCCGAGTCACCGCCTGGACCGCGCGAGGTGGAAGCATAATAAACAACACCTCCAACAGCGAGCGCGGTAGCAGCTGCTCCTATAACGACTGCCTTTTTATTTTCGGCTACGAAGTCTTGTATTCTCTCGAAGTAGGAGGTTGACGAGGTAGTGGCCATGGTGGAGGAATAAACAGACGGCGGTGACGCGCAAGAGAACGTACGTTCGGCTTGAATAGCTACCACCAAAATTTCCAAAATATCGTGCGAACTTTTACGTCATATGTATTGCGGTTTGGGGACCTCTGGCCCCGGGCAACCCCCATCTACCATAATCATCGATCACCGACCGAAAGCTTAAAGAAAATATGAAGGGGACAGTTGGGACTCTTGCATATACAGTCATAGTGGAATTTGCATGAATGGATGTCAGTTACACTTTATGAACGTTGCACTTCGCTTTTACAGCTTCAAATCTCATACAGATCCCAGTCTAATCAGGTGTGTTGTAATTGCAACTCAATATTGGTCTTCCTACTATTTGGTCTACCTATGGGAGACCAACAACTCACAAAACAAAGTTTGTCCAGCGTCTGGTTCTCGGGATCGGCCCTCCGACCTCTATCTTAAGCGTCTCCTGCTTATAATTAGCAGGGAGTAATCTGATTATCGTCCGGTCCATGCGTGCCATTTCTCACCGAATCTAACATGTGACTCCCAGCCTTGAGCTCAAATCTCACCTTAGGCATTCTTCGACATTGTTTAACTGTCGTCGGTCATTGGTTCCTAGACTCTACTTTATTTGCTCCAATTGTCGTTGTAGGTCATGTCTTCGTCACTAGCAGTGCCCCCCTTGGCTGTGGGAGCTTCTCAAGCCGAAGATAAACCACCCAAACCTCCAGCTCCAGTCGTGAATTTCCCCAATTCCCCAATTCCGAAGAATTCACTTGGAGAGGGACGGTTCATCAAGACTGCTGCTGCTCTCATCATTGGGTATGTCCCATCTTCTGTGGAAAGCACAACTAAAATTATGGCGATACTGTAGAGATGAGATCTTGAATGGGAACACGTTGGACCGTAACTCGAACTACTTTGCGCGCTTCTGTTTTGAGAATGGTATTGAGCTGTGAGGTTTTCTTCAGCAATTCTTTCTTTCCCCGCTTATTCTCTGTGCGACAATGCAGCCAGAGAATCGAGGTAATTGCAGACGACGAGCTCGAGATGTAAGTAAGTTCGTCCTTGTTGTCATCAGAAGAGATAACATGGATTTCTAGTCTTGAAGCTAGCCGAAGGATGGTCCAGAAATATGATTTCGTCATCACCTCTGGTGGCATAGGGCCTACTCACGATGGTAAGTGCATCAACCCCTGTTGTGACAGTCGAAGGTCTGAATGCCTCTCATTTCGAGATATCACATACGCCTCGCTCGCAAAGTCTTTCGGACAAGAGCTCAAATACCATGGTGAAACCATCGCGCGTATGGAAGAAGCCAGCCGACACCGCACATGGATCACGCAGCAGAGCGAGGAGCAACGCACCGCTCGTAAACGTATGGCATTGTTTCCGGAAGCTGGCGAGGTTCTTTTTGTCGCTAGCGACATCTGGGTTGTGCGCATTCTCTCCTCTTCGCGTGGCATTGTGCATTAAGATACATTTCCAGCCTGTTGTTCGACTGGAAGGCAAGCTATGTATATTTCCAGGAATCCCATCACTCTTCCAGAAGCTGTTAGACAACTTGAAGCCTTTCTTACCTCTACCCACGGAAGATGCGCGTCCCTTCCGGCTTCAAGTCTTTACTCCGTAAGCCATTGACATTATTTCTGCACCGCTAGCGGATCAAGCTCCTGATGATGCTTGAAGACTTCCGGAATCGTCCATTGCGCCATTCCTTACAGCTCTACAGAAGCGTGTTAAGCCTGAGAATATCCGGATAGGCTCTTACCCGCTCCTTCAGCCAGGGGCACACATTGCACTAATTGGATTAGACCGTGAACGTGTCAAAGAACTCGGGTTGGAGGTGGAGAAAGAGTTGCAAGGACGTATACTGAGTGCAGAGGAGACCGAGGCCATGATCAAGGCAAAGAGGCAGTGATGTAAGTAGTATTGTATGACATTGTGTGTTCAGGAATATACGATCACCTTAGTGATGTGAAAGGCTCAAAAACTGGCAGGTTCGGAACCCTTTGGCCGACGCTGCTGCTCCAGTTTAACGTCTCCCGCAAGAACGTCCCTGAGCAGCACCAAGGTTGCCTTCGTAAAAGCCATCATGTTCTTCTCTCTCTCTGCGACACCTGTGTTCACGACACGAGTCGCAAAACTTTCACGAGACACGACGGCAATATATGTTTGACCTGCTCTGTGAGTCATAGGAGTTAACGTCAAGTCATTAGCGAGTGTTAGTGCGGCTCACACATGGACAATTGGCGGTCCCAAGACGGTAGGACCTGCAGCACCCCACTCCCCGATACAGTATGTGACATCCATCTGCTCCCTGACATTCGCTGCGAGCTCCGTGACGAGTTCCGTTGTGGGTCCACTGGGCAGGACTATCAGGAGCCCATGACAATGATAAGCTACCGCGATAAACACACCTGTAGTTCACCACGTTCTCGTCAGTCCAGCCCGCCCAAGCCTTCCGTGGCTTCGTGGTGTACACTGTCGCTCCTCCCACGAAGAATTTACTTGCTCCAGACACGGAGAGCAGGGAAGCTGACACGAGACCACCTGTTGTAGTTTCTGCCACTGCGAGCGTCGATGAAGTTGACCTCAAAAGTCCGGAAATTTCATTTAAAAGAGGCTTGAAAGAGGCTGGAGGGAAAGAATGATCCTCCGCGGGTTCCATCGCTGTGATGGGTAGAGATTCTCAGCTGACCCCTCGATCATCACATCTTCTTGCAGCTTATGTATTCAGTGTTGACGGTGTGAAGCAGACACTATACATAGCATAGATAATAATGCATACACATATCACCCGTCCCAATCCCACAGCGAGATCACAGACGGTATAGATAACCACTGCAAAATGCACTCCAGAGATACTAAGATTCAAATTTAACGCTAGCAATGCCCCGACATCCGTTTCTGCACAGAACTACTGCCACTTTCAATTCTTCCACCTTTAGGTTTCAAGTCATCCTCGGTCGCATTGGAAGAGTCAACGACAGAAGAAGTGTCCGTCGATGAGGCCTCAGCGAGGCTGGGGAGGTTACACCATTTTCCTGACTGCCAGACTCACTATCCTTAGCTCGCGTGCATTGTTCTGGCCTCCGGCCCTATCGATGTCATTTTCATTTGGTGGTGAATCCCGACAGTTTTGGTCAGTCTGTCGAGGATCCATGTTGGCACATACACACTTCGGGGATATATCTTTTGTTTCTGAGACGACCCTCTGCGAGGCGTGAGCGTGAATTCCTTTTCATGGACAGACTATCGGAGGTTCGGCGCAATGACTGGGCCTACTCAGTTGAGATGATCCTCCGAGGATCTATGCACCACAAAAAGGCTGTCAGCTGGTTTCGAACCAACTCCGAGAGAGACAGATTTTGAGTCTGTTGTAGTAACAACTAGGCTAAGACCAGTGAGATGGATCTCCGACGACATCATCTATGAGTGAATGTCAAGGTGTGTTTTGATTGAAAAAACAACTTGTCGTTCGGCAGATTTCGAACCTGCGCAATCCAAGAGAAACGGATTTTGATTCCGTTGTAATAGCCGCTTGGCTAAGAGCAGTTAAGGTGAGCATCCGAGGAAATCATCCATCAGTGAATAGGTGTGTTCCGATAGAAAAAATTCTTTTCATCGGCAGGTTTCGACCCTGCGCAGTGCAAGGGTAACAGATTTCGACTCTGATAACCACTTTGATAAGACCACTGAAGATGGACCTGCTCCAAGAGTGAATCTTCAAGGCGTGTTCCGGAAAAAAACTTTGTCGACCGCAGGTTTAACAGATTTTGATTCTGTTGTGGTAATAACCTGGCTAAGACCAGTTAGGATGGACCTCCGAGGAAGTCATTCATGAGTGAATCTTCAAGGCATGTTCCTGTAGAAAAAAAATTGTCGTCGTTAGCAGGTTGGCAGGTTTCGAACCTGCGCTGGCACAGTCCAGGAGACAGATTTAGATTCTGTTGTGGTAACCACTTTGGTCGGGACGAAGTTGTGATGGACCTCCGCGGAAACCATTCGTGAGCGAATTTTCAAGGAGTGTCCTGATAGAAAAAAGCTGTCGTTGGGCAAGTTTCAAACCTGCGCAGTCCAAGAGAAACAGATTTCAATTCTGTGATGGGAACCACTTGTCTAAGACCAGTTAAGATGCGCCTTCGACGAAACCATCCATAAGTGAATGTCAGGGTGTGTTCCGAGGACCAACAGCAAAAAACCTTGTCATCAGCAGGTTTCGAACCTGTGCAGGACAAGAGAAACCGATTTCAATTCGGTTGCGGTGACCACTTGCCCAAGACCATCTGAGAGGAACCTGCAAGGAAACCATCCATGAGCGAAACATCAAGGCGTGTTCTGATAGAAAAAAACCCTTTGTCGGCACGTTTCAAACCTGCGCAGTCCAAGAGAAACAGATTTTAATTCCGTTGTGGTAACCACTTGGCTAAGGCCAGTTAGTATCCCCTCCGAGGAACTGTGCATGAGTGAATCTTCAAGGCGTGTCCCGAAAGGGAAAAAAACCTTGTCGTCAGCAGGTTTCGAACCTACACCGGCACAGTCCAGGAGACAGATTTAGATTCTGTTGCAGCCACCACTTTCGCGAGGACAGAGTTGAGATGGAAAAAAGCTGTCGTTGGGCAAGTTTCTAACCTGCGCAGTCCGAGAGAAACAAATTTCAATTCTGTTGTGGTAACCACCTTAAACGAAACCATGCATGGGTAAATGTCAAGGTGCGTTCCAATAGCAAAAAACCTTGTCGTTAACAGGTTTCGAACCTATGCAGGCCAAGGTCAACAGATTTCAATTCTGTTGCGGTGACCAATTGCCTAAGGCCAGTTGAGACTGCTGCGCAGGGAAACCATCCATGAGCGAGACACCAAGGCGTGTTCTGATAGAAAAAAAACTTCTTATCGGCACGTTTCAAACCTGCGCAGTCCAAGAGAAACAGATTTTAATTCCATTGTGGTCTAAGGCCAGTTAAGATGCACGGCTGACGAAACCGTCCATGAGTGAATGTCAAGGTGTGTTCTGATAGAAAAAATTACGTCGTCAGAAGGTTTCGAACCTGCACAGTTCAAGCGAAACAGATTTTGATTCCGTTGTGGTGACTACTTACTTGTCTAGGACCAGTTGAGATGAACGTCCGACGAAACCATCCATGAGTGGACATCAAGGTGTGTTCCTAGAGAGGAAAAGCCTTGTTGTCGGCAGGTTTCGAACTGGCGCAGCCCAAGAGAAACAGATTTTAATTCTGCTGTGGTGACCACTTGCCTAAGACCAGTTGAAATGAACCTCCAAGGAAACCGTCCATGAGCAAATATTCATTCTGATGATGATGGCCGGGAGGCCATCCCCTTCAAGACTGCTCGACACTTTTCCACATATATTTCAATCACAATGTGCACGCAAATTAAAATTCAGAACCTGAAATGGTAGAAACAAATCAGATGCCGAGCGTTGAACTCAGTGTGTATGTAGTCACTTACATGAGGTAACAGCAAGGGAAGGATCTACGACGGCTAGTACCAATCTATAGGGTAGCATTCAAGTTGGGTCCATGACCGTCACGAAAGATCGAGGCTGATGAGCTCTGCGCACGATCACTCATTTGACTTCGGAGTTTGAGGTGATAACGGAACACAAGAGTCGGCTACTAGATCGTTTGATGAGGTTTGGAGTGTATGATGTATCATATTTCGGAGGTAGATCACATCACGTGTCAACAACATATGAGGCCTAGGAAGGTGTGCATGCAATATGTATGCGATGGTAAACAGCTGCAATAGAAGTAGACAAGACAATGGGTGGCGGTGGAATGTGAAATGGAGAAACCTTATACTATGGCGTGAAATGCTCAAAACCTGGCAGCCTCCGAACCCTCCGAGTCAGGCCGGCGCTGCTGCTCCAGTTTAACGTCTCCTGCGAGAACGTCCCTGAGCAACTCCAAAGTTGCCTTCGTAAAAGCCACCATGTTCTTCTCCCTATCTGCGATACCTGTGTTCACGACACGAGTCGCGAAACCTTCACGAGACACGACGGCGATACATGTCTGCCCTGCTCTGCAAGTCGCAAGAGTTAATGTCGAGTCATCAGCGAAATGAATGGTAAAGCCCACATATGAACAAATGGCGGTCCCGGGACGGTAGGACCTGTAGCACCCGACTCCCCAACGCAGTATGTGACATCCATCTGCTCCCTAACGTTCGCTGCGAGCTCTGTGACGAGTTCCGGTGTGGGTCCACTAGGCAGGACAGACTATTAGCAGCCGATGACAGTAACAAGCCACCATGATAAACATACTTGTAGTTCACCAAGTTCTCATCGGTCCAACCCGCCCAAGCCCTCCGTGACTTTGTGGTGTACACTGTCGCTCCTCCCACAAAGAACTTACTTGCTCCAGACACAGAGAGCAGGGAAGCTGACACGAGACCACCTGCTGTAGTTTCTGCTACTGCAAGCGTCGACGAGGTCGACCTTAGAAGCCCAGAAATCTCAGTCAAAAGAGGCTTGAAAGAGGCTGGAGGGAAAGAATAATCCTCTGTGGGTTCCATTAGAAATGGGAAGCTGTCGCTTGTGCGCGCATGATTATCATCCCCATTCGGAGTCGCAGTTGTGTTTTACATAATCGTTGACTAGAGCCAATTTACAGCTTCCCCTAAGCGCTCGATTCAAACGCTCAAAGTTGATCCAGACTTCTGCTCATGGATAGCAATGGCGCAAGTGCCAGCAGAGGCTCCACCTATCGATCGTAATACCAACACGTGGCATTAGTTAACCTTTGTAAGTAGTGAATTTCTGAAATGATAAATGAGTCTTGAGGTACATCATATGTGATAGTGTTTGAGTAGGTGTGTATGCGTTATCCATCTACAGTAAACAGCTGCGATAGAGAGCGGGTAGCAATAGGATATAGATGCATGATGTGATTGAAATGTGTGATGATTTATGAAGTCTTGAGGGAATAGAAATAAAACAGCCAAAAGCCCAAATAACAAAAGATCCACACGAGAAAAGAGGTGTGAAAATGCGGAGATGAGAGGAGGCAAGTTACCGCTCGCCCCTTTGCTCACCGACGACAACTTCTACCCATCTAAGCAGGGTATCCTGGAGCATGGTATCCCACCCCTCGTCCTTGCGCGCAACGAGGCGGGGATCGAAGATGATCGGGGGCTCTGTGGAGGGGAACCGTATCTTTGAGGGAGAGTTTGCTGGCGTACTATGTGAAGGCTTGAGTTGGTTATCTGTCCGGCCGGGTGCGGAGGGTACGATCATTGGCAAGAGGTATCGAATTTTTAGTGCGCTAGATAGATGGCGGGCTGACGTTAAGAGACGCAACCTGGAGAAGAGAACAACGTACGCAGCCCACAATCGAAGGTTATCTGTTCGTCTGAACGTCCAGCCAGTCCTACTCCTTTCTTTCTCGTCTTCCGCAGCTTCCAGTGCCACGATATCATGGATGGAATCGGGCGAAATAAAACCCCAGGGTTTACGTGACCACCGGACGCCGGTGTTGTATGCTATGCACAGAAACTGGCCGGACGACAGTGCGAGAAGGAATGCGTTTCTATCTGTCACGGGCGGTAGCAACGAACAAAGGTGTTCCGGAAGCAGAGCGTGGATGAGGGCATGCGCCCGGCCTGCCGGAACTCGATTAGGTTTGGGAGAATCAAGTAGTTGAAAGGACCAACCTAATGGGTGTTCGGCAAAGGATCCACGCATCGCCCACATGGGTAAGTCCTCTTCATCTACACTTCCCTCCTCAGAAAGGGCTGCCATGTCCTCGTTCTCTTCCATCATTGTAAGTTTTTGCATCGAATCTAGCAAACCGGACGATACCGCCCGCCTAGACGATGGAGGCGAGGACGGAGACCGAAAAGGATCTGCATCGCCGGCGCTAACACGCCTGTTCTTCAACCGGCCCTCTCTCTCTTTCTTTGCAAACCTCTCGTGTTCTCGCTCCCAGCCTCTTTTACCCTCCTTGACCTCTCCGAACAGAACATCATCTACCACATCTACATACCGCCTCACAACTTGCTCCTCTTTCGCTAGGTCGGCCAGCGTCATGTCCTGTTTGTATAGCCAGCCCCCGCCCAGCACTAAACGGTCGTCCCAGTGATCTCTCTTTTCTCCTTCCTCTTCGCTCATGATCGAGTCATAGTAGTCATCCTCCCACACCGGCACGGATTCGTGTCGACCTTGTACGTGCACGAAAGAAATCGACATGTCTGGATCTATAGAAAGGTCGTGATCATGATCATGAGACGTGTCTGAAATCGCAGCGGGTGATGCCACACGCGATGGTGATGCACTCGTGTGATCAGGAACGGAACCGTGATCACTTTGCACGTCATAAGCCTCGTCAGATAGAGGTACGCGTGCGCGCTCTTCGAGTTCGCGGAGAACAGCCAAAACTTCCAACGCAGACTTGCGGACAAGTGACAGGGGATCTGCCTGGGCTTTCTGGTGCGGCGTGTTTCTTTTTGGGTGGGGTGGACTTGCCGCGACCTTGTTGCGGTACTGGCTACGGAGAGTTCCAGCGGAATCATCTGGTAATGCAATCACGTAGTTGCGCACTGAACGAATGGCGCGCGTCGTGATCTTGAGCAAGTTCAGAATATCCAGACGATCTCGGGGAGTGTCGGACGCGTGTGGACTAAGGAGATCAAGATCGCGTCTCGGACTGTCATTTTTACTACTTGACAAGCCCCACGCATCTGCAACAGCCATGAGGTCTTCTATGACGCCTGGAAGGAACGCTTCAGGGTCCGTTTCATATGTCTTCACAAACGGAGGGAAAGTTGGCTGGTGGATCTGCGGAATAATTGGTGATGGGGGCAACTCGAACTCCGATAGACTGCCCAATGACACTTTAGCAGATTTGGCTGCAGAAATTCCACCGAGAGCTGGGACGAGTTGATTGCTGAACTTTTTCGATGGGCTTGACACAGTATGAGCAGAAAGCCGACGAGAGAAAGAAACACGTACTTGGGCTTGGCAACGATGCCTGTCTTCGTAAAATAGTGCTGAAGATGCTCAATGCTTCCGAGTGTCATGACGCTCTGACGTTTTGCTGCGCTCCTGCTGAATGGCTTGACTGGTTTGTTGGCAGAATTCATATTAGGGTAAAAAGCGGTCGAACGACGCGCTTTCAAGTGCTTGACTGCTGCTTCTGCATGAATTTGAGAGTCTGTAGAAGCTGAGCCAGTGTAATCCGGTGTCAGGGCTGGTGGTGTCAATGATGGAGAAGGAGAAGCCATGTCTACAAGAAACAAGACAACGAACGACTGACCGTCCAGAATCCAATGCAAAGGCAGAGCTTCTAGCGACGCCCATGCCGCTATAAAAGGAAGGTGATTAAGAATGAATCAGGGGGGTTGACTTCTTGGGGGGTCGAATCGTGAATATCATAACTTAGGGTTGCTCCTACAATGATGAGCATATGTACATGGCCCATGCAAAAGACAAGTACTACTGGGCTCAACTAAGGGCTGCTCTCACTGCAGGTCAATGGTCGTCTCCTTCACCCGGAACAGCTCAAAATAGCTCCCCGTTATCTTGGTTTCATATCCTACGCAAGTTCAACAAGCACTGTAAAGGTTTCCAAGACGTCGCAGAGGTCGCATCACAAACTCAAGCTCTATTTTTGCTGCTCGGAGCAGACACAGAGGACGTGGATCAGCTAGGTTTAGAAAATGATGACGAGCTCGTTCTTGGCGACGAGTGTCTCTTACCACTGGAGCGAATAGAGGAGGCTAGAGGCGGGTATGAGATATTGAGGAGTCTGGACAGCAAGAATTTCGATGTAATTCACCCTCCATCCGTATTTCGTGCAATACTGAAGATGGTCATATAGTCTCTACAGCATGCGCTTGCGCTCTACGCGTATGCCTTCGGCCAGTTCTCGGAATGCCTTTCTTACTTGTTAAAAGTACCGAAGCTGCTCGAGGCGCAGAGTCATATACCTCCATCTTTTACCACTCGTTCAGATAATTCCGCACTTCAAGTACCTGGATCAATTACTGAAACCTCATCCTCATGGACTGGCAGTTTTGTTTCCGCTGACTTTCCTGGTTCGACAGCTGACATCAAGGATGGGAGAGCTTGGGCAATCATCGAATCCATAAGAAGCACATGCTTACAAGGTATGTCGTTCCATTATTTACTTTACCGCATTGACCCACTCCAATAGGCATGTGTTGCGAAAAATTGTCACAACCCAAGAAAGCAATCCAAGCCTACTCGAACGCCCTTCCACTTCTGAGTAGCATCGAGTCCGAGATACCACGGACACTCGTTGCCACACACTCATCTTCCGCCTCATTTGACAACTACCGCGAGCTATGGCGTTGGACAGAACGTCTCATGTTCAGGACCATCTCACTCCTTTCACGGCTTTGCCGTCTGGACGAGAACGATGGCCTTATTTGGACCATGTTCACCCATTATCACGTTTGCAGCGCGCATTGGCCGGCGACATTTCGCACAGGTCACCGCTCCACAGTTGCAGTCCTTTACCTCCGAGCGTTAATCATCCAATATCAGACGTCATCAGCTACAGCCACTCCTAATTCGTCACTTCAGTCAGCGAAACCACTTCAATGGATAAGTACTGCTCGCTCTGTCATCCACGAATATCGCACAATTTTAGGAACTTGCACTACTTTCCCCAAGGCTGGTGAACGCAATGTCAAAGTGGAGGATTTTGTAGACTTGTGCGTGGCAGTGTGGGAGACCAATGGAGCCATGTCTGACCGTGTCCGTTGGGTTCTCGATGTAAGATTGCACGGGCTGGATTTCAATCGGTTCACTGACCCGATATAGATACTCTGGTGGGCTACCCGCCTGACCTTCAACTCATATCGTATTTACCGACATATGACACGACTGCTTTCTATTTCCGGCGACGCGGAGCTGGCTAAACGTACCCTGAGGTTATATGTTCAAGTCGTTTCAAAAGCACGAGAAGCAGGTGTGGATAATGACTTTGATACGGATCGTCATTGGGTTGAGACGCTTATCAATGGTGCCCGGATGCTCTGTCGTCTTACCATCTCACGCCAGGATGGTATCGACGATGCCAAGGAGGCAGGGGACATGATCGAAACGGCGAAAACGAGGCTGGATGAGGACGACAAGGAGATGGTGGCGAGAGTCGCACTGGCCGAAGGCGTATATTACACAACACTGGCAATCATAGGTAGGTGTTCCTTTTCGATATTTGATGACTGAAATCTTATACTATATCAGAGCAGGACCACTACACGCGACAGGCTCGTCTAGGTCGCGCCCTCGCTGCCTACTTGAAGTCTGTCGCGACCTACCCTACACCTGCTGCGCATCATCAACTCGCGATCGCACTTTCTTTACCTGGAAGTTCGCAAAATGTGGACGAAGCGATCGTATCCGCTCGCGTAGCTGTTGAAGACGATGCTGATGAGATTCGACATTGGCATCTTCTTGGCTTGTTACTTAGTGCTAACGGCGAGTGGGAGAAGGCGGCCGGTGTTTTAGAAGTGGGCGCAGATCTAGATGGAGCAAGCAGGATGCGGAAAGTTCATGCTAGACTCGACGCGGAAAATACTGCCGATGACATCGTGGTGAAAACACCTGTGGCTAATGGTATCCAGGCTAAAGACTTTGAATTGGACCATCAGCACGCACAAGCAAACGGTCATTCAAAGCTTTCAGCTGCACATCTACCGCCAAATGATGCTGATGGTCCGATATCTGAGCACAAGAGGCTTCTTGATCCACAGGCAACCACTATACCCCCATCTGCCACTCTCCTCCGACCATTACCCGACCACCCGCTGCCTTCTCCTTGTGACACATTTGATTACGCCCTCCAGCTCAGAATGACACAAGATGGCACTCGCCGAACACATAGAAGGCCCTGAAGGTGCAGAGGGGCGGTGGGTTGACGTATTTGGCTGGGTTGCGGAACGTAAAGGGTCGCCCTCCACCTCAGGGTCTATGACAGAGACGCAGCGTGAGTCCAGGAAGCAAGCTTCCCTTGTTCTTCATCCCACCTCGGGCTGTATGGAGCTGATTTTATCTGGTTGTGGCTTGCGCACATCAGCGAGGTCGTCGATAGATACTGGTACCGGCGCCAGGACTACACAAACGTCATCAGTGCTGCATCAGCCAACGCAAGACCCACTGAATGAAAAAGGTCCTAGTGCAGACCAGCATGGATCTCTGGGTCTTTCTCTTGGTCAACAAGACCTCCCATTATCGGAGCTTCCGCCAATTACCGTCACACCTGCAACGCCGGCTGAGCCACATCGTCATTTTCCATTCAGCATGGATGAGAAGGAATCGCTGAAGGGTAGACGCTCCTCTTCAGCAGATGGCACTGGTAGGAAAGTGCAACAGATGCTGAAAGCCCATGTCCATAAAGGGCAGGAAAGGATCAGTACTATTTCGAGGAAACTCGGACACGGCGTTGTGCGAAACGGATATTTGAAGAGGACAAGCTCGGCACCAGGTAAACTACTTTTTTGTTTTACCCACCACGCCTTTCTTCACAATTTTTTCTAGACTTTCATGCTGTGCTACAGAACCATAACTATCAAGCGTCGTCAATACACTCCCGCCGTCGGCTACGTTCTCTGATTCGTCATAATGCAGCTGCCGCACCCATCGAGTCACCACCCGCTCCACCTCCCCCTCTTCCTCCGGTGCCGGAGGAAACACCTACGCTCCACGCGACGAAGAACGACAAGCTCATAAGCGACATTTGGGCTATGTCTGCTGCCACTTTTCGACGACTTGGTAAAATCGAACAAGCCAAAGGCGCAATCCAAGAAGCAGAAGTCAAAGACTCTGAAAATCCTGCTGTTTGGGTACAGGTGCGCATATCGCGCATCTTCTGCCAGAGCGTTCGCTAACTGTGACACAGCTTGGGCTATACTACATGACGCTAGATCGTAATAGAGAGGCTCTAGAAGCTTTTCAAAAAGCCCTGTTTATATCGCCTGACGATATCGCTGCATCTGTGCACTTGTGTCGCGTCTACCTTTCCACGAAGTCTTCGACTGATGCAGTTGACTCGGATAAGGTTGATCTAGTTGCTGGGATTCTCGGCCACGTCACCCGAGGACCTGGCTGGAACGTTCCTGAGGCCTGGTACTACTTGGCCATGGCATACGGGCTACAGGGCCGCAAGGACAAGGAGCGGGAAAGTCTCACGACAGCTTTGACGTTGAGTGATCGCAGGAGTATTAGGGATATTGGGCGGGCTGTGGGTTGGTGTTTGTGATTTGTACATGTGGTCAACTTGAAGGTTCGGCGTTTGATTTATATAACGTCCCACTCAGATATCTACCTACTGCTGACTCTGTACGACAATTATATAGATGGTGGCCTTTTACGCTACTGTTCGATGACGCGTTTTATTTATTCTCAGTTTTTGGTCCTGGATCAGAAGGTTTTTTTCGAGTGCGTTCCTCGAGCGCTAGGGTTGATTAAGATTTTCTCTCCAAGGTGCAGACCGACCCGTGTTCCAGAGTCTGATTTCGATCTGGTATGGCTGTATCTGAGCAAACCATTATGTTGTTCAACCGAATCACCACCAGTACTTACTATCTCCTCCAGCTGCCAAGTAAGCAAAGAGGTTCGCAGAATCCATCCTCATACCTCAGTCTTGTTCGCAATGGGCACCCAGCTTGCATATACAATGAAGGCATGATTGTAAATTCGAAGGGGTCTTGAATGTATTACTTCTTGAACATCTTCAACAAATTGCTAGTGAGGATTTAATGTTTCAAAACTGATTGTCATCATAGGAGTCAATACGAGTACTAATCTCTCCCGCGAGATTCACTACCATATTCGTGATGGCTACGTCCTGCAATCCTACGCCCACGCTCTTGAATATAGTGATTTCACCAGCCTGTCTTACCTCGTCGCACAACGCATGAACCTTCTTGTAGTCAGCATCCGGCGAGTTGTTGTCAAAATGGACCAGCGTTCCAATTTCAACCATGTCCTTTTCATTAAACCTGGCCTTTATGAGCTCTCCGGCCTCAGACGCGCATGCTTCTCTGGAGTCCACAACCACTTTTCCAGCCTGATGCAACAACTCTGAAGAAACTTCTGCCATTTCAGGCGTGTAGCTCCCAATGAGATTGAGATGCGTCCCTGGAGAAACCCATTTCGCCTCGAAAAGTGGCTCCTTTGAAGATGTGGCCGTGCATATGATATTAGCTGCACGGGTAACTTGTTCCAGTCGATCGAGGTCATCCTTCAAAATGAGAGACTGAAATGTGACTGTTGGATGAGCTGACTTCAGGCGGATGATAAGATCAGCAAGTCTTTGATTGTTTGACTTGTTGACTATCGTGCAAGTTTCGATGGTGGAATAGGCACGAAGGTGGAGATCCACGTGAGCCTCAATTTGCTTGCCTGCTCCGAAAGCAAGGAACGTGCTTGGGTCTTGAACAGACAAGAGAAGACACGTAGCAAGAAGAGAACCTGCTCATGTGTATATTGATTTCCATGCTTGTTTATCAGAACGGATTGAGAGCGCACCGGCAGCTGTACGAAGAGCTGTTAGTTGCCTCGCGTTCACGATTGCACGTATGCCGCCCGTATTTTCGTCCAAAACCAGGCTGGACGCAGGAAGCCCTCCTTGATTAGCAGGATGACGCGGAATTGAGACCACCTTGATGCTGGTCCCTAATCCTTGCACTCGTGCGGGCATGAAAAGTACCTTGTGCTGCGCCATAGTAATTGCTTCACGCAGCGGGGCATCAAAGCCAGAACCTGAGGAAAGGGTGTGAAACACGAAAGCCATCAGATTCTCAAGCCTGGAGTGGTGGATTGACGATACGATTCTGGATACATCTGCAGAGGTAATGACGAGGAAAGACATAAAGGACTTGAGTGAAGGTGTGTGACAGATGTCGGAGACAAAAGCTGACTTTGATCGGCCAGATTTAGAGCCTTTCACAACTTGGCAATTGTCAACAAGGTTTGTATTACCAACCCAGAAGAAAGATTGAAGGCATGTGATGAATCCTGATAAATAAGCGGTATAGCTAGAGGTAAGAGTCGACAGGCCATGTTACTGGTATCCAATATATTATATCACTACACTGCGGCGCAGGCGTTACAAAATACTGAAGATTAAGTGGCTGAGAATCTGCACATGCTAATAATATGACGGGAACTCCCAGAGTACTTAGCGTGTGTCCATATACAGTCCATGATCTATCTAACGTACTGAGTGAAATGTGTATAGGCATATTGATCACGGATTTATGGAGGAAATATGAAGTGCGCCATCGTGATGAATCTGTCAGTGAAGATTGTTCCTGATGAGAGCTTTGACAGCCTCACGGGATGTACTATCATAGAGACCATCCTCGGGTTGCATGGTGACGCATGCATGCTTAGTAGATTCCGGAATATTGAGCTTTCTGAGCATATCCAGGTTCGCAAGCCACCAACTACCAGGATTTCCGGAATCCTCCAATTTGGTGACAACCACTACGACCGGCACTCTGTTGCCCACCACCGACTTGAACTTGTTAAAGTTGTGCCCGTGTGGTTTTTTTCAGGCTGTTTCTCACTCCTGGCATGCAGTATACTAGAAGGTGCGGGTTTATTGTCTTCAAGTATTTCTTGAGTCGCTTTTCCGCTTTCGAGGCCCAAAGGAAGCTCCATTTCCCTTCTTCGAGACCAATTGTATCGTGTAGTTGACAATATTGCTGTTCCCCAATATCACAGGGCCCATACACTTCTTCTGCCGTTGTGCAACCATTTATGTCGTCTGAGGTAAGAGCGCTGGCTTTGGGGTAAAGCATGTTGATGAGTGAGCTTTTCCCCACCCCAGAATGGCCAATGATGACCACGTTCCTCGACATTTGAATCTGACAATGTATCAACATAATAAAGATCCCTAACAGGTGGAAATGCAGTACTTTTGCAGGTATCGGTACCAAAGATCAGGTTGTAGACTCGAAGGGCGCAGTGAGGAAGGTATTTAATGACGAGAGGGTCTCCTTTTGGAGACGAAACTATAATATTGCAAGCATATTAAAGAGACCCAGTTACACACTCACTGTCGCAGTGTGGCGACAACGAGGCCGATGCTGCGCCTATGTAATTACCGTATTTCGGCTACCACTGGCAATTAAAGCCTGCTCAACCTGCTCCCTCTGGAGTCCCGAAGCTACTTATGGCAGTGAAACTCACCTCGTGGCAAGTAGATCCGAGGTTGAACGTTGAACCAGTGGCAGGAAACGGAGAAGAGTCGTTGAAAAATTAGTCATGGCAAAGGTGTTCTCCGAGCCGGGCGCGAAACGCAGGCTCGGCGAAACTTTCCAAGGGGCTTCTCTCGAGAACATCTGAAAAGGTGGGAGGGTGTAAGCTCGTTGCTTACCTGAGTTCCCATAATCAACATAAATACTGTCCGAGATAATCAAGCGTGAGCTTTGATTATCACTGCCTTTTGGCCTAACGGTCTGGTCGTAACTGTTAAGTCTTAACTACTTACATATAATCACACTTCACGCCCGCAAGCGGACGGTGTTGTTTTCAACCCTTAAATCACCTGTGACTCCCACATAACAACGGTAATTATAGGTGATAACATATGGGTATCGCACCTATAAAACAAGGGGGTTACAGCGTTCTACGGCCTCCTTCAATATTGTTTGAATAAAGAGCGACTTTACTGTACTGCTAGTAGGTAGTATGTACTATGTAGGACACTACTACCGCCGGCATGTCGGCAATGCTGTGACGTGTTCTCCGCGCCGGCTATTAATAATCGAACCTTCGTGCTCACTGTGTCACACGATGAGCTCGCGTATCTCATGATGGTGTGGATGGATTGACATCGCGTTTCGACGAACAGTTAAGAGATAATGATTATGATACATAAGTCAGGCTGATGGGTAGACTAAGGCAAAACAAGACTACTACTCATCCACCTCCCCTTCTTTGTCAGACAATTCCACGAATTCAGTGCTTTTAGGCCCTTCCCATCAGGAAAATGTTGGTGTGCTTATTTTGCCTTATTCTACTTAGCAAGCTGCATAAGGCGGCAAAGGAGATTTAAGGAGCATAAGAAATTTTGATCACTCTAAACTAAGGACAACAACAAACATAAGGAAAAATAAGGAGACATAAGCAAATTTTATTTCTAAGGTGACATTTCTATACAGTTCTGAAATAAGGAAACTGCCATGAAAGTGTATATGTTAGTGGCACCATCGAGATGGGTAAAAATGTGCGTGGAAGTGGCAATAGAAAACTATAATGATGGTTGCTTGAGTGGCTGGAGCGGACAAGAGCAGCGAAGGACCTCACAGAGGAAATGTTAAAGTGCATGTGGGGGCATTCTGAATGGACAAAAACTTGAATGAGTGTGTAGGCGGCAGTAAAAGAAATGCAACAAAAACCATGATGCACTCAATGAGCCGCCTCCACCAGACAGTCAGCGAAGCAAGCATGAACATCTTGTGCTTTGATGGGGGTAGGTACCGGCACAGGCTCGTTTTGTTGGAGTAAGTGTCGTCACAGATGACCTTTGATGCGAGCATAAGCGCAGGTATGAAAAGACGGTGACTGGAAGGATACTGACCCCTCACCTATTTCTCGCAATTGGAGCATGCCCTGCACTACAATACTCCAGGATTTGTTGGAGTAAGTGTTGTCACAGATGACCTTTGATGTAAGCATAAGCGCAGGTATGAAAAGATGGTGACTGGAAGGATACTGACCCCTCACCTATTCTCGCAATTGGAACATGCCCTGCGCTACAATACTCCAGGATTTGTTGGGGTAAGTGTTGTCACACATGACCTTTGATGCGAGTATAAACACAGATATGAAAAGACAGTGACCGGAAGATCCCTGAGCAGTAGGAATGCACACTTTGAGTTGCTGGATGGTGAATGAATACTAATACTCCAGGATTTGGTGGAGTAAGTGTCGTCACAGATGACCTTTGATGTGAGCATAAGTGCAGGTATGAAAAGACGGTGACCGGAAGGATACTGACCCCTCACCTATTTCTCGCAATTGGAACATGCCCTGCGCTACAATACTCCAGGATTTGTTGGAGTAAGTGTCGTCACAGATGACCATTGATGCTAGCATAAGGATGGATACGACAAGACAGTGACTGGAAGATCCATGTAGATAGTCCTAGTAAATGATCAAACCACGAAGGGGGAGGACAGAAGATGATGACGAACCTGCCTCTCATGCTACTTCAAATGCATGATGGCCAGCATACTTATTGATGTAGAATGCACGAAATATGTACATTGTAGCTGTCATGAGGGGTGATTTTGTGAGGCAAAGAATTGGTACCATAGATAGGAATAAGATGAGCTGCACAGAATATACAATCAATATGGATGATTGAGATATCCAGTGTGCCATCATCAGTAGTTGATGGCGCAACAATGTACATTCCAGTGTCAGGATCCCGGCTCTCCATGACATATGAGAACCAGTGAACAACTGCGCATCACAGGTATTTTGTCTGGTACTTGGAGCCGAGAAAGCACAATACTCTTGTGACAGCAAGTCCATCCAAGCCACAATTGACCTCCTCGTTCGTACTGACAAATACACAGTCATTCCTAGCAGGACCTCCTCATCATGTTGTCGTCGCCCAAATGTGCTCGCATTGTTACGAACTAGGATAGTTCTGACATATGGCTACTCGATAAGAGTAATCGGCCAAGGTCAGTTCAAGGCTCTTGGCGTATACCAGAGTTCGGTGGTTCAATAAGACAAGGCAAGGAGAGTGTCCTCGACTTGAATCAAGTTCAATATGACTTAAGATTGGAGGTCTCAAGCAAAGGAAGTTCCAGGTAAAACCTAGTAAGATTAAAGTAAAGAACTACATAGTACAAAGTGGGTTTATATAATGAATGATAGTCACTTTAGGGCAGGTACTATAAAGTCAGAGTGAGTCAGAGATAAGAACGAGTCATGTATGAGTCAGAGATAGCAATAATAGATCACCTAGCGACAGCTTGATAGTGATCATGATGTAATACAATGGTTTAGTAACAAGACAAGAAAAGATAAGTCTAGCAATGGCTTTGAATAGCGATTGTGATGTAATACAAATAGGCAAAGGAACAAGAGAAAATGAATAGGGGTGTACTTGATTGTAACACGCATCGCATGCCTCCAGTGCCACTGAGGTCACTGGGGGCATGGAATGATGCTGCTGCTGAGCTGAAAACCGAAACTTGGCCCATGAAAGCTGGTGCTGTCACTGGGTCGAAATCAGGGGCCTCATGGTCTTCAATATGAAGCTGGTTGTAAAGGAACTGCTGGATCATTATGGGGAAGTCTGGAAGATCGAGATCGAGCGCAAGTGCAGAGACATCATGTGCACCACCTGGTACTAGGAAGTTTTAGCAAATAATGTGCGATAAAGATAAAAACCTACTGGGCATCACAGCAAGTTCCACGTGAGCCTGGACAGTAGGTCCATCAACTATGTCAGCTGTATCTCCCTCAGCGGACTGATTCTGTTGCTCATTGATGCACAAACGGTTAGGAAGACCCTCAAGTGTGTTGTCATTGTCATTGTCACTGTCATTGTCTGGCAGCTCACGACTACCTGTATATTATAAGTTAAAACATCTAAAAAGCTTTTAATTCAACAAACGCTCACAATTGTTCAGTGCATGCAACACGTCAGATACACACAAGCCTTGAAGCATGCCATGAGCTTCAAAGTCGCTTCGCACTGCTGCTATTTTATCGAGGTGTTGATTTGTGATCAGCATTTGGCCTAATGCCTTGTACCTGCTGGAGTGACACCAGGGCTCTTTAACGGCCTTGATGTGCTTCGACTCGGTTATCAATGAACAAAGGCCATTTGGGGCACCAAAGAGCCAGATCATGAGAAAATAGTGGTTAAGAGAGTGTTGGTGTGGAAATGAGAAGTCTGGCACAACTCCTGTCATCTTGAAGATTTGGCAGTACTGGTGAAAACGGCTGAGTGAATCTTGAAGTTGGGTGAGGTCATCCTCTGTAAGCGTATCTTGTCGAACTATGTAACAGAAGTTGAGAAATGGGCTAAATGCGTGAATGACATCTCGAGGAACATAACCTTTGATGGTGGGTATATATACCTAGATAGTAGTAGTGTTAACTTATGCATTATAAAGACATTCAGTCACGACATACCTTCATCAGCGCCTTAGAATCATCACCCATCCACTGCTTAAATCCATGCCCTTCTGGAAAGCGCTGTAAGCCTGCAAAAGGAGCAACTGCTGTGATCCTGTTGGAGTACCATGAGTACAGCATGTTTATGTTTTAACAAAAAGACTCATACCTTCAATCAATATTGTCCATAATTTCAGCTGTGCATGAAGCCCTGTGTGTGAGTAACAAATAATCTTCCACCCAGTTGACAAGGTGATCTTTAAAGGTCCCCTTGATGATCTGGTGCAGGATGTCTGGAGAGATAAGTTTGTGGATATCGGCTTGAGGGAAATTATTTGTGAATAGCTGAATAAACAGATGAGAAGTTAATCTGAGCAAAAAATGAGAACATACCATGACCTCTTGAATGATGCCATATTCATGCCAGAGGTGAACATGTTGGAGTTCTTGAACCAGGAGGTCGGTGTGTTCTTGGCACCGGAGTAAAGATGGGCTGTTGCCGTCAAGATTCTTATGATGATTTAAACACCTTAAACAATATCAGAGTAAGTCAATGAGTCAAACAGAAAGGGACGCACTTCGGACACCAGTTTTGTACAACTCCCAAAAACATGAGTTGCTCTGGATAATTGGCTATGTATGGGCCTAGCCCATAGATGATACATTGATAATGGCCATCAGGGCAGCGCACAGTGTCAGGGATCGTCATATTCAACTTCACAGACTCAAATATCTTGGCGAGTGAGGAGTGAAACATTTGACGGCGGAAATTGCGAAAGTCTTTGTCGTCCAAATGTTCCTTGGTGCCTATAGTACAAATAGTGCGAGTGATTAAGTGAATCAGTGCATCAAGGGGACAACAAACTTTTTGGAATAGCCAGAAAGCCTGCCAGTACCACACTGTTGCGATGTGCATGCTGAACTCCATTGAAAATGTTTCTGATTGACAGATAGAGTGGATGATACTCGGTGTGTCCTGTAGCTATCAAGACGGTAGTCTTGTCACTGCCGATAATTAGAGGCACAAAGGTTGATCCGTGGGTTTCTGGATCCTCCACAATAATATCCTGTATAAAAATGTACTATTAGTTCGAGGATTAGTAGCTGCAAGGCGTGAAATCTATACTGCTTGCTTCCAAGCCCAATCACCAGAGAAAAAGTTCTTATAACAACGCTGATCATTGTTAGTATAGTCCTGATATGGGATGTATTTGATCTCAGCGTGGAAGTCAGGGTTGGAAAGCATGTGATGAATGAGGAGATGCGGATCACAGAACCAGACATTGTATTTAGCAGTCATCCAGGGTGGAATATCCTCAGCTGGTTTGAGTCCATTGTAAGACATGGTGAAAGTCTCCCAGGCAACATCGCTGAGGGGAGTTTAATTGATAGTTTCATATAGGTCACGATGACCAGTGAACGGAGGACTGTCATTGTGTTGAATACGTGTTGCCACCCAGAGGTCAAGAAGAGTGTCAATTTGACCTGCAGACATTTGGTTACGTGTATAAAGGAACTCTGCCGTCTCAAATGCAACCCGGCTCTCATATGGGGTCCAGTCAGTGGGTGATGCTTCAGTTCTGGGTGGTGAGGGTGTATTCTGGTCAATAAAGTTGCCATGAACATCACACTTTTGTCCTGCACTACAAGTGAGAACTAAATGAGTAAATGACATGAATTAGTTACCTGTAAGAAGAGGGTGGAACATCCAGAACAGAGGCCCCAACTGCACACCCTCCTCTAGCATACCATGGTGCTGGGGACCTGGGGGCTGATCATCGAAGGCAGGATTCTGGGGACTTGGAGAGCGAAGGTCAGGAGCTGCTTGATGGAAGGTTGCATGATTGCGCAAAGGCCTGTTGTGCGCTGTGCGTACATGCTTCATTTGGCCCGACTTATTTTTGAAGACCCGTTTGCAACCAGGAATGCGACAAGGTAGTTGGATCATTTCACTAGAAATGACGAACACAAAATCCAATGACTCAATGTAATGGCACTGTGTGAACTTGTTCATTTTGGGTCAGATTGAGTTGACAGAGGCTCACCCTGAAGTGTTGAACTTTAGGACGAACTTCAAATCGGCACCTTAGTCAGTAGTTTTTTTCTTGAATCGTTCTTTTCAATTGTCCCTCCTTCTTTCATCCCTTGTTTCTAATTCCCCATCCAAAAACACACCCCGGCAATGTAAGCAAACATCCTGGAAATATCGTCCAGGAAGCAAACCAAGTGCAGTGCCGATCCAAGGAAGAAGTCGCTGCTGAAAAAGCCCAGAAGGAAGCTCAGAAGGATGCTCATGCTGCAGCAGTAAATAAGTCATGTACAACAATTGCTGCAGCCGAGGATGCAATGGCCATCCAGCAGAAAACTGTGATGAACGGGCCTCCAAAACTCATTCAGCCATGCATCGTCACCAGCAAAAAGAGTACAAATCTAACAAGTGCAGATGCGCCACCTGCTGTCAATATGGGTGAGTCATGACCCAGCGCTTGAATGACTTACCTGCACATATATAGCTCCTCAATCAACTGCAGCTCCTCAGTCAACCACAGCTCCTCAATCAACCATGGCTCCTCAAGACAATCAGACTGGTCAACCAGTAAAGAAGAAACATGCTGGGTTGAAGTTGAACTTTTGGGACAGCGTTGATGCCAACCGCAAGCTGTCCAATGGTGGAGTCATGATCTCAACTAGTGACAGTGACACACATGTTTAAAGTACGATTGACGATGGGAAAATCAAAACATTGTAAGTCTTCTTTTTGTCCATGATGCTGATTCTAACAGAACTCACACTATATTACTTTGATTACATCTGCACATACCGAATCAGTTCTAATCTCAAGCATGTCGTCAATTCTGACCTAGAAGGGCCCATTCCCAACTGGGCAGACAAAGTCGCATCACAGACTCAACTGAAGCCATGTTCACCACCAAGCGCCCAAGCCTCTGGCAGGATCACCCAACTTCAACTTGCAGATTCCGACCTGGATCTTGATAATGAACCTGAAGAGTACAGTGAGCCGACATCAACAATACAGAGGGGAAAGGTCAGTATCCATTTGAATTCTGAACATGTACTCACCTAAATTAGAATATTGTGCATGTGAAAGAGAAACTGAAACTCACATCAAGAGGCAAGAAGCACTCATTCCAAAATGCAGAGTATTCTGCTGAAGAACGAGATGCTGCTGAAGAATTTGAGATGCTGCAGGATCCGGACACTGCTGAGGACCAGGAGATACTCAAGCATCCAGATGCTGCTGAGGACCAGGAGATTCTCGAGGATCCAGACGCTGCTGAAGGATTTGAGGAGGTTGCTGAAGGATTTGAGGTTGCTGCTGAAGATGAGGACCATATGGTTTTGATGACGGATGACAGTTGACACACCATTGATGCTAAGGCTAGCATGGCACGACGCACAAGCTCTGTAAGAACTTTTTGGCTTTGTGAGAAACAACTGATACTTTAGTAGATGTCAGTTAATGTCTCCAACCAGAAGACCGCAACACAGCATACCAAGGGCAAGGGCAATACCAAGGTCAAGACTGGAGGTCAAGACGGAGGTCAAGACGGAGGTGAAGGCTGAGGTTGAAGCCCCAGAAAACATATGCTCCAAGATCAGGAAAGGAAAGGCCAAAAATTTGAACCTACCTTCTGGAATTGTCCAAAACGGTGTAGAGACTCGCGTTTCTGCAGGCTGTTATGGGCCCATATTATGAATTCTGACGACTGGCCTTTACTGCACAACTCGCACTATCATCCACTATGACTTCCTGTCACAACCCTTTAAACGAATTAACGCTGGGGCAGAGACTAGGACTCAAACAAAGGTTATCTAACAGAGAAGAGAGGATAGCAGGGACGTCTTAGGATTGCTAGCAGTAAGCTAATACAAAAGAGGTTTGAACTGGAGAACTACTGACTACAACGAGCTACCTATATACATATATTGAAGCGGAGACTGAATCTGAATCTGAACTAACTAGCCAATCATTAAATAGGAAAGGGAATCGTACGATGATCTAAATATAACTACACTATGATGTCATGGAACGTGTGATGGCTGTACAGGGGTTCTCGAAGGTTCTAGAGTCACGTGACTTAAACTGCTTGAGTAAGGAAGTCGAAATCAGGAATATCGGATATAGAAGTAGTGGGCGCTAATGGAATAGAGAAGTTCGGGTTAGGGTTTGGAAAGGTTATAGGTATAGACGCTGACTGAGCGCTAATAACGGGCGCTTGTGACGGGCGCTTAACGGGTGTTTTACGAGTG